GACTTTGACCCGTTAACTGATCTCACGGTAGAAAGGAATATGATTTGTTTATTGTTCCCAGACAGTTGCACCATTTAGCTATGATAATTTCAAGAAGCTAGATCTATCAAATTCTCGCTGGTTACTGATTAGCACGGAAAAATGCATAATAGCTGGTCAGACTAGGAAAACGGGATGGCAAGCCCAGTCGCTACTTTTAGGAATAAGTCGGCCAGGAAATCGTTCCTGGAGGTAATGCATTGTTGGTATGGAAGAGATCTCTATCTTCATAGCAATCCGTGTTTTCGCCTCTTTCGATGTGAGCATAAATTATATTCTCTAGTTTCGTTCTCACAACTGAGGAACTCCCTCGAGCTCATCAGGAGGTTTCATTTAACGAGATGTGAAGCCAGGACAATGGCAATCGGAATCTGAACCAGTTGAAGAATTTAAAACTGTCCCCAGTGATCTGATCGTTCCCCAATGCTACGAAAAAATGTGCTGTATATAGCTCAGAATTACGCTGAACTTTGCTCCATGTGACATCATCAAGTGCATGCTGAAGGAGATTAGGATTCTTTTGTATCATATTACAAAGTCGGTGACATACTATTAACAGTTGCTCTAAAATGACTTTTCTTAACTCTTGTAATCGATATAATCTTTGTAGATAGATGACATTCTATGTGCAAAATTTACAGAAGATCGACCATTTTCTAATAACAATTGAACAGTCGAACTCCACGTTTCCGCTAATCTCCGTTACCACTCCACCTCCTTCCCTCCCTCTTTTTCGGGTTGTGGCCAAGTCGAGGTAGACCAGCGACCAAATCCACTCGACCTCTTGCGTGACTCATCCAAACTCTTTTGTCTTATGTTAAATAATGCGTACTTGCAACTACAGCGCGACGTTTCTTGACACATTATAAAACGTGCGTCCTATCTTAATGGGTCATATATAACATTTTCGTCCGTTGCTGTTACCACATTTGATGACACGGTATTTGAAGAAGTTGCCAATGAAACATCTTTCTGCAATGCATGATTATCTCAGCTATTGAAGTACGTCCTCTTAAGCAGATTCTCAACACTCCAAAAATGCTTGCTTAAGTAAAACCACTGATGTTTGACGTTTCAACCATTAATCTCCAGACGGTCGAAAAATCTCGTTTCCTTGCTATAACTAAAGCGTTTTATGTCAAAGCACGTGGGCGTGGGGGCGTGAACAATACATGCATTTCTAAAATTTTTCGTTTGTTTATTCCAACGTTTTTGTTGTGTGGGCAGGTCGCAACTATCTCTGATCCTTTATTAAATGTCGTTTAAAGTTCAAAATACATTTTTTCCTCCATACAAATATGAAGAACTTCTGACTCTCCCGTATGATTAATATTATAACACGTTTCAGAATGGACCAATTTTTAGCCCACTATTTTCATTTGTATAGCAATTTTCCAATGTGCTTTTTGGAGTATTACGTGTGCTTTTAAGACTTATAATGTCTTCACGATCATTCCTCTTTAAAATTGCTTGCGCGGTCATGACAATCAGTAGCGTTAGCGCTGTTGGTATTTCATGCTGTGATATTTGTTTGTCTCCTGCTTTATATCTTTAGAATACATATAGCTGAGAAAGTGGGCATGTGGTCTTACCCCTGAGATTGCAACTGCGTATCTATCTCCGGCAGGTGCTTCTTGATCACGATGCTTCCATTGTGCTTCGTCATGATATATACATGGACTTGACGATTCGTGCATCGGCATAGCTTTCTTTCACTGCGTTTCATTTGAAAACTTTTCGCAAATGCAGAAACACCTCTATATATATATATGTAATCTGTAATTTATATTGGTTGGAATATTTAGCTGGCAAGATTGTAATGTGGTGATGTGAACAATCTTTGTTCACATTTTGAGTTGCGGAACATCTACCATCACTGATTTTGGTTTGCTCTATGCCACTAAAGTGAATATGAACTAGAGCTTATGTCAGAAAAGTGCGAAACTAAATTTGGAAGGTTTTTTTAACCAGCTGCGTCTCCCATTGTTATGAGTAGGATCGACGCGACGAGATTTCTTCTTCCAATCTTCACTGAACTCTAATTCCGGAATGATATGGGGTTATCCATGCAGTACAAATTGAGTTAGCTCAGTCATTGATATCGACCACCCCCAGGAATCTGCAAATCATGTCAAAGGTTACGTCATGGTTTGGTCTCATTAGCCCGCCAACTTTGAGATGTAGACGATAGCAAAAAAGATAACTCCAATAAATTTGTAAGCCAACACCGCCCGAGTTCGTTTCAATTCGATCGCAAAACCGAGAAGAGAACGTAGCAAAGAAAATGTAGGAGTCGTATAAATTCACTTGTACACTTTGAGGGTAAGTACTTCGAGTGTTCGAGTGTCATCGCAAAATATACTGAAATAACGCACTGTTTTCGTTGTATTTCGAAAATTTCGAAGCATTTCAAGAAATCCGTACTTAAAAATTAATTAGCTTATGAATGGCTTTGCTGCAACAAAAGGTATGTTGGAGAGAGTTCGAAGCTAAGAGATTATAATCAGCATTTCAACTTTCAACTTTATATATAGTGTCGATCGTATACGAGACTGTACAAAAAAAAACACACGAGAACTTTAAAGAGAAATTGAACAGTATATATAAGTAGTATTAACGTGTGATGCACGCGAGTTATGTATAGCGGGGTTTTGGCAAAAGAGTATACATCCATACACATACATTTATCATTTGTTATTATATATCTGTTTACATTTGGCTAAAGTGCGTTCAAAACCTTATACATATTTTAAAGGGTTATTGAAAACGTCTGAGAAGCATTATTATACATGTATAGGATTATCCATGGCAATAGATCAGTTTAGGTCTGTTCATGCAGTGCTAGCGCTCGTTGTAGTTACTCTAATTTTATCGGTCTTCATGACCATGGCCATATATGCTAAATATTGATATTACAGTAAAATTGAGAGTGACACGAGTACACGTTAATTGACATATTTGTGAGTTTTAAGCCTTCCTTGTTTGTCAAGTACGATGCCAAATGCTGATTATTTCAATGACATCGTATATTTTTGCACTTTTTATGCGCGAAAAAAAAAACACCTGGAATATATGCGGCTTAAAGTCGTTTATTTTCACGTGAATTCACGACTCGTGGTCCTTTTCTGTTCGGATACTATAATTTAGCAAAAGCGTGGAAGCTGATGCACCTATATAGCGGTATATTGCTATATGTCCGACTATTTTCCCAACAGTCGCTTTATCTGTGTCCAAACTATTTCTTAGCATTCCAATAATGTTTCGATAGTTTCTATATTTAGGAACTCTTCGAGTACAATGCATATTTCTCGCAACCTTTATGTGGAATTTATTTCGTGATAGAAAAACTTTGGTCGCTTCTTGCAATAGGATATTTCAAACTCATTGGATAATTACCATAGCAACTTCCATTCAAAAATAGAAATGAATTGTTTACTTATCTATAAAAATGTGTTCGGTGTTTGCACAAGCATGAGCAGTTTCTGTCACTAACTTTAAATCGGGCCATTTTTTATACTTAAAATCTTTGTAACTAAGAAATTTGTATGTATCTTTACATGCCCCCAAACCGATATCGTTTAAACTAAGGAAAATTAAGGTGTTGTTGTATATTTATTAAAAAGTGATTTATGCTTCGTTTATCGGTCTCCATTTCTTCAAATATTTCAATTTCCTAATCTTTGTAAAAATTTAACAAGATTGAACTACGATGACTTGGGGAGAGGCCGGAGAAAGGGTTGAAGTGTCTATTTGTTTTGAAAGCCGGACTGTCGGATAGTATAACGGTGATTTCCAAACAGGAAATACTGCTTCAACTTATCACAATAACCTATTAGAAAGAATTAAGGAAAGATTGCAAACATGTCCACCCACTGTGTGTTTGTACAAGTTTCGTGTCAGAAACAGCGTTATACAGCGAGCGCCATATACATATGTCTCGCGCTTATTGTGGAGTAGTAGTGATCCTGAACGAGAATTTTTCGTAGGTAGTTAGTACAAAGTCAAATAATAAATCAATGCAGTTATCACAGAATCGCACTAAAATGGAGCATTACAACGTTCAGTTTATAGATAGTTCTGATACTGCCGATTGCATGCATAAAGCGCCATACAACAGACTGATTTCTATATGTATAGTATTAAGCCCGTACTGTAGACTGTAAACAGATTTAATATTCCATTTATTCTTCTATTTGTTTAGAATCTTGAACATGGGCTCATCAAATATCACCTCTACACCGTCTTACACCCCCTCTTTTCTTTACTCGACCATAAATACCACCTTCACACCGAACAACACCCTTAATAGCACAACCACAGGCCCCGTCACGCCAAACCTCCTCATATTAACATACGTAGGAATATTGGTTTGCATCATTACGTTTGCGTTGCTCGGTAACTTGATCGTGATCACCGTGTTCCTTTTCGACCGCAGACTTCGCGTGTCGTCAAGCTATTATATTTTTAGCCTCGCTATAGCTGACGTCATCACTGCAGCATTGGTAAGTCTTTATTTTGCCTAGATATTCGTTTTACCATGGAGCGTGATATCTGTTATAATAATGATGTAAATGAAAGTTTTTCAACATCCATAACTTTCTATGGTCCAAAAATATATTTTTCTATTATGCACTACAATTTCGCTATACTCATAAAAAATGAATTGCCTGGCATTTCGTATGAATTAAAAAAACTACTGTAACTATAACCACAATAACCACAAGTATCTACTAAGTAAACCTCTTGTTGTGTCAAAAGCGCATGAAGATTCCAATACAAAATAAAAAAAAAACGAAAAACAGAGAACGCCGTAGTGATACGCCTTGAAATCATTATAATTAACACCATTGAATACTGTATCTAAATATGAAGTCTGATAGCAAATGCAATTGCGGGATTGCAATTACTATCTACCATCTTCCACAAGTCGCTCATTGTGAGCGTTTTATTTTCTCAAGGTTATGACTTTAGAGGTCGATCAATTCCTACACGATAAAAAATGGCGCTTTAGCAAAGTATTGTGCAAGGCATGGACGACCGCTTACCTGTTCACCGTTCCAGTCTCGATTTTAACAACTTGTCTCTCGAGCATAGACCGATGGTATGCCATCTCTCGACCACTACAATACAGAACGAATAGGAACGGTCTTAAACACAAAGCTTTGGTGGCTATCATACTGATATGGATTTACAGCATACTGTTCGCCTCGATTCCGGAAATGGGATGGAACCCACCAGGTGACAGCCATGGCGTGCCGGAGAATAGCGAATTTTGTTATTTCGATATATACTTAACGTACTCAATCCTTAGTTCGGTGTTACACTTCATTCTACCATCCATTGTGACCGCCTTCTTCTACTACAACATGTTCAAAGCGATGAAGACCCACAACATGTATCGGCGCAGAATGTCCAGCGGTTCCGACTACTCGCATGCGCACTCGCGGAGTCCCTCTCACAGGAACCACCGCAAAGAACAGCGTATAAACTTCAGGCATAACGTAAGCTTGGCTAAAAGCTACGCCCTGATTGGCTCGTTGCTCATTCTCACGTGGTGTCCGCACTCAATTATCAGCGTTATGCAGAACTCGTGTGATTTACGAAATTCAAAAAGCTATGGATGTGGCGTTATCTTAGGTATAAGCGAACACACAACAAATTTCTTGCTTCTTTTAGGATATTTCAACTCAGCTTTAAATCCAATCGTATATGTGCTGAGGTTTCGACAGTTCAGATTGACGCTGAGAGATTGGCTCTCCTGTCATAAGCATTAAAACAGTCTGAAATACTATAACGACTATAGAAGCAGGGTAAAGTAGCCCCTGTAAGCCATTTCTGGTTGTTAAAATAGAATTAGCCTTTTTCATGATGACGAATATGCGCCATTTTTTTGGTACGATTTTCGATTTTCCATGAATGAACTATTTTACAGAATAAATTTACCCTGACAGTTATAATATTTGCTCTCTGAAAGTGGTACGCCGTCCAAAAAATGGAGGCCAAATATTCGTGATCTCGAGAGAGACAAATTGGTGACACAGACATTGTTGGGTGCGATTTTGAATAATTTAAATCGATGCTGCGAGAATGTGGCACTTGCAGGACTGAAGCATTGGCATTTTGCAGTCAGGTTGATCACCGTACCATATAGTAAATTCGTCCTTTAAGAATTGATTCACACACATTCGTATTTATATAAACAATAACCGCACAAGCATTTCTGTCGCATCTCCTCTGCATGCGAACAATGCTTGGTTTCCATTTAGTCTCGTGAAGTGTCGTGAACATGTCAAGGTGGCTAATGTAATAGAATTTTTCTAAGTGTGTGCAGTCAACAATGAAGGATTTGAATACAGGAATAAAGACAAATTTACAACCGGACTATTTCTCATCGGTGAAAATGACTTGTTCACGACGATTAAGATTTAAAGGCAACCAGGCGTAAGGTCGTTTAATGCCTGCAAAACAATCTGGTGACAATGTATCAAGTACTATAAAGGGATAATGGCAGTCGCAAGCCGAGTGTAGATATTGATAAAAATCAGTAGCGTATTATATATAGTGAATGTTACGTTTGAGTAAAATATTCTTTTAGAATCGATGTAATTGATTGAAGAGCATATTCATTTGGTAAAAACAACTAAAAAATAAAAAAATTGTGCAATAAAATGGCGTGCGGAATAAACAGCTATGATAATGACCAATGTTATCTTTTAAGATCATTGCTACCATACCAAACATATTATTCCCCACAATTTAAATCAGTTGGTAAACACAAGCCAAAATCATCTTTATTCCGTGAATATGTATGTATCTTGTACATGTTAGAATCTCACTGAAATTATTTTACTGACACGATGCATATAAAGTCTCCTGAGTTAGAAAATTATACTTCATCAAGCTTTGGTATCAGACATCAGTGCAAGAATATTTCGAAGCAAACAGCTTCGTTTCCGTGAGGGTATTTTTCTTTTTGCCAGCCTTTTGCCTGAGCTCCCTTTCCAAGATTCGGTTGGTTTTTCAGACGAGTTCTTGCATTTCAGCGCGTCTGTTGCACCTTGTTCCTTATTAATTCACTTCAGCATTACGACATTTTTTCTCTAGTTTGTTTTTTTTGCTAAAATGTTAAGATTAGAGAGATAACCATCCATGCATAACAATGCAACGTGATAATTGATGAACCACAGACTTAGTTGAGTCTTTTCTAATTTCTACCAAGTATATATAAGCATAATCAAAGCCGAGTGAAATTTCAATCCTGCCTATCAGAAAATCAAGGTGACGAGTTGCTATCATTGTTGAAAACAATGAGATTTATAATTAGACTCCCAATGCAATGTATATCCTTAGAAAATAGCTTTCATTTAAAATCTATATCAATTGTAATTGGACAAGTAAATGCATATAGATTTTTATAGTATATATATATATAATTATTTCAAACATTTAAGATCATAAATTAATTGTGATTGATTTTAATTTCAATGTTCTCTCATTGCGTTTTCAAGACGATTTGCGATCATAGCTAGGTACCTTATTATAATGCCTTGGCGTAAGTATTTCAATGTTTTTCAAAAATGCTTTTAGCAGGTAGTATATATGTATCTTTTTTATTTAAAACAATTCACGGTAATATCCGTGTATGAAATTGTTATGTCCAACGAATGACGTCATAACGTGGGATATGATTATTTTTTACGATTTTTTTCCATGCACGTCATAACACGAGCTAAAAAATGAATCCAACATTGTGGCGTAACACCGATGGCAATCACAAAGATAACAACTGTAAAACAACATAAATGCGAGCGAACAAACTTGTAACGTTCATTCTTTAGAATAAATAATTAAATAAGTAATAAATGAATTATTGAGTTCACTTTTCAAATGTTATGAAGAATTATACCCCTGCATGGTTTGTCGACAAACTTCGGCTAGATGATTATCGTACAATTATGACTGCCTTGCATGAAAACGCCACGATTTACATGCCAAACTTTCATGGCCCGGCATGCACCGCGGGCCCGTGTCTCAATTACTCTGCTGAGCATCCACCAAGTGTGATGTTCTCGGCATCACTCTTTTCTAGGCGGGTCAAAAGTTTTAAAAAGCAAGCGCTCAGTCCCTTATTCCCTCAGGTGCCGTTCCGTACCAATAATTTAGGCTATTTAGCAACAAATATCGTTTAAAGATGACACAAAGAAATCACTCAACGGCGCAATATATATGAAATTGATGCAAAATATCAGTATAGGACAAAATCCATGAAATTTACGATGATTAATAAAAAGCACGCGAGTTGCTCTGCAGACGTCGTCTTGAAAATCCAAATAACGCGCGCTTCAAATTTCCTGGTAGACGCATGCAGGTGCCATTTGTTTATCGACAAAGTAAAAACGAAAGTGTCATGAAAAGGCACTCGTTCCAGTTCTGCATTGAGTGCATTCATGTAGTGTCCAAGAGATTGCAGTGTAAACGGAGTTGTGAAAGTTCTCGGCCGATTCGTATGTACTCAAAAAGTTCCAGTAGAAACTTGACTTTAAATTGGATTCAATTGATATATATACAACACTTTCAATCGACTACAATTGAAGGTGATTTATTGCCAAGCTATATTTATATTTATAATCTGGCATAAAAACTGCAGAAAAACTTAGTCGAGGTACTTCAGACCGGTAGTTTGTTACCTCCCAAGAGTATTTGAATAACCTATTTTTGATACTTAAAGCAAAACTTTATTGAAAATTTAAACCGGTAACATTTCATTTTAAAATAACAATGTAATTATAATGATAAATCACGCTTCACTCTAAAATCAACAAAGTAAACGGTTTTCTCTACGACCAATGCAGTACAATTCATGTATACGGAGGACACAAAAGACAAAATATACACGGCGGAAAATGACTCCATCTACCTTTTCAAACTTTAAACCCCGGTAATAAATCGAAAAGTTCAATTAATAAAATTTTAAGCGAGTTTAACACTCGCCAAAAACACAATGTGTTTCTAAATAATAAAAAAGCCGCAATAACTAGAAACGTATTATTATACAAGAAATATAAATTTAAAACTAAAAGCAATTAATACGTGATTAGTTGCACAGCATGCGAGTGACGATTTTCATGTAACGATAGATAGACATAGATATATTGTCGGCTTAACTTTTTTTTTTCATCTCTTGTACGCAGAAAATGTTTTATCTCTGTATGTTTATCGCTCTTCCATAAATCCTTGAGGACACTACAAAATATATCTTGGTATAAATATTCTTAAAACCTCGTCATGAAATTTGGCATATCAATTATATTTAATTCAATACGCGATGAACGATATACATAATCCGTCGTTACAACTGCCTTAACTCGTGCCTCGTGTTTCCAGTGTCTATTCACTCTTGAAAGAGCATCTGTTCGCAAACAGCCGGCATGGTAAACAGTCCCATTTGAAGCTGTGGCACTATGAATTATTGCATATTGACTTATCTGTAGTGTCAGATGGGTTTAATAGCCGGGCCCTCCCCCAGGAATCCTCCTGCGCGCCAAGAAAGCACAGGATTTCTTTGATTGTTTTTTTTTTCAATTACGTGCGTGGGACTGAGAGATTCGAACTCCAAAACACGGAAGATTTTCTAGGCTGTTTGCAACGATCTTAGAGGGAATTTCTATAGGCTGTTTGCAACGATCTTAGAGGCTTCAAACCTTTTTTTTTCTTGGCTTCAATCATGGGTGCGCCTCGTGATAACGCCCCTCTCAGACTAATATCCAACTAACAGCATTATGTCGTCAATGCTATAAGGACCTTATAGCGTCATAACGTCTGCAATTTTTGTGAGAATTACACGAGTGAGAACCACACGTCTCCCAAATGTCTTTTATACATATTAAAAGTAAAAAGAGTTTTTGGTTTACTAGTATATTGCACGATCACATGCTGTGAAGATAAGAACATGCGTCACTCCTTCACGCATATCCTAGTATGCAAATAAGCGTAAAAACGCTCTTTCACTGCATGAGTAAAAAAATGCGTAACTTACTTAAAAGATCTTTCGACTACGCTTTCCTAAATGCTTTCTCGAACTATAAATATTGCTAATTTCAAGCTAATGGTCACAAAGCAATTAGCAATCTGACAAAAAAAGTTTAAAAAATTTCTTATGGAAAATATTGGTGCGGAGATAATATTAATTCCTTCCCAAATCCTATTTCTTGTAATAACTTCTTCCCAAATCCTATTTAACACATATATGTTAATATATTATATACGCCACACGCTGGCTGCGCGTGCATAGCATGCATTGATATATACAGTCAAAATATATTAATATGTGATTGTCATAAAACTGATATTATCAACAGTTATTACCGGCTGTTTTAACCGCATTAAGTTTGAAAGAAATTAAATACCGTTTTACCAAGGCAAAGTTTACTAGAAACAAGTCTTGTAGCTAATGAATTTTGCCTTTGTGAAAAGTGTACGAATCTCGCCGAACGAGGAATTCGTGAAAAACTAAGTTCAACTGTTGCTATAGTAATTGCATCTGAGCAAAAGATCGAAAGTATTTTCATGCCAAAGAAAATATATACTGTTAGGAAATTAATTTGAGCGAAACCGACTTAAGCAAGATCTGAAAGATGAAATCCGGAACTTGACCCTAAAAAAAACGCCAAGCTTGCATAAATAATTTACGCGACCCAAAGTGCTTAAAGTATTAAAATGTAAATATATGACATGCACGCAGCTAAAATGATAATGCGTTACTACCTGTAATTTTCATTCTCGCCTTAAGTTAAGCATATTGTATTATTGGAAGACATATAAACAATGTTTGCTGACCGCCGCAGAATACTAAACTTCCTGTAAGCGTCAGCAACCGTTATAACACTGTATTGTTTCACAACTTTATATAAATCGACGTGTTCCTCTACCGAGTCGATCTTGAGAGTTTTCCCAACGAGAGATTCGACTACATCAACAAGCTGGTAAGTATTACAGTATTAATTTTAAATGCTATCAAAAATAGTCGGCCCATTCGAGTAGCAAAACGCGCATGCATGTATGCCGATTGCGACAAGTTCAGTATACAAATTTACATTCAATACTCAGTAATCAGGCTTTGGTTAAAAATTAAGACTGGTGAATGAGTGATATGAAAACAAAAAATAAAACTAGAAAAAATCATGCAAGTACATGCAGCTGGAAAGAGTATCCCGATACTAGTAAAACTAGTAGGATTGGAAAGTATATAGTCGCGAATTTTGTAGAGATTATAGTTTGCGCGCGAGAAAATGTGGTAGGGAATTCTTTGATATTTCCCAACCAAACTTTCCAATCTCCTTTTCTCAGCTGCATGTACTGATGAATGTTTGTACATTTGGGAGACATTTTTTGAACCAAACTAAGTTGCACGGCTCATGAAATGTTCATTTTTTTACAACATTCATTTTAGTGTTTAGAGTTGGCAACTCGCTGAGGCCTGTTTCAGACGTCGAACTTTTCATGTGAAAGTAAAGTATTTGTTTAAGTTTTGCATTCGATTCGGCACATCGACGTCAGCTGTTTAAAAAAAACGTCCCGTCTGAAACTGACCTAAAACCACGTTATATTGCCATAAACAACTTGACAGGTATCTGCTTTCTCACGCAAAGCTCCTAATTTATATAAAATCTTGCTCTATAACATTTGTTTCCCTTTCTATGTCCCAGAAATGTTTCTAAAGACGTAATGGAACATTTAGCAGAAGACTGTGCTTTAATTAAAGCAATTTAATTTTTTACACCTTTCCGAAACAGTTGGCATGATATTTTAATATGTTAATATTTATAACTCTCTTATAATGTATTCTTTTCATTCGTGGAAGACAGATAAACATAGTTTTGATAAACTGAGTTTATTATGCCGATAGTAACAATAATAGTTTTCTTGCAGCTATGAATTACTCAACGCTTGGAGGAAACACGAGCATAAATTGGTCTACGCAAAAACCCAACACGATTATGTTCGTTCAAATCGACATGACGGTCGCTCTAGTGTTCTCGATATTAGATATCGTTGGAATTATTGTCGGCTCATTGGCCAATATCGTCACGATCGCACTAGTTCTCATCCAATCAGAACTTCGCACAACGACCGACGTGTTCACGTCCAGCCTATGCGTCTCGGATCTTTTAGCGAGCGTTCTCTTCCAACCTTTTGTGATTCGTCGATTGCTTGCTCGAAAACCCAACCAATCATACGAGTGGGCACTGAGGCGAACAATAGGACAAGCTACCCTTGTCGCAAGTTCTCTGAGCCTGCTGACAGCCGCCGTCGACCGCTATATCGTACTGCGCTGGCCATTGCGTCATGAAAACATAATGCAGAGATCGACTGCGCTGTTTGTGATCAGCGGAGTATGGCTTGTCTCGTTCTCAATGGGCGTGATAGCGTTCTTCAAGCGCAATGTGTCAGCGGTTGTATTTCCCAGCATTATTGCGATCATCGTTGCCACCATTGTCGTGATACAACTTTCGATTTTCATCATCGCGAAGAAACAGGTTGATAAAATGAAGAGCCAGTCAAGGCAAGCCGGCGAACAAGGAGCAAGGTTTGTCACAAATATGCGCGCGACAAGGACGACAGCTCTGCTGCTAGCAGTGTTTCTTGTAAGCTGGTTGCCGTCCACAATTTTCAGATTCTATGACCGTCTCTCCGGTGGAGATATGGTGACGTTTCATAAATGGATGCACCTGCTGAACACCCTCATTCAGATTCATTGTACACTCGATCCATTCCTTTATGTGTTGCGCCACCGACGACTTATGACCGTGATCGAAAGAGTTTTTAAGCGACGCGTTGACGCCGGCGTGATGCTGGAAAATTTCGCATCGAAAACGGATTTGCGATAGTGAAAAAAACGGTTGGCAGCATGCGATCGATTTGTCAGGTATAAAAAATGCTTGAGCCGTAGAGGCAATTTACGTCATCACGCTGTGATTTCATTGTCGACAGCTAGTAAATATCTGAGACTGATTGTACGATGGCTGGAAGCGCTAACTCGCAGATAGTGATTTTTCAACCGTTTTCAAAGCTCGAAAAGTGGAAACCCAAAAAGGTTACAGCGTTAGAGGTAACAACTTTTAAAGGAAATTTAAGACTAATGTAAGGTTGGATCAAATATATACCACAAGGGCAATTTTACAGCGATTGAGGAAACGGTTCATTCAGTAAATAGTGCCATACAACTTTCGTCAAATGTAACTTGGAATAAAGGAAACTGCAAATAAATGATAAAAAAATTTTTTGCACATGTACGAAATATTACAGGAGTTAAACAATGTCATTGAATTACCTAATAAATTATCAGAGGACCAAAAAAATTGACACCTGCAAGGTAATGATTATACTTGTACAAAAATAACTATAAAAAGAAAACTCGATCGTAAGTTTATTATCTTTTATAATTTAAAGGAGTCTCCTATAATTGTGCATTCGTGCGAACTGGACAGCACGTTTTCAGATTTATAATTTCCTGCGTACCCGCAAAAAAACCAAGTAAACGAGGATAGTAAGGTGCGTTCAAATGCTGGGTGCATGCAAAAATAAAAATCTGGCAAAAAATCTTGGTGATACTAGCTGGGTAGGAACATCCATTTCTAAACATGAAGTATCAGTAAACGATTAGAATTAAGTAATAAATCTAACTAGCCATTTCCCAATCGAGCAAGATATTGGGTCTAGCATCTATAGACTGTTTAGACGGACAAAAACTTCAAACTTATATTTCCTGTCCCTCCAAACAGTCCATTGATGCTTTGCGGTTTGCGACTAGACCCAGTACCTTGCTCGATTGGGAAATGGCTAATTGAAAAGGCCATCGAGTTAGCGAGACGCCTTCGAAATATTCATGCTCAATTCTATTTTGGAATTTTCAAGGCGAACCCCAAAAATCTCGTAGGTCGTGAGAACTGAGATAATCTTAACATACCTTTATAGGCCCTATATGAACTGCCTGTATGGATTAACCTATAATTATATTAAATTTAAGATACTATGTAACTACAAAATCTTGTGCCACTGTGCTATTGGCTTCCGAGGTGACAGAAGCATATATTCCCAATGGTGTACCCCCATACTCGTCCTAGCATTCGGGCCGATAATCACTTTCCCTAATAGCTCCTGATTGTCCCTCTTGTTCACCACTCTTGCGTACAAGCCAACGTTCCCGATATGCTTTGTGGGCACGTCAAAGATGAAGGCTTCATTATAAACGGGATTTAGAGTTTTGCTTTTTACAGAGGTTTTAATCTTTTTGACCTGCTTCCTGTTCAGCATTAAGGAAACCTTAAGGAATGGACCTAAGGAGAGGAGAAAACTTGTAGTAAACAGAAAAAAGTATGTCACCCTTTAGAACGGGCATTTCGCTGATACGGAATCTCTCTTTACTGAGATATGCAAACTGATAATATCGTATATAAAACCCTCAACTCGAATACCCACTTAGAGCAAAACGTGTCCACTTGGCCATTCCCAAGTTGCAATAGAAGACAGATACTGAGCCAGTGAGGTTGAAAACGTTTTTTGAGAAGAATTTTGGCAGTTCGAATGGCCAATTCACTGACTCGGCATCTGTTTAATACAAACACTCAGTTGCCTTACATCACATGCATGCAGACAGACAACTCTTTATATGGCTAATGAAGGTAATGCTATAAAGTAAGAAGAAAGGCGAGCAACTTATCTATTTTGTTCATCTATTTATATTAATTTTTAACTGTTCTATTTCGCGTACTCGTTTGTGTAACTTATGCACATTTAGGGTCATTCTTAATTTTATGAAGAATTCATCTCATGCATTTTAACAATCGCGCCACGTGTTTTGTTTTTTCTTTTCTCAAGATGCATCCATATAGTCATATAAAAAAGTTAAATTATACTACGTGTCCATATGGAGTCATAGAATAGATGCAATATTTCCCTAAAGAACCGAAGTAATTTTGGCCGGTATAGACAATGAATTTCCATCCTTCTCTCCATGCTAATGCGTACACCAACTAAAATTTCAATTAAAGGAACGAAATTGCCAAGGGCAATCGATTATGAACAGAGTCATGACGCTATTGGTTGGAGATTTAATTTAATTTTAGACTAAATGAATATCATCATAAAAAACAAATATCTTCAATGATAAATAACCGGGGGCTTTTCACCAGAGCGCGACAATAATTAATCTCGTTTGAGCCAATTTGTTGTACGTTTTCATCGTGAAAATTTAATCACATTTGCTGATTAGATTAAGAAAAATCAACAATAACCCACCGCAATGTGGTTGAACGTGACAATGCATCGGTAGGATTTATCTGTGCATGCTCCTGAAAACCTACTTAGTTTTTTAACTTTTAGAGATTTGTCATTGTGTAGCACTTCAAAATACTGCGGAAATCGTGAACTTGTTTAAGCTTGATGACTCCACTTACTGCTTAAGAAATGGAACTATATACCATGAAGCTGTTAAAAAAGATTCTAAATGAAGCTGTTAAAGAAGTCTAAATTGAGGAGATGAAATGAAATGAAATGAAATCAGTTTATTCGGAAAAACAGCGTTATAAAAAATAACGAAACAAAGAATAACAGGTCAATGGCGCCGGGGGAATTGGAGTAACTAAAGAGCCAATTCTCCATAAGAACTATATGCAATAATTATAATAAATCAAATATGACATGTATAGTACATATCATTATAATTATTACAAATTTTGGCTGAGTTGTGCAGCGAACACGGAAAAAATTAACATTTCACTCATTTTAATGGGGCGATGATTGCATTGGCCGGTCAAGCTGGTCAGAACAGTGTCACTTGTATCATAGCGACAGCGTTGTATCATAGCAACAGCTAAAAGAAGATAATAGCGTTCAAAAATCACTCTAAGAAATTGATTAACTTTATCGCGTTGGGGAACACATTTACGCGTCTTTTTAAGCTTCTAAAATGAGATGTGCCTAAAGCAAAAGTCTTTACGAACCATCTTGGACGTGGAGATTTGCCGATGCTTGTGAACAACAAGCAGAAATTGGAGCAGTAAGGTACCTAATATGCCCGGAGTATATACTTTCTTATACAATTTCAATCGTGAAAATATTTTTTCTCGGGAACATACTTGGGCATCTTGAGTTGCCCTCAAATTTTCATTGTTTAAAGATTGATAAAATTAATGATGTTTTGGACGTGGACAAACATGACTTCTCAATTGTGGGTTAAATAAAAAGCAAATTTGAATGATTCTACCCTCATTGCTTAGGCGCGACGCCTAAATTTCTAAATTAGTGCTAAGTCACGCATGCCATATTGGCCTACGATGCCAGCCGAAAATGCAAAAAGAATGATTGGGAATACAGTATGCCTGGTTTGAATTTAGTCGTATAATTATCATGAACAAGTCATTTTCACTGATGAGAAACAGTCCGGATGTAATTTTCTCTTTATTTCTGTATTCTGTCATTGTTGACTGCACGAACACGTAGAAATATCCCATCATGCACATCAGCCACCTTGGCATATTCACGACACTCACGACAAAATATCATTTAACCGCTTTATGGAGAGCACACGCGTTTTTTGAAGTTTTTTTTAAATGGTTGTTTCAAATGCTTTTTTCATTCTTCATCAACATAATCATATTTGGTGATATTTTGAAGAATTATCGGTTATCTTGGTTTAATTTTAGCCCGCTTAACCTCATGCATGATGACGTTAGGAGTGGGGTTAGCCTTACAAAATTCTTTTGAAATTACCAAGCGATAATCTCGAATTTGTGTAATTTGTTTCAGTCCATTCGAAATGGGAAACAGTCGGGCTATCAAGATAATAACTGACGTCACATGTCTACATGGTAAACAAGATGGCGAACAACTCATTGCCTTAGTCAATAAACGAGTAAAATATAAAAAAAATCGAATTTAACACTATAGGCATGGCATAGATTTGAGAAGTTCCTTCGAATAAGACAATGTGGACATTGTCCCTCACATAAAAAAATGTTCGTTGCATAAAACTTTTAGTTGAATAGTTTTCGTTGTTGACCTTAATATACGAATCTGGAAGGTTTTCCAGTGTTGATACAGAAATCTACCCTGTTCGAGTTGTTTTCTACTAAATCTACTCCTCGTGCATGTGAATATCGGTTGACGTCAATTTTATGCAATTATATACAAGATATCAAAAGCAATCTCTTTACAAACGAGCCGACATCATGTTTTTGTGAAAACATAATAAACTTGCTTGGATAAGTACTGAGTAATTAAAGACTACATACGTTTCATCGAGTTGGTGAGGTTTCATATAAACAAATTGAGTGACCTTGCTTAGATGCAATCTTAACTTTCGAGACTTGACTGTGACTAAGCGTTTCCTAATGATGTCATCTAGTTGTTATTAAAGGGTGTCGGGGATTCTCAAAGCTCGTTAGCTTCGTTTAACGATAGCATTTTTCACGGCAAATCCAAGACTGAATTACTTAAAACTAGCTGCTGTTCTGCACGACACTAGTAAGATTAATCTATAGGCGCGCAATGGGGGCGAATTTCGATGTTGTTCATCCATATGCATGGCTGTCCTAAAACTCAGACTTACCAAAGCCGCAGCTTGGTGGTTTCAGAAGAGAATGAATTGTAGCTCACAATACACAATTGGATAGATGTTTTTATCTAAACCGAAGTTTTGACCGCCACAAAGTTAACTAGTTCTGCGTGTGCACAAGATAAATCACTTCTGCGCTTCGTAGCAACTTCGTTTAATTTATTCCTTTTTGGCTTCTGTTGTTACCTATGCATGTTGTATGCATGCATGAGGAAAATGTGTACATGCAATATGTGCGGACAAATGTTTAATGTACGCATATTGTCATTGCAATTTATGGTATGTTAAAATTCCCCTAGCGAGATGGGCACCCTTGCACGCGGCACTTGAAAGTTTAACTTCTGGTTTACTATATATGAATGAGTATACGTTAGCAAATCGTGCACAGAACCAGGCAAACTATATACATTGTTACGTCTGAATCGGGAATGCATGCATCGTCTGTGATCTTACAGTAGTATAGCTTTATGCGGGTGTCAGCGCGTGGTATACGTGCGTGTCAGCGCGTCGTATACGCGTGCGTACATAAAGAATGCAGTAATAGAAACGGTTAGCCCTAAAGGCCAATGCACACCACGGACGCGATTCAACAACGCGACATGCATTTTTCAGAATTCAAAACAAATCACTTTGGATCAGGCCATCAGTCCAAACTCGAAAATTTAAAGTTTTAAAGAATTTAAATTTAAATTCAGGCCCTGTCGTTGTTATTTTATAAAACAATTACTTGGATGGCCTGATCCAAAACTTGGGAATGTTGTTCGAGTTATGAAAATATCGCAAAACACTCGCCTTCGGCTCGCAACATACCAGCTAGCGTGTTTGGATCAGGCCATCAAAACACGGAAACCTTTAAGTAATTGTATAATCGCAGTCAAGATTATACTCGTAAGTTTAAAACGGGTACGTCAATGGAAATCGGCCAAACTCGTCCGGCCTGTGTGCGTACCGGTACTCTATGCGTATCTATACATCCCAGTATTCTGCAAGCGATATTTTTCACTGGAAGCCAGTATTTAGCTTCTGTTTTAGAGCTTTCGTGTAAGGGTAGAGAAAAGAATCCGGCAGTTTGCACTAAAGTCCTTTGCCAGCAAAAAGCCTAAATATAAATACGGTATATAGAATCATAAACCGCTATTGACACCCGCTTTGAGTGAAACTCTGCGGCTTTCACATAATGTTTTGATATGGGCAATGATAATAGTTGTGAGAACGTCTATGTGAGATTCGGTCAGTTTTTTTTTATTGAGGACAATTTTGCCGGCTGTCTCGACCTTGAAGGGTCTTGGTAATTGTCAGAAGAATGTTTCGCTATTGAATGGGAGAGGTCATGTTGTTATAGCCATGCATAATCGGGGACAGCCCAGCCCGGCAATAAAAAATCCAATTTACACTAAGTGGATCCCGTGTGTATACAGGAACAGTTAAATTCAAATGCACTATCATTACTATATACTCGATTCTGTTTTGATTGCTTCACAATTACCTTTCGATCTAGTTGGAAAAGCTATATATGCTACGATATCCGTACAGCATGGCTAGTTCTAAAAATCCTAATTTGGGGGCAACCTCGTACGGTTTGAATCAATTGAAATACTCGTTTTTCTATATATATGGAAGACTTAATATATTCGAATAGAATTCCAAAAAAAATTCTGAAATTTTTGGAAAAGAACTTGGGGTTCTTATCAAACCGTTGTTATATCAGCTAGCTCGATTAAGAAACAGTTTCTGTTTTTTTAGTAAAAAGTACTTTGTGGGTAAAACAGGTAAACATAACGTATATAACAGCTGTATACAACTATAAATAAGTTGCTTTATTTCCCTCCTCCCCCCTTCTTTTTTATGCATGTACGCGCGTTTGCATGTTTGACTATGTTTTAAATATTTCATTAGCTGAGGCATTCACAGCCGCTGCTTGCGAGGCAGAGAGATAACTCGGCTCGACGTGATTGGTTAATCTCACCCAAGCATCGCCGTTCACTCCAAGCGGTGGGCAAATTATTCAAGATCTCCATCGACAAAACAAAAAGCGCGATGTTGTGCAGAGTTTGGGTGTAACGAGCGGAGTAAGTGAAACCAGAACAAACACTTACGGTGAACTGTCGACAAAACAGCGAACCGTTATTGAATATTTCGGCCAAGAGTAGGAACAGAGGTTGCTTCATTAAAAGCTTGATGAGTTTGTTTGCATTCGGGTCGAAAGCCGTTGAAACAAATCAGTATTCGCAACACTACGAGTGATCATTAATCGCGGGCAAAGGCTGAATTAAGGTCAAATTTCAGGCAGCTAGAGACTGCAGCAAGACCGGTCACAAAGAGCGGGAAGAAGTCTGGCTTTTTAATACGACTGCATTTGGCGCATGCATCGGGTAAACGTCGTGTCGACTGCTTAACCACGCTTCAGAATTCACCGGTTTATACTCTGTGAAAATCCGGTTGTGGTTTGTATGAAAGGAAGTCCTACGTTACGCAACAAGCGAGTAAGTACAGAAACTGCTTTTGTTACTATAATCTATTGCATCAACATGTGATTTAATCCCGTATAACATAAATCAATTCTACGGCTTGACTTATTTCACGAAAACTATCTTTACTGAACACAATGTCAATGACAATGATCTATCGAAGCGCTTATTTCATATTTGATTCTGAAAACCCGCGAAATATTCATTCCGTCAAGCGCATATATTCCTTATCAATTCCATGTAATTATGTCAAATGATCCGAAATAATTAATTTGCTCCGCTTTGCTTTAAAGGCCGCGAAGTAAAACTCTATTGTACAACGTTGACATTCTCAACTTATTGAATTCCCGATTGTGACCTCACAGTTTACGTCGAAAATCGGAACTTAATTTGAGGTTTCCTGAATACCGTGTCAAACAAGCGAATCATTAAAAAGAACTTTATGTATATTTCTGAACAAGACCACAAAACTCGAAGGCAAGATCCGAGCATTGATGACCGTTGCACTACGCTAAGATACTTCGTTAACATAATATAGCCATGTAAAACAAGTTATAAACGCAATGAACATATTCTCGCTTATTTTTTATATGTAATGGAGTAGTATATATCCTTTCTATACCATGTATGCATGCGTGCATGCAGGTATATGCTATACATGGCGCTTGAGGCTAGGCAATTTCATTGGTTGTCTTTTAGCACACTAATTTAAGTATTTTTCCTGCCTAATACGGAAAGATTTGATAATAATCAAGGCGGATTTCGGACAGGCAGAAGTGCCTATAATAATCATGCATGCGTTTTTATAAGTGCACGAAAAATAATATATCCTACAACGCAGGCCGCGGAAAGCTACCTGTAAAAATGATGGCGAAACTATAGTAATGGGAAAAAACCGAGGGTTCAAACTAGCCATATATATATATAAGTCACGAATTATCAGAATTCGGGCACTATTGCCTTTAATACCCACTGACCAGGAGAAATTTGAATAACAAAAGCGGAAAGAAAAGGACAAAAAGTTTGATATTTGAATTTAGAACCTTGACTGCATTGCATTTCCCCGATTTCTGTACTAATTTAGAAATCTTGAGAAAACTGCAGCAGCAGTCCCTTATTATGACATCAAGCTTAAAATTAAAACTAATCTACAAAACTCATTTGCAGCTTCAATCAGACTGAAGAAAAAAAGACGCGTTAATTCTGCAAAGTAAATTGGCAAATAGTGTTATCAGTTTGGAATAGATATTGGACCTTGCCGTATACTAGCTCGCGTGTGTCAAAAAACGTGTCTATTTGCTACAGCCATAGGAGAGAACGCAACTTTTCGAAGAAATATATTTGAGGTTTTGAAGAACAGATCTCTTAGAACTCAAGTATCTTGTTTATGAAACATAGCTAACGTATATTGCGTCAAGAGGAACAAAAACACCTGTCATTATATGTTCGTGAATAATTGGAGATATAGTTGACGGCTGATAAATGGGGAGGATGCCGCGTTAAAAGAAATCAAATTTACGAAGGAAGTTCGGAGCTGAAAGGAACAAAATCCTGCTGCATTAAGTAAAATATACAAACGACTTCAGCCCACCGCGCTGGCGCAGTTTTCAGAGAGATGTGCGAATGATATACACGACGAACTCGCTGGCCCGAAAGCTCCCGACGGTTCGTTAAAACGCTTAATATAAAATTTCATTGTTTGTCATTTCAAGAGAAAGCATCCGGACACTAGAGCGTCAACTCAACGCCAAAACAACGTTGTCCGAAGAGAAACGTCGCAGCGAAGAAGAAAATTTCTGAAGGAATTGAATACGACTAACAACTAGCAGAAGGACTAAAACCGAGCATCGAAAAAACTCAGAGAGGTATAGCAAGCAAATTGAAATCAAATATATAAAGCCTAAGCCCCGAAACCCCCAAACACCTGTAGCTTTATACTATGATGAACATGGAACTAACGAGATTACATGGAACGAATCTGCCCAAAATAAAAGTTAATAATTTTCAATCCGACTTTGCGTCGCTCGAAAACCTCGAAGCCCCGATAACGGGCCACGACATTATACCAGCGTGCAAGCGCCATACAGTGTATAAAATATACGTACACAACGCGAAAAAACAAGGCTGGTTCATAACGCGCCGTTATCGAGAGTTCTACAAATTGAGGAATGATCTCAAAAAACTCTTTCCCGCCAAGGAATTTAGCCTGCCGCCAAAGCGTTACTTTGGCGATAATTTCGAGCCGCGATTTTTGAACAATAGACGGCAGGGATTGCAAGGGTTCTTATACATGATAACGCGACAGAAAGATGTACTCGCATCCCCACCTGTGACCGAATTTTTAGCACTAAACAACCCGCCTTCGGTCTTGGACGACGTTGCCCAGTGCAAAGCGGTCATCGAGCAGTTGGAAAGCGAACTGACGAAGTTACGAATGGCTAAAAACGAGCACAGCAACTCAATTTCCACTACGAACGGGCAAATAGCTGAACTTTACAATCAAAAGCAGGCCGTCTTAGGAGCGTTGCGTTACGAACGGCAGCAACACGGAAGAAAGCATTACCCAGGAGACGACTTGTCGTTGATGTTTGAGTACCGATCGCTTCCCGAAGTTTCCCGAGTCGACGTCAGCAGTTTTTTAGTTCGTAAACAAGTTGGTGGCATAACACGAAAAGGGGACGAAAAAACACTACGCAAAGATGACAACACGCGAGGAAGTCCACGAGAGGAAGTCCAAACACCAAACCGTCCCACGCGTACCTCGCGGGACGAAACCCCCGCAACAAAAAGGACTCGTACACACACGCCGCCGATTTCGGAATACATGAGAAACGATTCTATGCACAAAGACCCGACGCGAAAAGGGCAACCTTACATCGAGATTCAATGCCCGAAGTTCAGAGATCGTCCACAATTTTTAAGCAGCGACGACGTGTCTCCTAGCAACGGGGAGTTCAAGAGTTTCTACGAACGTCCAGCACGACGGAAAAGCATGCCGGGGGCTGTGGAATTACATACGCTGAATCACACGTTGAAAACGGGAAATAATATGAAAGCTCCAGACTACGGGACGCGGCCAACGAGTCTAGCCGTGCCTGGAGTCGAGCAGGCTCGGCCCAGGTCCTATAGCGCAAATCCAGCGCACCCAGATGAGATATTGGAATCGGGATTAAAGCACGCTTCTGTGAAGAGAGTTAGAAAACAAGCCTCTCTGGAAAGTCCGAGACGAAATGTAGGCTGGTCGAGCTTGAAAGATTTGCGAAAGTTGAAAAATAAGGTATAACTGGACTGAGTCGCGTTTTTAATAGGACTCGCGACTAAAACAACCTTATGGAACTGCATTAAAGTAGTTTTGTAAATACTCCTACAGCATTAGATAAATCAACAGTGATAGAACATGACCGCGATCATCCGGAATTTCGACGAACAGAATCAGTCAAAATATATACTCATAAGATATCGCCCTTTTAGCATGAAAGATTACTTACTTAAAAAAAGCAAAATCATTCAGCATGACATGTGTATCACTCAAAATTCAACTTACTTGGTACGCCATTTTGTGCTTGAAAGAGACGACATTTGAGAACAACTAAAGTAAGACGGCCAGCCGTTGGTAAATAGCAAAGGGACATTAATATTTCTCCTATATTTCCGTTGTCAGCGTCGTCCTAACGAAAAAAATGAGGCAAAATGAACCATATATAGGCGGGTTAGATTGACGTAAAGAAAAAGCTGCATCCTAATATAGCATTAACCAACTATGCTGTAACTAGGGGAATACTGAATAATCTCGAATCTTGTTCCTCGACAGAGGATTTCAGGCTCGTTGCTTCGAGACTTTTTAGTTTAGGAAATCTTTAAAAGAGGGATTGCAAAAAAACCCTGAAATTTTATTGAGCTCTTGCAAGTGATGAAATATTTCGTGCATTTTGCCTTCTGCCATTTTGGGTGGCAAATTTAAATACTGTTAGTTAAGAGCCAACAAACATAGAAAGTACTGAGCTTATATTTTCACTTTGCAAGGTTTCCAAATTCCAAGTATTGCAGTAATCGCGGTTGAATGAAAAAAAGGCTCATGTCACCCAAACGTCGGACTAGATTCGTGATATCTCATCTTTGCAGGAACCCAATGCAAGTATATTACAACAATTTGTAAATAGCAGCAGAGTATATTTTAAATCGTATATCCAAAGTTTTTTGCCAAAACTCACAGCGCCCAGACTTAATTATCATGCACTTTAGTCTCATATTCTAGACTTTGAAAATTGTGTATATTTTAGTTCTACGGGGGACAATCTTTTCGAATTATCTATCATGCAAGTATCAAATATATATGTAACAGTATTACGGTGATTTTAGAAACAACATTAGTGCATCACTATGTAATGAGGTATTAAGATTAAATCTTTCTATATAGAGGTGTATAGAAATAAACACACTGAATGATTCCGACACAGGAATTTTATATTGTTGTCGTCTTCCTCCTCGAAGTTAAGCTCTGATAGAATTACGCACTTAACGTCCTTCCTGAAAAAACAGCTCAGAAAAAGTTGTTCTTAATTAATTATGTCTGTGTTTTCGATAGTTTTCTCAGTCTCGCATGTGAGGTCTTTAAAGAAACTTAGAGGAGGGAACACTGCAAGGAAAGGGTTGTAAATAGAGAGCGATTTGGAAAAGCAGAATTTACGATTCTTTTTTGGATGAAAATGCAATTCAGATACCAAGAGTGTGGTAAAAATTTTAGCTACATCGGCTCCTGAAAGTTCGTGTCTAATCTATGTACTGCAGTAACGTTTTCCGAATCATCCTAAACACTTCATGAAGTATCCCATGCAGTGACCGAGCGCAAAAAATTAAACACGGCCAAACGTTTTCAACCGAAAAGTAAATGAAAAGTAGTTGCCAACCTACAAACTAGGAAGTATCTTGAAGGTAACCTTACTTATTATCTAATTTTAAACATGCGTGATTATCCTATCCTTTCATTCGCTTACCTGAGGTTTTCCTCGACCAAGTTCAAAATCTAATCTCATCATATCCATGTAATTATAATTCTCGGTATCAAACGAGTACAATAAGTGCCCAACAGCCACCCTCTGTGAGAAACCATCCAGCTCTATTGCCTTCAAACACAAAGTCCTTTCGGGCAACTCCTCGAAGGGTAGCGTATACTTAAAACACTCTTCGAAGACAGGGCTGGGGTTATGATGTCGTAAACCAGTCCTTTGCCGCGTGGTGATATCCGGTAGAAGCGTTCCCTCGACGTAGAAAATGCATGATCTTTGTGGCAGTCCGTGAGCTTGGATAATGGTGGTGTTGAGAACTTCGTTTTCACGATCGTAGAAGATTGAAAACTCGAGTCTGCCACGTTCAAATGGAAACGAGAGACTATCCTCTTCACTAAGTGGACTCAAAGGCGTCGGAGGTAAAGACGAGTCCCGACTTGTGTCGGCGATCTCCGACACCGAACTGTCAGAACGCATGAGTTTCACGTGACGCGGTTTCTCCGGCGGCGTGGGTTTTACTGAGTCGGTAAATTTTTCCTTGATTTTTTCATGGCGGCGTTTTCGTATCCATTTGAATAAGACGGCGACGAGAAGGCCGAAAATGCAGATGGCAAAGAAGACGGTTAGAACCAGAATGACGATGAACTTTGTGCTAACTTGGTTCTCTTTAAAAAACGAGTATATGTTTTATTATAATATATAGCTATACTCATGGTATATATATGAGCTGACTCGCTGTACGTCAGCTCAGATAAGATAAGTATAGTGAAAACAGTCAGTAATAGAGTAGGAAATTACCAGCAATGAGAATTCAATAAAAGTTCAGTGTATATTTCTACTACATACGGTAAAGGTCTACAATTCTGAACATAATTTATGTGGGCATGCAGGACAAGTTATTGCAATATTTCAGGTAAATCCTGAAAATCTGGCGTGTGTATGCAGATCCCCCACTCCCTCGTCTCAATGTTGGTTCCTAGTGTACTCATCTCTCAATTGTGCAAAAGGTGAGCAACGTTAACATCGATCAACACTGTTTGGGCGAAGAGGGGGTGTGATTTATGACCTTGAACTTTATAGTTTTTCCCTGATTGTAGCTATATTCACTCTCTTCATAAATGGAGTGGTAGTCGACTTCGGCTCGGATCGTACAGACTATTGAGCTTATTTATCTATTTTTATTTAAAAATCTATTTATTCGTGCACGCCTTACACAACATGCTTTGTTGGTTTTTAGAAAGGGGCGTGTTTTCATAACAAACTATTCTCGTTGATCTTAATTATCTGGCATGGTGGTCATGCTTCGTTTAAATTAAGAAAGCGAAGATGCCTTTTTCAGCTCAAGTGGAGGGTTAGCAGCAATGTACCACTATAGTCTATACCTAAAACTCCGTTTGAGATAGTTTAAGGTTTTGGAAGTGCTCCCGCTAGGTATAGCGCTCGTATACGACTCAAGCTCATGGTACGATTGTTAAATGCATGTGGCTGTGCTGCTGCATGGTGCCTGGCATATCACAGGAAAAATTGAAAATCCACGCATGAAAATGTTGTGCAAATATTTCTAAGTAACATACGGGAAAGCGCGGGTGAATTTTGATAACAACAAGCGCGGCACGAAAATATACTGATCATCATGGATAAATACAATTCCCATACCATATGGATTTTAATGTTTTCTGCCGTGAAAGATTATAAACAACACTAGATTACATAGATTATAAAAAAGATTATATAGTTCATAAACAACACTGTTTATTTAAATTTAAAAAAACTGATTATATAGATTATAAAAAACACTAGATTATAAAGAAGATTATACAGATTATAAAAAAACACTAGATTACGTAGATTATAAACAATACCATAGATTATATAGATTATAAAAAACACGAGATTATATAGATTATAAAAACACTAGATTATATAGATTATAAAAAATACTAGATATATTATATTGATTATAAAAAACACTAGAGTATATTGATTATATAAACATCGCTAGATCATATAGATTATAGACGGCACCAGATTAGATATATTATAATGAACGTAAAGAGAGAGAGGGAGTAATTTCCTCAGAAGTCAGGGAAAAAAAGGTTCTGCGATTGTCTCCCTTTGGTTTAATTTCTTTACACTGCGAGAAGTACCACGCGTAAAAATATCATATCTTGTGGCAAGTCTGTTCACAAGCTTGCAACAAGATTTGTTCGCACTGTTTGTCCCAAGCTGTTGACGAGATGGGACAACTTGTTAACAAGTTGTAACAAACTTGTCGAATCAAAAGACTCACTGAGGCTGTTCCAACAAAGTCTGGTACAAACATGATGTGACAATATTGTTTCAATCTTGTGCTGTCAAGTTCGTAGCAATGTCGTTGTATCATATATCTGCATAAGACTTGCATGTCAGAACAATCTTGTAACGAGTCTGATAGTGCCATCGGACTTGCTCAAGTCATTTCACAGCTTGTCCCAAACTTGATACAACAAATGTGCAGTGCGAACACGTCTCGTTGCACGCTTGTGAACAGACTTGTTACAACTTGTGCGTTTTTACGCGTGTATAGTGAGGGGTGCCAATTAAGAATAAAAATATTATTTCAGTAAGGATGCTAATCGTTTAGGGATGTTAAATCGTTTCCTTAACCGCGACTTTTGCTAAAAGAGGCGGTGTAAAACCATAGATGAAAATGCCGTCTCTGAAGATCTAGAAGCGAGAGTCCGCCCCCTCTAATTAATGCTAAATATACTCCCATAGTCCCATACGCCCCTTTTGTTTATCCAGACAGTTTCGCTACAACTGAACTGGGACGAAAATGGCAGGCTCAAGAATAGCTCAAGCATAGCTCTAGTTGCCGGTATAAACCAAGTCAGAGACGTAAGCCTGACCTGAAACGAAGTAAAATCGGATTGATGACATAATTATCTGTGTTGTGACTTACTGTCACGTCGCAGCGTGCTTCATGCATCACTATATATACGTGCGTCAATCTCACTAAAATCTACTCTCATAGTATATATCATATACAGCTGTTATCAGTTAATAATTTACCACATATAAGGAAAAATAGTGCAATCTTTGCACGTTCTTTTTGGCAAAATCCATTCATTAGACAAACACGTACTCGCCAAGTTATTTATCTACTCTCTTGTGTCTCGTATATGGTCCCGAAATGTTTAGTGCTGTATTTAGTATTGTATAATATTACTATATTATTGTATATTTCACGCCCCTCGTGGAAATGAAGACGGTTATCCAAGTGTACATTTTATTCACTGTATATGTATATTTACGTATAGATGGCTATTATCCAAGTGTTATTGTTAGTGTTTTCCAAAATCAAGCAATACTATATAATAGACAATTTAAACTGTTCGTTATAATTAAGAAAAATACGGGAAAAGGCATGTGACAGTATAGAGAAAATAAGTTAAATATACAGAGTTAAACACTGAAGTGAGGTTGTATATGAAATCCTAGCTTTAACTCAGTACAATTTGGGTAGTTAAATCTTTAACTTTAAGTCAGTTGATCGTCCATGTTGACTTGGCAACCTTTCAAACTGTCATTTTTAGAGATTTAATCTTCTAGAAGTCCAAGTCGTTCCGATCCATAAAAATATAGAACCGAACATGCATTCGGACAAAGGATCTTTGTATATATCCTGAACTCCATGCAACTACAGACCATGAACAAAAATAATTATAAATAAATATAAGTGCAAACACTAAGTGCGTATAAGACATAAAATTGTTTACTTCGATTTTTCGAGAAAAATCTTTCTCTTTTTTCATTTTTATATCTATAATGAGATATTTTGACTAGAGTGACGCGTGACGTGTTTTGACCATTTTTTTCCCATCATATATCCCTGATTATACAATTACAATCAACAACTACTTTTTATGTGTATAGAATAATTAATGAGCGTTTTTCAAAATCAGTGTCATTTACAGTCAAGCACACAGCTTTCGTTAGTCGGTTATTTAGATGGGAAAGGATTCTGAACATGTTATTTCAGTCCGTATATTGTCTTAACAGTACACAATAATTGAGATACAGCATATTACTTTCACAAATTGGGGCCATATAATAATTCATGTCTCATTTACATACCAGCCTAGCCTAAGTATTCTGTGATTTATATATTTTCTATAAAAAACGACTCGCTTTTACTTCACGCAAGTTCTTTCGAATGAACTGCCAACGAAGACTGTTTACTTTTGTGTTGCATTCACATTATATCTTAAACAGCTATGTTAGGTGGCTTTATTTTGGTGGCGTGATTCAGTGAAACTTCATCTGCAAATATGGCAAGCGTCACTTCTGGTGAAATGGAGCTCCGTGATTGGCTGAGAAGAATTTTGAGCGGTTCATTACTTTCCCGTAATGGACCGGCACTTTCTCGTAATGGACCGCTGTAGCGGCCTGAGATTGTCACCGTGCTGAGATTGTATTAACACTACTGCGCATACTCTGTTTGTTAGTGCGCCTGCGATTAATACGGTCCGGCGTTAGTTGCGATCCAATAGAACAGTGACAACAACCGACAACATGCATGCATGGTATGCTTTATGATTTGAAAACTATTCTTACAGTGTTCAACATGTTTTCTCACACGATATCATGTCCTCAGTATATATTCATGTAACTGAAACTAAATCAACGCGCACACCGTCACATATCACTGCTCTGTTTTCATTGTGCCCATTATAATAATTCGACTGTCATGCATGATGGTATAACCACTCAATTCACAAAACAAACACCGATATAACACCTGCCAATCGCGTTAAAAGTATTGATATATAGGCACTCGGAGTTGCCCGTGAAAACTCTTTGTCCACTTTGAATAATTTTTTTTCACCTTGTCCTTGCTATAAAGATGTTAAATAATTACGAATATAATACATTAGCTGTTACCATGAGCATAATACAACACGTTTGCTGTTATCTGCCGCCATCTTTGCTGATTGTTACATCCGGAGCATTTTGAAGAAAGATATTTACTATCCCCGCCCTTGTAGCAAGTGGCATGCGAAAATGTGCCCAAATTCTCAGCCAGTAAATAACATTTTCGCTTATCGAAACCTTATCCTAAATCGCTGGTAAAAAGTGACTCGGGATTCGGGAATTAAGATCTCGATGCTTCTAAACAACTTATAATCATCATTGCATTCACGCTTCAGCGGTAACTGGTTAATCGCCTTAAACTCATCGCAAAAAAAAGCCAACGGCAACGGTCAGAATACGGTACTAGTAACATAAACACTCTCTCGCACGACAGGCTTTTAATCTTAAGAAGCAAAATTGCTACGTTTTGCCACAGATTTCAGGGCCAAAGCACTTTGATTCATCGCTTTAAACGGTTTATGCATCAGTGATATCTGCATTCCACAGTATATACAAGTACTGAATTTAAGATACTAGACTAAATTTGAAGCTCGCCTTGCTGCTATGGAGTATGTATTACTTTACGTTTCAATCATGTCTTATATGTTTGTTTTTTACCTTGGCGAATGTGCATGACCTATAGCTGTACCAGACCAAACCCCCCATTGTACATCATCTGAATCATTCAGTAAATTCTACCCACAGAACGCAAACTTTAGCAAACGATCACTAAAATGGGTTGTAGATATATATACTGCAGAATTAAAGAGTTGTACGATGAACAATTAACTCAACATATAACTTAACGTTTAGTCTTACAGCTGACCTTATATAACCTACTCGTCTAACCTACAGTATATATAAGCTATATATTTTATATAGCATTGGTTTCGAAATTTTATCTTATTAATCACTCGTTTGGTGGGTTGGCTGTGAATTTCAGAGCGATACATCTACTGTACAACGTATTTAACAATGTGATGATCAAGAAGAGACTGGCTACCATGAAGACATTAACAGCAGGATAGCGCTTGTAATTAAATTGAAACGCCACAACACAGCTCTGCTATAATCTTATAATCATGCAGACATTATATATGTAGTTACCTGTCCGAACGGGTTGTCTTTCGTCTTCTGGTTCAGCAGCGCTGTAAGCCGACGAAAATCTATACAGAGCCGTCTTCCACGCGAGTGGCATAACGTGGAAATCAAAACTGCATATCAAACTCGAAATCGCCGGACGTCCAGTGACTAAAATTCCTTCCCTTATGCCATGGCGTTTCGCTAATCAAATCAAGGATAGTGGATATCAATGCTCGGCATTGAAAATAAATACCAATACTTGTGGTATCGTCGGCACAGTTTATGGACGTTTGAGGATGTCTAAATCCCTAAAACAGAAGATATATTAAGTCCAACTGATCACAACTTTGCAGAGCGTCTACAATTCACTTCGCTTCAGCAATAAACTAAATTCCCAACGCGCTGTCTGTCAAAATTGAAATGATTATTTGCTCTGTTGCACACGAACACAGCATTGAATATGCAACATCATCAAGTGCGCATTTTTCCGAAACCGATTTGCATAAGTCTATAGAAATAAAGTGAGTAATTGAACTTTTCCAATCTGACCAACAATGGTAGCCCAGCAACTTTTGTCTTGCTGATCAAGTTGACGAAAATGCTCAAGACATTAGGGAGTGATTATTAATCTTAGATTGAGGTTTTTGGCAAAAAAGTATATAAAAGTCCGATATTATATGACAGCTGCATGTATAATAATCTGAAATTTTTTAACTAATTTTCAAGGGGCCGGAAAAACGCTCCAACGAGACTCCATACTTATACACTATAAACAGGAGTTCGGTAGGGGGAACTATTCTGAGCCAACTGTTTGTTTTCGTGAGAAATAACCCAGTTAAAAAATAATGAAAGCAAAATTATTATAACGCAGGTCTGTACAATACAATATACTGTCGAGAATATTAATACCGACTTATAAGCCCCGTTTCGGCAATACACTAGCTTGATTTAGGCTTATAGCACGGCTAAAATGGGTAGCCATACCTAATTTTTCCGTGCTAAGGCTACGGATACAAAGAATAAAAATTGGTCCCCAAAAAATTGAGTGTAGTTAAAACGGGGCTTTATTCATTTCGATTGTAGTTCGAATTCGGGGGGGTGGCACCCACACCACTATAGCTGGCCGTCAGACTTATATTGAATGTTTGTGTTCAGACGATTGATCGAAAATCGCCGGGGAAGAAAATTCAGTGACAACGCGTCATTAATGAATATCAGAAAACCAAACACTTAAAGTTAGTAGGCCACGTTTCTCAGTGATAAATGCATGACAACTGATTTGTAGCACTTATAAAGTTTGGACAATATATTTTCAGACAATATATATATATATATATATATATATATATATATATAAATATAAATATATATATATATAATATATATTATAATATAATATATATATATAATATAAGGCAACATATATTAGCATTTGCGAGAGTATTTCTGTGTTGGTTTGTTTTACACCCGGCGTGTATAAAGCAAAGCTAAATGAATGGTGCTGTTGAGTGTGCGGACAAGACAAGATTAGTTACGACCTAAACAGCCCCGGGTAACCCGGACGTTAGGGTTATAGTAATACCTCAGATACCGGTGATATGTTCTAGGTGAGGCGATTGAATCGGCGAGGCTGTGTCGGACCTTGGACAACCTAATTATGAGAACCTGTCGCAACAGCATGCCGAGAAGAATTCTGTAAAGATTATCAATAAATAGTCAATGAATGTACAAAGTTGCCGGTAGAGTCTCCGCTTGGCGAGTATATAGCGTGCGAAGACGTCGCAAATGAAACTCGGTTGTTGCCAAGTTTTTACAAGTACTCTTGCAGTACATACGTCACTTGGTTCGTTCCAATTCGAGAGTTTTCCTCATAAAAACGTGTCATATTGTTTGGTAACAAGCACTTATTGCAAGTTCAACTTGTTCAGGAAAAATACGTCAATGCTCGGTCGGTTGACTAGCAATTTGAAACCACTCACAGACATATATCATTCTCATTTATATATTCGCTCTCTTTTAACACCGATAAAATTTCCCTCAAGAAGGAAACTTACAGATCCTTAATGTTTGAACGGTGCTGTCTGTGAAAACACACGCCTCATCAGATGTTGATTTTGGGTAACGCATAAATATTATTGGTTTTAAATTATACTTATATACAGGTTTACAAGCAAGCATATTTGTCTATATGATGTGTGAAATTCAGTTTACGATACTTTAACAAAATAAGATTTGCGTTTTACGACATAATTATAATAAGACTATATAGCAAGTCATTACTACCTAAGGAATAGCACTCCATTTCTATATACGCATTCCAACAACAAATAGAAACGCGTAGAACCTTTCCAGACATCTTATTAGCGAACACGAAATTAGATTCATGTGTGACCATTCCATGCACTTCGATGATTCGTTGGATCTGTGATCCAGTCTTAGTATTTATTAGTGATCCCATTGATGACTTTACCGATTTCTCTTCCATGGATTTCGAAATACTTTCACTTAAAATTTGATGAAATCCGTCATATTGGGTAAATATGTTTCCCTCCTGGGTTGTGTACATATATGGATATCCTGATGTTTTTTGAAGGTTTGTACACAAGTATAGTTTTGGGTCATTGGGTGAGAAATAGTCACTTATTCGTGTAGACAAAAATGATGAGTCATTTCGGTCTAAATGGGTAGACGACAGTGGTATAATATTCTTGTATGTTTGCATGGTGACAATCGATAGTAATTTAGCTTGTAGTATTAAATAAAGCTTTGCAGTATTAAATACTTACGTGGTGTGCCAACAAGCTAAATTACTGACAGTGCATGGTATAGTCCAAAAATTTACCGCGTTAAATTATCTTATTAACAGGCGCCATTGCATGGTTAAACCTGGTTTTTACTCGAAACAAAATCATTAAAGTATAGAAATGACCAACGCAAAACAATACAAAGGAAATGAAATAAATGAATTAAATTCGATTGTTTGATGTTGCAGTTATGCTTATCGCTATGCCAAAGTGTTTTCCTGCTAGGCTTTATGGATTTGCAAAGAATACTTTTTCAAATGTTGTTAACACTGAATTTCAAAAAAGTTAGACAAGTCATTTGTATTTACGTACTTGCCGAAGAAAAACATTAATGTTCTCATGAAACGCTAAATGTTCCATGTTAAAAAATATTATTTTTATTCAACATTGGAAGCTGATCACGTTTTCGTAATTTGAAACGCATGCGCATTGTTCCGATTTGAAACGAGGCCAATTTGCCGTCGGAGTCTAATTAATAGGGAGGTTAAGATCTACTTCCACTACCAGTACCGATACGAAAATACATGACGTATTACAGTTTGGCAGCGCGGAAATTTTAAAGCGTTAAGATTGTGACTTCCGTAAGAAGTAAATAAACATGACGGAGTATAGCGGCTATATTCACATCAAAAACTCTAATTACAATCTTTAAGTCTCGCCAAACAAAGCAGAAACATTATACAACTAAAAACTAAATAATATTATTAGAAAACTACTGCAGAAAATGACAATAATACAGTAAATATAATTCGGTACTTAGCCTACCTATCCACTTCCATTTTCAGCCCCAAAACCGTACTCGCGACTTCCAGTGTTGTCACATTTTGGACGATTGTTACGTCTGCGCATGCGCGTGACTGATTATTGGTATCGGTACTCGTAGCGGAAGTCGATCTTAACCTCCCTAATATCATAACCAGGATAAGGATTTATATGTCTCGTCATAAAAATTTGATTGATGATTCAAAAGGAACGTTTCCAATTGATTTGCCACTTTGCTCAAATTTCCATGGAACTACTGTCGATATTTAAGAGCCTTAATCTTAAATTTTTTATTTAGTCTAGCGAAAAGTAATGCTGAATTATTATCGCACCTGCATGCTATAACGTCAGTGTTTTGAAGATAAAGGTCCTCATTTCCGTAACCAAGACGATTTTGTTTGAATGTTTACAAAGAATTTGAATCAACAATAGTAACAGTAATAGTAATATATAAAACTGTTACACTCGGAAATAAAAATTAAAGCTAATCTCAACTAATTCCTAACTTCGCAACTTTCTGAAGCCACGGTTCAGTCAGAGAGGTTTACTGTTAACTGTTACTACGACGTTTATTGAATTATTGTAAATAATGATATCAGACCAAGCATTGTGCGTCAACAACATTATTCCTGCAAAATAGTAGTTTGTTGGACACTTTTATTTTCAAACAGTCTAGACACGAATTATAATTTCAATCACCGTCAATCAATTTTTTCCCGTTTTCACGTATTTATAGCCGTTACAAATGCAAAGTATTAACTTTCCACTTGTTTATAGACGCTTTGAGTCTACAATTTATGTCAGTTACCAGTATACTGGCCTGAGAAAATCAAAAAACATGTCTGATAAGTGATAAATAGAAATACGTTGATCCACAACGCCTTCAGGAAAAAAAAAGCTAATTCATAAGCTGACCGAACTCCGAAGTAACAGTGCTGAATGTTATATATCTCTTCAGTGAGCGACTACATGTAGACTTTTATTAGTATACAGCACACACGAGATATTTAATATAGATCCAGACTGTTTCATATCATCAATGAACATTGCACTCGACATTGACATTTTCAAGTACATAATCGTGACACAATACATGAGCGAGAATTTTAATTAAAAGTCATGCATAACAATTTCTCGCCAAAGGCTATATAGGTTCATTGAAACGGATTTGAGGGCGCCATGAATCGAAACAACAGAGCCTGAGGCGAATTTATAAAATGTTTGTAGGACCAACTATAAAATATTTGCCTTTCCAATTCTTATATTATGCCCAGCATCACAATTGACAAGTTTATATAAGTGGAAGATGCTTCAAATTTACCATAAAGATGATGAGTATATATATTGTATGCTTTTGAACAATGGAAGTTCTCAAAAGCTCCATGAATCATAAATGTTGTTTATGCAGATATTGCACATATACATGTCACAAGACAAAATTAAAAGAATCTAGCAGATGAAATTAAACTGGTTCAACGTTTGTTGTTTTAAAATAATGAAAAATAGCTAATGCAATAAAGGATTCGTAGAATCTTTTCTGCCCGCAAACAGAGTTTAAATTCGCTGCCATTTTTATGAAAGACGTTATTTGACTAAAAACTATTTCAAAGGTCTGTGTGATAAATAGAAGCTGAGTTTCAAAATCCAAGTGTTATGCTCACAATGTGCTTCCGTTTGACTACACACATAGTCAAATATTGATATTTGAAGTATTTCTAGTCTTCTACAGATAAACTTTCGTGTTCGTCGATAAAAGCTGAAAACCTCCTAATGAAACATCCAGTTAGGTTTCAATGAATACGTTTCAGGCTTTCAGGTATGCTGATTTCAGACACACCAAGTGCTTATACAGACAGTCAGACAGTATGTCCTGCAGTCGCTCAGTGTAGGTTAATTGCAGAAAACCGCTTATTTATACAAAGACGACAGGAAGTTCAGACATTAGCCAGAACACAGGAGGATATTGTCGACCACCATGGATGTTTTGGATTTCTTCTTCATGTAGTCCAAACAGAACTACACCGCAGTTTTTATCATAGAACATCACCACCTCCTCTGCAACCCGGCCGGGTGTTTTCTTTTCCAACTAATTTAGGCCAAGAGGAATATTCGTAATGTGGAATTACTACCTTTTTGGAGGTTCATCCCAGGAAGCACACTCAAAACGTGAACTCCCTTGTTCGTTTGAACTTTGAAATTCCTTCAAAAGGTTGAATATTAAATTCCTGACAGATCATAATCTCGATTATCTTCTACATATTTACGACAACAGGGGGTACATATGACCCTATTTATCATTTCCCGCTAAAATACATTTTTGATTTCCATGTTTTTCTTAAGCCCAAAATCACCCATATATATTAAATATTCCTACTTGATTTTTCCTACGTTTAGCGAGATTTCAGTCGAAAATTTTTTCGTCGCAAACGACTGAGTGCGGAAAAAAAGTAAGTCCGACTAACCCCCTTAAATTCATTTTGAATAACGTCAATTATTTCAGCAATTTGACACCGAACTTAATGAATTATTAAAGACAGTTGCCATAACAACAGCCGGCAGGGCATAGCTTGGGAGTTTTTAAATTAGGCGTCCAAGAGAAGTCGGGACTCTGGTCGCCAGAGTTTTGATAAATGCTCACTGATTGCCTGATCTCCACGACCATGTAATTTCTTCTTGCTTTGTGTGGAAAAATGTACGGAATACCGACCAATATTTAAGATCCGCCTGAGAGATCCTAAAGAACAGATCCAGAAAAAATTATTAGAATTGTTCTGGAGCTAGGTTTCTTCACGACATGCCTGCAGACGTGGAAATTGTTCGTAGAATATTATGATATCTTGACAATAAACGACGATAAAGCCTTTTCCCAAGCGGAATGCGAATTCCCAACATGGGGTTTCCAAACTGTCGCGCTACAAATGAAACCATCGGGTCGAGTCATTGTTGACAACTCACATGCTCCTTGGCAATTGCCGTGGCCCGATGGATAATGTCATGACCCAAATGCTGCCGCAAATGCTGCCACGATCAAATCCTGCTGGATACAACGAATTTAGGTTTTGTTGATTTGTTTTACAATGTGAAATTGACACGACTTTAACATCTCTTATCTCTAAGGATGATCTAAACCAGTATTATGAACTTGATCCACGCGAGAATCCAGATCTTCCGCGTTTTATTACGTCCCTATTCAAATTAGGAAATGTTTATATTGCTACGCTGTATTAATACTCGCCCCCAAGAACACATTAGGCGCGGAAGAATATAACCAACGATAAATTCGAGGGAATTTTCCTGCGACAGTGCGACTCTGCTGTGAGTTGGAATCAGTAATAAGATAAGTTGATAGTGTGGAATAGCCCGTAGAGTCTATGCTCTGAGTGGAAGGATATGGTTTGGAGGCAATGTCTCGCGTGTAATCGTAAGGTAAGTTTCGAGTGAAATGGCAGTTCTACTAATAAGATATAGGATTGTATTTTAGTAATATGGATTTACTGTACACTCGACGTAAATCAATAGGGGTAGTATATAGATGATATTTAAGTGATGAAGAAGTGATTTCGAGACGACAAGTCGAGGGAAGGAGGGGAATTACGGTTGGACAAGAACAACACATGACAAAAGAGAGATACGTTTGAGTTTGAGATCAATTTGAACCAGAATGAAGGGTGTATAGATTAAAATTTCTGGCGTGTTAAGGCAGATAACATGTAGTGAGCAGATTCTTGATCTTTAATGGGTTAAGTAATTCTCATGCACTAAATGATATGGAGATATATACAAGAGGTATACGTACACGTTATGATAGGAGAAGAATACACAGGTAGGAGTTTATCGATTGCATGAAATGCATAAAAAGAAAGTCCTGTGGAGTTGCTACGTAGAGAGTAGAAACCTCTGGTAAGGGAAAGCAAACCGAATGTGGGGTATAGCTGGTTTGGTAGAAGGTAACTCGCACTTGAATAGGTTGGAAATATTTGTAAAATTGTGACTTGAAGAAACAGAAACCATGTCGAGATTAGGGAACAGAAAAAACAAACGAGCAATGTTACATAACAGGAAAGATGTACGCGGGAGGAAGTACAACTGGCAAGTCATCGCTAAAATTCGTTCAATAACTGGGAGTACATGAAAATTACGAGCAAACTTCTTGTCCTGGTGAATGGAGAGTTGGTGGAGTGACGATAAAAGATTGAAATGAATTTAAGTACAAGGAGTAGGCAGTAATGAAGCCATGTGGGAGTGAAAGCTATAGTTGGCAGGCGAATGAAAAGAATAGGCCTGTGAGTGATTAAAACGCGGTATTTTGGGATACGTGGTGACACGTTAATTGTCTGAAAGCCGGTGTATACATTATATTATACACATATCAACGTGACAAATGTCGTAAATGCTTCGAACAGCTCTTATAGTTGCTTACGTTACCCATAGGGATTATGGTTTGAGCGTTTATCTTGCCTTTATCTGAAGATATCGTACCCTCAGCAGGTTGAAGACATTGTTTCATTGGCGCGATATTGTTGGAAATGATGTCACCTCGCTTTTTAGCTTTTAACATAATGAAAATATGATCTGACACGATATAATGCATGGTACTAAGCTAATGATCTCCAAGAATTTACGCAATCAAACCAAACACAGATTATTTCATTTTGGTGTGTATACAAGTCGTTTCCATATAGTAGTTAGCTATAATTTCAAACATAACATAGTCATAAAGGGCCGTTGCTCGTTTCTGAACTACACAGGTATCTTCTGAAAACCTACTGATGCTTGCGGACGTACCACTAACTATTATATATCGTGTCAAATAACGTCTTTATGTTGTCTGCCACGTTTGGTCAGAAGCAAACAACAGGAGCCTATCTACATATTGAATTGTTCTAAAGTTTATGTATACACATGCATTTCTACAGGTCCCCGGCTCGAAGAAGGCTTGTGAATGTGGTCACGTGTTCACAGAAACGAAGATGATAGGTCGCAAGCGATATTCTGGTTTGTATTACGATAAGTTTAGAAAGCGTCGCTGCTGAGTCAACCCACATTACACAATCATTCCCTTGTAGTGTGAACTTAATACAATCTATCAATGGGAAAACCCAAATAACCATATGACGAGGAAGAAAAGTTGACTCAATACTAATTTGTGTTTCACTCGCGTTTCACTTCACGATACGGCTCTAACGTAGAGTTGAAACGCCTTAGATAAACAAAAAAATTATGCAAATGATATAACTGAGTTCTTGCAACAAATCATGCCTTGATTTTCCCACGCTTTTAAACAGATGAAGTCATCTTTCTACATCAAACTAGGAACCCGGTAGCTATAGAGTATTCAAATATTTCTGATCCAGTGAAAATGATATCGTTTGTATTTTCAGGTTATCGTGCAATGCTGTGTTCAAGAAACGACCCAAGAAGGAAAACGTTGAAAAGGAAAAATATGCAACCAACCTTGATGTTGCGAGATAGCAAAAAGGTGAACTTATATCTTTACCAATTTTTACAAAACGCCAATCGAGTGTTAGTAATGGAGAAAAACTGTAGTTTCTCGTTGGTTTATATAAGCTATTGTTTCTGTCTACAGTACAAATATATAAATATATCATATTGATGAATATTTCAGTTACTGCACGATTCGATGTTATTAAAGAGTATGAAAGGGAAACCAAAATCGGCATGTAGTTTTCGTTTAAATCTGAAACTATATATAGAAGTGCTCGTTTGAGGTGAAATATCGGCTTATACCGATTCGATATGATTCGATATTACTAAAATCGCAGAGCTAAAGTCGCATAAAACTCAAAGTACTGAACACCGCACTGAACACCGTTTGAAAAGTCGTTAAATATTTTGTCATGAATAACTCTGTTCAGGGGCTGATGATATGAAGACCTTTTAGCCCATTTAGAAGTTTTTCGACCCTGGAAGAAAAAATCAATTAGAAAATGTTTGTACCGACCTGTAGTGCTTTTACATGCAGCCTCATAAAGGTTCTGACTAAAGTATTACATTTAGTATATTCAATACCTATATAAAACCTAAACAAATTCCGAGGCTGGTTATATCTCGTTTGTTTTAACTTAACCCGTGTCGCAGACAAGTATATCTGAGTATAGTTGTAAAACAATGTCCTCGACAATGTCGGTCCGGTCAACCGCAAGTTAAAACGCATGCAACACTGGCTGATCCCCAGCGTAATCAGCCTCTAACTTCTCGATTTTTTTTATCCAGCGTCTATCTGGAAGTCCAAAGACAAAACGAAAACCATCGATGACAGCTTTCGGCGAGGGAAGTGCGACGAAAGGGACGCAAAAAATAAACCCAAGCGATCGTTACATTATGAACTTTGATTCTCCGGAACTTATCGAGAAACTTCACGATGCTCTGAGCGATATCAACAAGAAGCTAGCAAAACAAAGCCTACTGTGGATGGTTTTGAAATCGTCGAAATGCTGAATGAAAAATGTGAATACTTATCCAATATACTTATATCTTTAGTATATTCCAAGTAGGTTGTACACGTATATGCCTTAATGACTCAAAAAAAGCAAATCTTAGTCCGAGAACATGCATTTCGGTCAAGCCACTGATGAAGAAAGCAGAAAGGAAACAGTCGATGAAAAGTCGTGCCATGTTGTTGAATTGAACCCATCTTACATGCGGGACTGAAGACCGGAATGAGATAGCGTAGCAGAAGTTAGTGCAAAGAGCAGGTTGAACAGGTCAATATAGATGGGTGATTGTATTTGAATATATTTATTTTAATATAAAAATGATACATAGCGAATTGTATATATAATAGCTGTAATTAAATATATAGCGCGAGTGTAAAAAGCAATAAGCGTGTGTAAGAAAACAGTAATATCAATAAACAAGGATGAAATTGATCGGGAAAAAATGTGTAGATGTCAAATCGAACGGTAACGAAATCAGATCAAGAAGACAAGGTAGCATTCTGTCAGGTCATATTACAAATCTTAAAAACTTGGAGGGTTCTCCTTTCCCAAGGATTGAAGTTCTTTGGCTCGGTCTTAGGATGAGTAAACGAACGGGTCAAACACGAGAAGTTTAATTAAAGTTTTGCTACGGTGACCCCGTAGCATCTGAGAGGAATGCCAGCTTAGCGAAATTTAATTCCGTCGTACCGGACCACTTTCATACCAAATCAGATTTACATATTTTTTCATGCAAGTCCAGTTGGCCTCGTTTTCGAAGCGGAAACTGAACGAAATATAACGACTGAAGGCGAAGTAGAAAGAAGCCAACCAGGTTTATTAAAATGCCTATATGAACGACGTGTAAATCGTTTCTGTGTCAAATTGGTTTATGATCGTACTGCTTGGAAATTAATACGCATCAGCATAACCGCACGTAACCACAGCAACGGTGCTTTGCGTTGACGTTGACAAGTAAACCCATACTAGGCCATAGCAACTATATTATAAGTATTGTTTATAAATTTTAAGTCCTTATTTCAAACTGAGATAAGCCATAAGTGTTAGAGGACGATTCGGGCACTGGAAATATATTTGGACACAGTCTGTGGTCTTAGCAATATAGACCAGAAAGTTGAAGAGAAAGTCTATAGAAGAGAGTTGAGAGTTCAATTCGAGCACAATGAATCAGATGGAACACAACTACAAAATCAAGGACTACAAACGGTATGAGGAACCGAGTCCATACGTCCAAACTTTGTACGCCTTGAACTATCCTCAGAGCTACCCTAATAAGAAGGAACAGGACCGATTCTGCGACAGGTTCACGCAGATCCATTGGAAAAGCGAGGAAAGACCAGCAAACTTGCCCTCGCAGAGTAGTCAACTCCGTTACCTCAGGCAGGAAGGATACGGTGTTGTCTCCAACGAGACGGAAGAAAGACGAGACGAGCATTGGCATCGTCAGGAACATACTAGAGAAGTCGGAAGGAAAATCGATGTAGCAAGGGACGAGTTCGCGCGTCAGGTGGCTCGAGATAGGCCAAAATACCCGGACTATAGTCGTACTAAATCACAGCCACTTTATAAAATTGTTAGTTAGCTGGTAGGACTATGGTAGCATGCGACTGATGCGAGGGAGATATGCGAACAATTTGTAATTATAGTGCGAATGTAATGCAGGCTTGGCTGTGGTCTTCAGGTGAAATGTACGTGGAAATTGGAATGTCCACCAAGCGTGGACCAGTTCAGGCACCGTGCATCTTGAATTTATAATAAAACAATTTATAATAAAACAACTGAAGTGGAAGTAACAAGCAGCTCATATTGTTACTAGTGGACACGAGAGGTTTGATATTGCAACACATTAGACTAGTTCGCTTTTATTGCTGGTATCTAACTTTCAGGAATAGTTTGTGTTATGGCTGCTAAATATTATGGTTTGCACTTGTTCTGTACTAAAATTGCGTTTCAAGCTCCCGTAACATTATTGCCTACATTTTAAACCATTTTGAATAAAGTAAAGAAAATAATTAAATAATCAGTATTGGAACGTATAGTAATTATAAAATATAATATTGAAAAGTTGTAGCTATAAAGTCAATACACAATGCCTCTGTCAGTCAATTCTATCTTATTATTTATTGTACAAGATCTGATACATTTCAACATCTATCTTTTTTCCTTTCATTAACTCTTCAGAACCTGGCATAGCACAAAAAGGCAGTGCCAATTGTCTTATGAGGATGACCCGAACACAATGTAAAAATAGATCTTTCTTCCAACAGAATGCTTTTCTGATGCTCCCTTAAAACTGATGTTGTCAAGTCATTTCCCCAAAATCTGGTTCATCAAAATTCTCTCGTAAGCTTGCACCTTCAGGAGTTGACAAGATAATGAGATCATCTAGGAACCAATATTAATAGATAAACGAAGATTGATAATGTGTCTTAATATTTTGTGTTAGAAAAATAAATGTTTTACTCCTAGAATGAAGCAGTCCAACATTAAAAGTATTACTAGATTATGTTACAAGGTTGTACTATTTAAAGGGTTGGGTACAAGGTTGTACCCACTAGATTAAGGGTGGGGTATAAAGTGTATTAATGCTGATCTAAAAGCTATGAATTAATCATCCAATGAATTAATACTGAATCCAAAATGTTTTTGTAGCAGGTGTGATCCTCAAATTTCATCTTACATAATTGCTCAAACATTAGTAACCTACTACACAATAACATTGTGCTTAAAAAATACTGAGAAACGTTTTCCAAAACTGAAGCTTAAACTCATCTTTGTCATACCATAGAATATACATGGTTTGGAGACCACATAAAACTACAATACAACTCACTAACTCATACTTTTACAATTATCATAATTTAACATATTGGTAAATTTGGTTAAAATACAATATACATGAGACGAGAAAGCAACTACTTTTTGCATAAACCTGTCAGACAATAACATAGTTAATGAGTTATACATACAGTTACAATAACATAGTTATTTAGTCTCCAAACCATGTATTATCTATTAATTGTGGTCATACCCATAACAATGGATGAATATGATCTCCTTGTACCATCTTCATCATCATATGAAACATAATCTAACCGACCATGGACAAGAACACGAGAACTAAACAAAATTACCATAAAATAATCAGATTATACATTTCCAGTTTAACTTACATCATCACCTGATTTAATATAGTCAAACAATGAGCAATGAAATATAAAATTGTACCCTTTTGAAACCATGTCTTGAACTTTTTGTTGCAGATAAGGTCTGAAGACAGCTATATTATGCCATTGAGTCTTAGTCATAAGCTTGCTTTCTGATGGAAAAAAAGCATACATGACAGAAACATGCTAGGTAGGCAAGTATGAAGTTCCCCACTCAGTCTGGCAAAAAAAAAGCATTTTGGCTGCACAGTTGTCCTATGCATTTGCCAGTAGCTTCAGTACCTCCAAACTCATCCCTTGATTGGTACATTGTATTTGTGGCCAGTGAGAAACGCCACACATCACCCTTCCCTTTCTTTGGGTACTGTCCCACTCTTCCTAACAACTGCACAGAGTTAATGCCTGTAAATAAATAGATATTGTGTTAACTAAAATATGAAAAAAATATGCATAGGCACTGACAGGTAATAGTTTAATGTTGTCTGGATATTGCACAATCTGCCCTTATTAGTGTAAATCTACAATTTAAAAGATGTAACATGATTTTTTTGTCTCTGCTACATATTTTGTAGCTGCATCATTGCAATTGGCAATGCCACAAAAGTAATAGTTTATCCTTAAAGTCTGATAATAGATATTCAAAATCAAGAACAGTATTTATGTTCATGAATGTTAGAATCAACTGTTTTGTCTTAAAAGCACTTCCATTTCTTTAATTTAGGAATTGTGTAATTGTGTTTGGTAAATGTATACATGTTTCATCAACAGTAATAAAGCTAATTTGAATTACTAAATATTTCATAGTATTTTTCATACTATATGCTGAACAATACTTCAATATTACAATTTCACTGTATGACCCAGTATGTGGCGTTGTGACCAACATTTTGCCTAATAAACTATGTGAACTTTTACTTAAAGAAATGTACAAAATGGTACAAAGGTACAACGTATATTACAAGCACTAAAAAGCTATCACTCTCGGAACAACTATTTAATAAAGGTCGGCAGTCGCCAGTCGGCACACTTACATTTTTCCGGAGGACGAATTCTTTCTTCACAACGCACTAAACCACGGCAAACTTGCTAAAAGCACAAAACCATACCATACTTTAACATTATAAACCTTCGAACACAATTACTAAACGAGGAAGCTAGAAAATCTCACACACACAAACCTTCACTAAACCACTTCTGAAAACGGCCATCTTGAATATCACACGTGCTTTTTAAATTCTTGAATCTGCATTCAATTATTGGCAGCGGTATTTCAAGAGATGATCGCGCGTTCATTTTTAGCCAATCAGCGATCAGAAAAAAGGGTTGCCGAAATAGAAACCATTCATCGATTATATCTTTTGTTTATTCATTATGAAACTGGTCGAAATTTTGTAATCATGTTTCGTGATTAGAACAATAACTCTGACATAAATTTGAAACCGAAAAACAGCATATTTCACGAGATATTTGACAACTAGTCTCAGTCCTTTCCCGCCATTCTAGATCAGCTGGATTGAAATAACGTCAAACCAAGTATCGTCAAACCACGGTTAATTTAGTCAAACTAACCAAACTTTTTAAAACTACAAACCACACATACAGATAATATAGAAATGTCTGGTAACCGCTATGTTTCAGTGTAGTATGCGAATTCAATAATTACTCAGCAGCATGGAAAATATCAAGAAATGAAGAATCTGTACTAACTAATTAAATATGCCTTCGAAAAAGCCCGGAATAAATCAGTTCTGGTAACCACAGTTATGTCGGGATATAAAAAAGCATAGACCCGCTTGAGGACTTTAATGCATATTTTCTACACCTATATTTGATGGCTCACTTCATATTTAAATAGAGAAACATCTTTAAATTGCTATTTCCTCGTATTGCTCACCAGGTAAAAAAATAGGGATATCACTATGCACCGTAATCTGCCCCTTTAAAAAAACCTTCTCCCTTTAAAGCACTTGACTTCCTGATGACGAAAATAAGAAAATTATCGCCTAAAATTGCGATGCAAATGAACTGTTGTCAATGTCCGAACTGTTGCCAGTATTATTATCAATTGCGCTAGTCTGGCGTTTCAAGGATTGTTGGCAAAGGTAAAAAAATCTGCGGTTCTCTGAAGTATATATTATATATATATATATCGAGAATCGCAGTTATGTCCCAGATTTTTGTTTGTCTAGACTGTTCGCCTTGTTCGGTATACACTATAAAGACATGAAGCCCGCAAGGATACGAGTTATTCATGAATATCATGCAGTCCAACGCTATCCAACTCAAGCGGCAGACGTCAACGAAAATGCCGAATTGGTATATCCTAAGTCGTAACGGCAGAAACTAACCGCAAACAGGAATGTAATGTTCAAAAACAATGGCACGAAACGAATCTGGCGTAAACATGCGGCAATATTAAAGCGTTATTTAACGAATTTTCACCGACCCAACGGTTTACCGACAAACGGTAAGAGATGCATGAGGACTCAAAAGTCCTCAAGTGTTCAATGAGCCACACCTATCTATTTCAATGTTTTCACACGTGCACGAAGTCGTTTGTCTATACGTAAACACAAATTTAACTGTGCCGGAAATCCTAAATGATTTTGACTGTGGAATAGCCGATGTATATATTGTACATTGCAATGATTGCATGACCTGCAAGTAACTATATTGATTAAAAGAAGTCGTGGAATTCAAAGTTGGTGTCGCGGATGAAAGAGATATAGCAAGTTTTTTTTTACTTTAAGACAAATCGAAAGATAACAAGGGATTGGAAAGTAAAAAAAACATGCCGCAGTTAATGCACATCACGCGAGGTAAAAGACTTCGGCTACTTTCATTGGACAGTTTCTAGACTGCATATATATTGTGTTGCGAATATTAAATATTTTTGCGTTGTACTGGGAACTTATATCATTTAGTCAATATTATGTTGAACGATTGTGAATTATTAGATCCGCAGTTCAGAGTATATATCAAGTGAATTGCTGCTTTTAGCCGGTATGTATTAAAACTACAGCTATATATATAGATAATCCTATCAGAATGTATGCATTCAAGGCTATGAACATTGGTATAAATATTATACAGCTATTTCATAGAACCCCTGAGCTCCCGCTGTGGGCATTTTATAGCACGAGTTATTTGTGTTGAAAGTGCCTGTAGCCGCGAGAATAAAGATGAAAATATATATAGTTATACATAAATATATATACAATGTGATATGTCATGTAGCTAGAAAAGGTATTTTTATGAATTATTCCCTTCACCCGTGTAGATATCAGATGTTCAATAGATTCGATGAAGTATTGAATATATAAATACTGCCTTTGAAAATCAATTTTCCAAGCACGAATACGGGATACATTGAGGCAGGTCATTACATATAAATAAACCCCATGCACTTAATTAAAATCAATATGTGGAATTATAATCAATATGTGGAATTTCATAGTGAAGCATAGTGAAGCACTTGTCCAACCGAACTTGTTCGGTATGCATGATAAAAGCATAATCATATTCTCCATAAATTATACGTAATAATTTCAGTTGAAAGACATTATAGTGGCTTTCGGTTTTGTGACAGGTTGAAAACATATGTCTCAAGCCGTTACATGCATCATAAGTTCGTTAGATCTATGCATATACAAGTATAACTATGCGTCGAACAGGGCGCGGCGCGCTATATACTAGCTGTATGTGGATCTCAATGAAGAAAAATTAAAGGTGCTATCTGCAAGAACAATCTATATAATAGTTACTTGTTATAAATGTGTTATTTGTTATATTAGCGCCAATTTTTGCATAAATGTTTTCTATTTCACAGACGCAATAATTTAATGAAAATTGAATGGAACTACGATTTTTAGAAACGAATAACGCAACGTTTTGCACACTTTTACTGTTATTCTTTAGGCTAATTCACAATGGAATTACCTACAGCAGGACCTCATATAAGCAGGGGCCCGGAACTGAGTTAATAGTACGAAATCAGGACCGGCCCAAGGGGGGGGGGGCAGTTGGGGTAAGACACCTAGGGGGGGGGGTTGGGGGTGAGACATTACATGCATCATAATAGTAATTGATAATATTAAATTATGATAACATGTATAATTTAAAGCGATGCACGCTGACAAGTGAGGGAAGTATGAACCAGCTATACATGCAGCTAGCTAGACGAATTTAGGTAGATATGTAGCTATTAGTTGAATTAAAACAATTACGTTGTGAAATGTATAGTTATAGATGCTTTCGATAACCGCAGAGCTTTCGTTCCAACGCAACACTTAACCACCACATACACGTCATAGCATAAATCAAATGTCTGCCAATGAAATGACGCAGTTGGTGGGTGGTTTTGTTTGCCAAACGTACTGCACAATATCAAGATTTGAAATGTTTGAATAAAACCTACATTGGCATACAGCCCTGGGTAAACAATGATATAGATTCGTAAATCATTCGAACAATATAAAGCGAGCAAGAAAACAATCAAACATTTGAAGCATTTCCTTCCGGCAAGTAAAATTCGTCTAAAGAAAAACATTGTTTATTCGTAGCCAACTATATTCAATCGTCCGTGCATGTAATTAGAATCTCGGGGTACCACGGCTATAAAAAATCTAAACAAGACCAGCACAAGCAACAGCAAAATGATACTTAAAACCAATACCAGCATAATGGTCACGAATTTTGGGCCATTGCATGTTCATCTACCAGCAACCAGGCACGACAGTATAGGCAAATGGCCAAGATTTTCTCCTGGGTTTGGGAAAAAAGTAAATTTAAATCTCTGGAGGAATATTAATTTTTAAGCGCGAACGTGCACGCCTTTACAATTAGTCCGTATAAAACAAATAAAAACCGAAGTTGTAACGTACGAAAATAATCCTGCAACTGCATAATTTGATGAACTGAATCTCAGTCGTGAACAATTACACGCTACAAACGTCAAACGTCCAACTTACAAACGCTTAAATAGGGTTTCACAAATTACCATTGAAAGCTAAAATTCTGTCATTAAAAAATTGAGGTTGGTAAACATGTGCCACAAACAAACTATTGGGAAAGCACATCAAAATTCATTAATAAAGACACATGTAGATTATCTGCACCCATTATCCTCTAACAATGAGGTGAAACAAAGTCTTGAAGATGAGTTTGATGAATGACCAGATTAAATAACCGACATGCAGAGAGATATTAATAATGCAACGGAGCTCAAAAGATAACATCACTTGACAATTTAATCTTGTGAAAATTGAGGCTTTGTGTTGTCCTGTTTGGCTGGATAGATGTTAAACAAATCGCTTGGGGCTCCTAAGCCTCGTACTAGAAATGAGAAAGCAACTTCTGATGGTCTTTACAAACTGTTCTTTACAGGTTTGTACATTGGTCATTGGTGCCTATTTCATCTGTAATATCTTGCTTTGAGGATATAGTATTGTGTTCGCATGCAGGTTTGCTTAATTCATTTAAATATTATGCAGCATTACATGTACAAAGGTCCCTAGAAACACGATCGATGTTGAACCCAAAAATTTAATCCTTTAGTCCTGACCAAACTAGGAGAATGTGATGATCTCCAAGCAATAACATTACAGCCAACCAGGTAGAGAGTTGTTTTCATAGTGAGATTTACCTTGTTTTAGACGTCGAACTTTTCCTGTGCCGAAACCACTGACCTATACTAGATATAGGTCAGTGGCCGAAACGAATGCAAATAAACTTAAACAAAGACTCAAACTGATTAGGTTCGGCTCAAGAACGTTCGACGTCTGAAAACTGGCCTATGGTTATGTAGTAAAGTAAAAATTCCCACAAGGCGAGTTAAACCATTGTGCGTTGTTCTTGGCAAGATTTGCAAATTATGTATTGAAAATATTTTAAGCAATCTTCCAGAAGTTGCATCTCTAATAAAGATCAAAATATCCAAGTGATGTTCACACCGATGAAATTAGGACTGGAACTGAACCATTTTATCACATTTCAGGTTACTGAAACGGGCTATAGCTAGAGAAACGGCGACGATATGCGATCAGAATATGAAGAATCCCAACTCGGGGACTCGCAAGTCATAACAAGCTTAATATCATTTACGCTAATGTTATCGACTGTCGTCTTCCTTGGTGCCGTGTGTCGCTTCTTGAAGAAATGTTGCGCAAGGTTTTCTAAAATTAGAGAAGCAGACGATGACGTCACCGTCTTGATAAAAGCACGACGAACTTCCGAATTACGAAAGAGTCATTCGCTACCTAGAATTAGTACCCAGGACTACGCAATTGTACACCAAGAAGAGATTCCGTTCGGAACCGAGGAGACTCCGGTGCAGCCGAATATCGGTGGAATAAAGAACGAATTTTTTTTACGTCCGAGGGCGCCCACAGATCCTGAAGCTTTTAGAAAGGTACGGCCAGTTTTCTAACTAGTGCACTTCCGTATAGTATCACCATGGACTCGACAGCTCGACTAAATTGCTCAATTTATCTTTGATAAGTTCAGTATTACCATACTTATACTTCGATTTACTGCTTCATCAAATTGCGGGCAATTAAATCGTTGTTAAATTCATCATTGATTGGCCAATCCTGTACGCAGTTCCAAGTTAACTACATTTGGATTTGATTTGGATAATTTTTCACCGATTCAGTGCAGTGACACTTTTCCTACGGCTAGGGACGACACGACACGGCTCTGCCTTCAAGTAAAACTTAAGCTGAAGGAGAACGTCAATTAAAACTACCCGGAACGAAGATAACTGCTTTGTTTCCGACTCAGGCTGAATTAATATCGCCATAAACGTGGTGTTTTACAAACCATTTAGGTATCACGACAAATCTCCGCCCCAGCTTCTTCAGTGCCGTATGGCCTGGCAAAAGGACAGACATCCCCTCTATCTCAGAGACTCCCAACGAGAAGTTGGTCATCGCATCCTACTATAGAAACGAAAGACCTGGAACCTGAACTGTATAAAAAAGAAGCATTGTTCCAAAAATTCCAAACTTCATCCAGAAACAAATGTGGTACTTTGGACACGGAGATCTACTATGATCCCAAAGACTTAAAACTTGAGGTATATAGAAGCTATATAGTAACTGGTGTTCATGCATGATGACATTTTTGGTAGTAGTATAGCTGAAGTTGGGAATAATGATAAATTGGAAGCAGTTTGAGATACTGGCTACGTGGTCATTCAGTGAATTCTATTGTTTCCTGCTAATGTACCTCCTACGTTGTTTTGCTCAAAACGCAAAACACTCTTTAAAATTATTACAATATTAAAACAGTTATGTTCCTGAGGTTTTCGCCCTTCTCTCAACCCTACTATTATGATATAACGCTCATTAATCCATCCTCTTAGGTCACAATAAGCTCAATCCACCAACTGCTGCTGCAGAAACATGCAGACGAAACGAACACCTTTGTGAGCGTCAAGAAGATACCGGACTCAAAAAGACAAACACGCCGGACTAGTGTCCACAAGAACGCGGTCGATCCGGTCTACGACGATACGTTCACCTTCTACATAGAGCCGAGGGATGACATCTCAAGTCACGTGCTAATATATGGTCTTAATCATATGGATAAGTTTTCCACAAGTTATTTACGTGGCGAAGCGTGTTTGCCTCTTTCTCAAATTAATCTGAATTCCAGGCGCAGAGTTAGCATACCGTTTGTAGAAATAAAGGTGGGTTTCACATTGTACGATTCCAGGACAATTTAAAATAAGTTTTAATAGGTCGTGCTGGATGATCTATGGTGAACGAATTCTTCTCCATTTCGAAGTTTTTTCCCCACGTATGTTTTTTCTCTACTGCATTGCACGTTTTCTATGCGTGCACTATTTCGATCTTATCAGTGCACGCCAGAGCGAGAGTGGCCTTAAGATAACCAGTTCCACGAAGTTAGCGAGTAATTCAAGATGTTCGCGACCGACTGCCGAATGCAATTTTTCCCTTCTGTTTTTTTGCGAAAACTCTCTGCTTTCTTTTACATTTACAGATCATTCGGCATTCCAAATAATTTTATGCATGGGATTTTTTTTTGTTCTGCAAAGTTCTCCTCGTGTAGTCTAATTGGTTGTTTACAAAACCATTCTCCAATTATCAAGTAAAGTTCCATAGTCAGTTTCAGTCACTGGGCTATACTATACTTTTCTAGTACAGTAGTCTATATATAAGCAGGAGTCTCAGTGGTTTCTGTGTCAATATTATCTCGTAGTCAACTTCCTTTTGATGAAAAGCACACCATTGCATGGCAATCTTGTTTGTCTCCATCGAAGCACTAAAAGATCAATAGAACTGACACTGCCACCTTTCCACAGCGTCCCTTTTTGTCGACAATGTATCCGGTTTATCGCGCTGGTGTCGCTGGTTGTATCCTGGTGTCTCTCAAATACGAACCCTGGAAAGAGAGCATTATTGTCCATCCGCTTCGGGTGACACAAGTGCCCAAGAAACGTCATGTAGGATATGGTAAGTAGAGTCCGGAAGGGGATGAGCAAGCAAAGAAAGACGGAATGATTGAAGGAGAAAGGGGGAAGGGGGGAAAGGGAGAGAGGAGGTCGAAGCTGGGGAAAGGTAAGGATTTGACAACGAATTTATAATCGCAATCATACAAAGGTAATTCTTCAATAAGCTTCGCATTATAACTATAAGGGCGGATTTCAACGTACATGCACGCAAGTAAACGTTCAAAACTTTCTGTTGTTATAAATTAATTTACACAAGAAAAACACACAAAAAACTGTATATCCGTTGAACCTTGGCAATTCAAGCGTATATCCACTGATCTTTCAGGTAGAAACGTCTATGTCAAAGTGGATCTCCGGCGCAAAGGAGGGGAGCGAATTACAAAAGCAAAAACAAGCCTTGTCGAAATGGAGCCAATGTCAAGGCATGAAAACGATTCTTACCAGGCGACTTTCGGCGAAAAGCTAACGTTAGAATACAAACCATTTTTGCCGGAAACAACTGAGATTCACATCTCGTTGAATCACTATCTGTTTCTAAAAAGTAGTTTTATCATAGGTCAGCTGCAAATGTCGTGTACGCAGCCTGGCTACGAGTCTATGCACTTTCAAAACATGATAGATTCTCCGGGAGAGGAAATTCCCGTGTGGTACGAATTGCGGGGGTTCACAAATCCGACGGCTACGGAAGACGTCAGATAATAGCACAGCACTATAGCCTTCGCACACGCGGAAAGAAAAAATACGTATTTTATACAGCAAAATGTTTTAGTCGTCTGACATCCCAACAACGTACTGTAAGCTATAATAGTATATATATAAGATGCAAAACTATTTGTAAATTACATTAGTTAGAGAACTTAGTTCACATAAATATAAAATAAAAATCACTAGAGGGTGGAAAAGTGTGTAGTAGGATGCATTTGCTGAAAGCAGTCTTTTTGGGGTGCCCTATATACATGTACCATACATTCAAAAATTTTAAGACCACAGAAGGCGGAGACCGCAATGCAAATTTTCCACTTTAAAAACAGTGATCATGCATATTAATAATTAAAATGCTCAGAAACATATTTTCAGTTATTTCGAAGGCATATCAATCACGATTACTATTTCATGGACATGTTTACTTAAATTTAAATTCTAAAAATTAACGCGGCGCGTTGCCTTCGAATGATCAAAGTTACCGCTGTTTTTGTCAAAATCAAAAATTGCATCGCGTAGGCGAATTGCGTCCGGCGTGTGCGCATGTGTTTCAACTTGAACGTCGATGATGTTTGTAGTGAGAATTCGAAAGTTTTAATTAGCTACAAGCGTTATAACTGCATGTTTAACTGATTTGATTGGCCGATCACATTAAATCTGACTACGTTTGTGGTTGTATGAAGTCTTGTCACTTGTGTACAAGGAACTGCATCAGATTTCGTTCTGAGTATTTAGGAAGGCGTGAGAACAAATTAGGCCCTGAAGCAGATGTGAGAAATCCTTTTATTTTATTCCTAGGTTAAAAAAACACGCGGTGGACGAACTTCAGAAACATTTACCTGGCGGATTAAATCGGTTCTTAGCATGAATTTGTAAAAAAAAACATTAAAAACTCTCCGTTGTACTTGTAGCTACACAAATTTTCATTATGGATACGTCACGATATTAAACAAAATGAATATATTGAAGTGGAATCTTCAACGACATCAAAACAGTGAACTTTAATATCTCAATTGCTATAAAAGCCTGAAAAGCTCAATATCTTCACATTCCCAGCGACTTACAACGCTATTACCACAGCGTCTTGTTGCTATATAACTTGGCTGAATTAATAGTACCATAGAGTACGGTAAAGTTGGCGTTATGCAGCAAAAATATTCGATTTTATACGCGCGTTACTATCAAAATTGATCTTTCTGTATATTGCTATTTACTATATAAAGTATATATAGTCATGCCAACTTTGTCTTTGATACAAATGAAAGTTGAAAAGAATCTTATCAAAAATTTTTAATCGCCTTTATGCCGTGTATCATTAAAATGTGTTTTGAAACTTTCCTAAGTAAACATGAAATCATATTCAACCGCCCCCCCCAAAGTTATTAATTTAATAAAATTTTTGTTTCTTCTTCGGGAGTTTCCATGCACCGCCAACCGCTTCAAGCCCTTATATAGCGAAATTTCAGTTAAAATGCGTGAAATTTTAACTGGAGTTCGCTGAAAAAACGCTAACATGCAAGACTATGGTCATGATACTTGCGGAAAACATCAATTATGGATAGTCTCTGTAGTGCTAAAAGCTGTGTCAATACACCAATTTTTATCATCATTGAACTCGTTCATATATAAAATAACGTATTGTTTTTGCATGCAACATGAACAATAAATAAAACACCATTTAAACACACAACTGATCCAAGCGTGATTGCCAAGTAGTCTTCCACTTTACTATGTATACTAGGTTCAGAATTTATGGGTTGTTAACCTATAGGCCTTAACAGGCGTAAAATGATTTTGGAATATTGAAATGAGTATATAGCATGATCCTGACGGTTGTGTAGACCCCAACAATAGCATTTTGCAAACACATATTGCATAACCAACTGGGCAAACAAAGAAACTCAGAGCAGAGGTGGATATGTTAGCGGATTGCCCGGATTCGGGCCAAAATTCGGTTTTGGTCAGTTTTAGGGAGATTCTTCAAGTGCGTTGGTAATTCTATGGGGAACCCTTCAGTTTATTAATCTTCCTATAACAAAGCATATCGAAAATTCAAACGTCAACAACAGTATTTTTTTCATGTGCATGGATTGACGGTTTAACTGGAAATTAGAGCGGGCCGGCAGTTTTCTAAAACCCTATACCCCACCCTCTCCCCCACACATGCACGCTATTCGAGAAAGTAACACAACAGGATGGTTAAATGTTAATTGAAAATCGCGTGTATAACTATATTTCCATGATATTATCTTTTTAATTTTATTGTATTTTCGAGCTATGATGCAAAACATACGCCGCCTGATTTAATAGAAATAATCACATTCCGTCGGCTTTTTTTTTACTGATTGTCCATTATACAGATCCAATATACACATACAAAATCGATAACTAATATATTTTTCGGAATTTGAGCTTGTTTCTCGCGATGAATCAACACAAATTTTCCAAAGACAAACCGATCCATATAATTGCATGCCCAGATATAAAAACAAAACGTCTTAACTTTTCTTGCTAAGAGCTTTGTCATGCACAAGAGCTACTAATGTTTTAATTTCAAGGAAACACTCCTCACGAGGACTATTCAATAGTTCGAAAGACCGAGAAGCCTTTTTTAGTCATTTGCATATAGTTACAAATGCATTTAGGCATTCATTTGATCGACCTAGTTGTTTTGGACTATATTTCTTAAGTTGTCAAGCTATACCACGTCTATATATAGTAAAATTACCCAAGGTTCTCGAAACGTATCTCATTTCCACGTGTCTTTGTTACAAAAACCTAGTTACACGTTAATATCTGGCTCATTCATCTCTTATCTGCGCACGCTAGTCTTGGTCCACCAATAAGGAACGGCCACAAATTAAAAATTCGTTTTTTCTTTTGCAGCTGCTTTATTCAAAATAACCGTATATTTATAAGCGAACAATTTGCATCGCATTGCCTCACACGACAGAGAGGCAATCAAAAATTTCGCCTCGAATTTATTGTAATGCTAATAGCTGACGAGTACGAAATTTTTCATGCCATTCTGGTAGTCCTAACGACAGCCGGCCTGCTCTGTGTGCATGTGTAGCGACGAAACACAATACGGCAAGTGAATTTTGTTTCCCGCTCGCGAGGATCAAAAGGCGAAACTCGAAGCGCTTCTAATAAAATATTAAAAGGGTTTTCGCATGAATTTCGGTCGGTTCGCGAAGCGAGCAACGGTGACACTAATTTGATAAAGTGAGTTTTAAATTTTTAAACTACAGACAGACGGACGACGGATATGTTGGGAAAGTAAAGTTATACATGTAAAGAATTCAAGTTGTCAAGAGATAGATTATCATATAGCGGGATTGTGAAAATATACAAGGGTAACGACCAGCCTGTGAACATCGCTTTGGTTTCGCCATTGCTGTTGGCATTGCTGTTTTGTAGCTGAAAATCTGGAAACTACCCATGGAATTTTTCGAAGGGAATCGTTTTAAAATTTCGTCAAAATTCACGCAAAACTCGCGCCTAGACAAACGGGAATAGGAGAATATACAGGCCGAATAAAGGTTCGATTAAAGTAAGCACTAAAGAGTTATATTCTAATATGCAAATTTGTGTGTATTACAACAAGTAGTGTATATATGTGTGTGTGGGTGTTGAAAAAATGCAAAAGTAAAATAACACAAAATTCAGACAATTTTCATTTTCATCATAGCGATTGATTCCTAGCGAATGAGCGTGGGCTGAGAAGATATTTTGACCGTATGTGTTTCGCGAGGAAGAATTTAATTTAAGTTGTTCTAAAAACACGCTATGTGTATATATGTCTTGAAATTCAATCAATACTCCATACGTGGCATTTGTGGATTATACAGTACGTACAGGTACACGCAAGTACACACAGGTTGCATGCGCATTTGTTTAAAATGTAAAAAAATTAAAAAAAAACATCCGGCTTAAATTTATTTCATCACGCAACTGAGTTTGTGAAAATTGTTGAACAGTCTACACATAAAAAGCTATCTAAATAGTTCAGTTCAGTATAATATAGTGCATGGTTATTTTATTCTATAAACAGCCATAAATTCGAATTTCTACTTTTTATTACAGTGGCGCCTGCAATGCAAAACAAAATATTCCAAGGTATCATCTTTGGCGTTTCTGGTCTTATTTCGTTCGCATTTTTGGTAGTGCTATGCAAATGGTGTCACATGCTCCAAGCGCGACGCCGGCGAGAGCAGCAGAACAACAGTAAGGATTATCAAACATACCAGGTCACCCAAGCAATTCCTGGCCGTCAACTATACGGGAGCGGGCAATGTGTACAACCAGGACTCGCGGGAGACGTGGAGCTCGCGCGAGAGCTACGGGATGGGGCCTTAGACTTCGAGTACACCCTGGAACCGAATGTACCATTAGGGAAAATACAGTTATCCATTCTGTATGAAATTGAAGTTCGAAAATTGAATGTTTTGCTGCTTCAAGCCAAAGGTTAGTTATATACGCTCTTTTCCAAGTCTGGAAGCTATCTAAAAATATGCTTCAAAATGACAAACAAACGTTGACCGCTCCTTCGTAAGGCTGGATTCCAGTCAGGAAAATTATCCTACGGGGGCCGGATCGGAAAGTATGGTTTTAGGACGATTAGTTTTGGTTGAGAATATAAGGATAAAAGAAACTTTTCTGTCCGATACGGTCCGGAGGATAATCAGTTTCTGACTGGAAACCAGCCTTTAATGACAAAAAATTCTCGACGTTCAACCTATGGGTCTTCCGTCCTTGTCGTGAAAGTTAGTGGAATCAATATATTTTGTATTTTACGTAATAATATAACTGATGAGAAGCGATGTTGCGACGCTGCTTCTTGCTTATATTGGAACGTATTTATTGCACCTCAACTTAAGTTTTCATCTGCCTAATTGAAAAGTCTTCAAGCTCAGGAAAGTTATTCAAAAAAGGAAGCATCGCGCTCTTGACTAACTTACAGTAGCAGGTGCAAATTTAATCTTCCATTTAAAATTGCACGTTATATCGAGGGGCACCACGAACAGGAAAATTGAGGCCAGGTGTTTTGTGCGTTTCCCCCTTTTATCACGAGAACGCGTGATAAAAAATACACGAAGTTTTGCATGGGTGGAAAAATTCATCTCGTAGGCATTGACGTTTTTTCTTCATTTGAATCCAATTTTCCTGTGCACTAGACGTTAACGTATTTCACAACTCGAACAGAACTATATCGAAGTATATAGTAAGAACAGAAAGGTTTTGCGAAATATAAGAGAAAACATACTCCGAAAATAAACATCTTGTAAACCCAAGATATGAGTTGACAAACCTGATTTGACAATGACTTTGAAATAGAGTCGAAATATCACCTTGAATATTGTGTCTTGTTTTTAACAACTCATATCTTGGGTTTACAAGATGTCTATTTTCGGAGCATGTTTTCTCTTATATTTCGCAAAACTGTCTGCTAGAAAGGTTTCCACCACAGCAAAGCACCTTACTCAGTAGCACGATTAACCGGCGTTACATAGCGGTTAAACCTGCTTTCCATCAAGTGGTAATTGTCGCGAACAAGTCTTTTTCACCGATAAGAAATAGTCCAGACGTAAATTTGTCTTTATTTTTGTATTCAAATCGGTCATTGTTGATTGCACACACGTAGAAATATTCACATCACATCAGCCACCTTGACATGTTTACGACACTCACGACTAAATGGAAACTAGAATTAGCGTACTCTGAGAAACAGATTGGCCTCACAAGTTCTTTAAAAACCTCGACCACGAATTCACACCTATCCTTCCCGCTGCAGGTATAGTTTGTCAAACTCAAAGAAACAGTGCAAACCTTTACGCAAAAGTCCTGCTCACGAAGGATACCGAAGGCACAAAGTTAACGAGCGACCGGTGTACGAAGATTCAACGGATGTCGCCCGAACCTCAGTTTCATGAGGAATTTTCCTTCTGTGTTAACGAAAGAGAGATCGGATATGCAACGATACAGGTAGATTAGTAAACCTTGTTAGCATAAAATAAGTCTTTGTGCTCCCGCATTTAAGTTCGTTATATTCGCTTTTACGAAATGAACTTAATCAAGTTTTACCATAAACTACACAAACTAACTCATTTTTTCCAATTATATTTATGTTAGTTGTATTAACTACTCGTTCTCGTAGGAAGTAGGTCATAGTAACTATATTTACACTCCTTGAACGTCTTAAATTTTCTCACATCTATTCACATTCACCAATCAGGTTTGTCTTTATGAAATTGATGCATTCTCGAAAAGCCACGAACTTGGTCAGATCCAAATTGACATGAAAGACGTGGACATAACGCAGAGGATGACGGGATGGTTTGATTTGTACGAAGAAGAGGAAGAGGTCTGAGAATATTCAATTTAGTTTGCAATCCAGTTAAAAGTTTGGAACATATTTGTCTGAAATAGCTTCGAGAGTTCTTATAAAGCTTCTGCATGACATAATGTTGTTTTATTATAGAAGCGACCAACCTCTGGAGATCTTTTGTTATCATTAAATTACTTCCCAACCGCTGGTCGATTGACAGTCGTTATCATGAGGGCACGTGATCTGAAAATTGAACACAAAACTGGAGCTTGGGGTAAATCAGTGCATGACTTCATATATCTTTCCAGTTTAAAATAAAATCACACAAAATAGAACATTTTGATTCGTTCCTGAGCATCGGGCAATCAGCTGTACTTACTGCTACGTTTCGGCAGGAAATTCTATATTTTAGATTTTCTTGACCTTTATTCAATATTTTACTTGTACCAGGACTTTCGTTTACCTTTTTAGCCTTTCTTAGTTCCTCCATGGAGGGCAGTTTAGTTTCGCATTTTTTTAATTGTACTGCAGTACAATCAAAGGTGGGGTACCGTCCGTATGTTAACAAACGCTTCGTTAACATTTAAATGAATAAGAAAGAGAGTTTATGTTTATGCGAAATTTGAGCAATTTTGAAACAAGTAGACTATACCCATTGTTAAGAGCAGAACCGATGCACGCAAAAGCGACTGTAACCCGCCTTTATTGACAGTAACTGTACTCCTCTCAACTAATCAGCATCAAGTAAGCAAGTATTTATCATGCAATTTATCTTCGTTTATATTTTATAGGCGTATTTGTCAAAGTTATTTTCTTATACAATCAAAAACGAGTCAGCAAGAAAAAGACAGTGGTCGTTCGTAAAACAGAGAACCCGATTTACAACGAAGCATTCGTTTTCAAAGTCCCTAAGCAGGCAATGGCTTACACCTCATTTAAAATACTGGTTGTCAACAGGACATCGTATGGACGAGACGAGGCACTTGGGGATATTACAATAGGTCCCCAGGAGTACAAAGATGGCCTCTTACATTGGAATAAAATGTTAATGGAGTTGCGCAAGCCGGTGGCAATGTGGCATCCTATAATAATGAATTGAAGTGAAGAAGCTATTCCAGATCATTCACTGACTGATTTTAAGGCTATGTGTACGTTGAAACCTTGCAATTACCTCTTTAAAACAATATTTCAAACTTCCAGATACAAACTGCGACTGAGCTTTATGGCCGAACAAATTCAACAAACTTCATTCAATTTAAAATTACGCAATGCTGGCCATTGCTTAAATGTGTATACGTCTTGTTATATATTGTTAAATTTTCAATAATTGTATCAATTTCAAATGATTGCATGTTGCATCTCGTTACAGACTACCATGCCTTTCTCTTTTTGTTCGTGACTGTGTTTTCAGATACAACGGACCAAACCGCTTGTTATACGAAAACGTCTTTCGCTGAAGCTGGCCTCCCTTTCACGTATTTCACCATGCATATGTTTTTTAGGTTAGGTTTAAAATCAAGTTCGCCATGCAAACGACGAGCAGCTTCTTGGCCCGTTTCGTTTATAAAGGTTTAGTTTACTTTCGATATACAAGAAACCTAACACTTGTCGTGAATTACTGTCATTTGTTATGTTTTTCTTAAACAGTTTCCGGCTTTACCCGTAAGGCAACGCGAGGCTTGAAGTTTAATTGATCAACTTTTTGCAACAAATCTAAAAACGCATCCTTCGCTACGCCTCCCTTTCAAAAATAACAAGTGTCAAAATTTAAATTTAAAAACGGCTACCAATAAATGGAAAATCACTACAAAAAAACCAAACAATTCACAGTAATCCAAAAGCTAGGAGGTGGAAGCGTTCTGAAGTGTTTTGACTGGGCTGTAAGATCAGTATAGACTCCGAATAAACAATATCAATGGTTAAAGTTTACAATAAATACAGCTACTTGCATGTAAACAATGTGAAATAATGGCAGGTTGTTTTCAATAAGGACAATGAAGACATTGAATGAGAAAAATACAAAACCTGTCAGATTCACGTTATCTATAATACATTTTCAAAATGCAAAGAAATTATGCAAAATAACTGCGGATTTAGACGGATTATATAGAGGAAAGAAAAAATAAACCCTAAAAGATTCGTGCTGTAGCCCATATACGTAAGAAAGCGTGTCCAAATCAAATGTTATCATTAAACGGTCTAACGTTTACAAAGACCATGCCTGATGGATTTGAACGGCGAATTGATATGAAAGGAAGGCAAAGCTAGCCATGGTCAATGCTAAACTTGAATGAGACAGCTAAGATTGCCATCATTGTAACGGTGTTTAGTACATTAATGATGATGATCGTTTGCATATGGTACAAGTTGTCCAAATTACGAGAAGTCATGGATGACCGCGCAACAACATCTGCTTCGAACAAATTGGTAAATGTATTGAATGTATTTGCCTTAGTTTTTTACTGATACATACCGTATTAAATTCGCCACAGTGCCCCCGTTGCACGTGAGCCAAATTTAATGTCATTCTATCGGACAATCATATATAGATGTTGACGCAGCTAGCTATGCCATAAGGAAAAAATATAAATTTTATAAATTGGATTAGACTGTGATTTTACAGTTCTATCACGGATTCGTAAGGACACGAATAAATGTTCGTCCCTATATATGAGTGAACCTTAACGCTCTATTGATATCAATCATAACTCTTAATTCTGATGCATTTAAAAAGGAGTTCATTGGTAGTCTTGGCCCTAATTAATTGGGAGGGAGAAGCACTGTTAAGATAAGCTAGAGACACATTCCTCTCCTCTTTTGAAACATCTGGCGAAAGCCATTTTTTGATGCGTTTTGGGAGTAAGATTTTTGGCAGAATCATGTAGCCCCTAAAACAACTATACGGACTATAGCTGCATGTGGAAGAAATATGAGCACAAGAAATATTAACAATGCACGTGCTTCAGCAGAGAGAGAACGTAAGTAAGTTATACACATTTTCAAAGGGACTCTTCCCACAAGCGCAAAAATCACCAGATCTTTAATTGTATATCAGGGGGATGAAAATAGAGGTGGCATCAGATCTTCCCAGGACATATTGACCCCGTGAATTCGTGCTTAGTTGCATCTAATCCCATCAAGTAAAATAGTTGAACAACAATGTTGAATGCAATTCTAGATTTCGATTGGCCTTCCATGGCGCCGGGAATCAATAAGCTCGGAATGTAGCATTTGCAACGCTGAAAAGAGACACAATCCTTCACACGCTGAACTCTGTCGCAGTCTGCTCTCCAAAGCAACAACAGGACGAAACGATGCTAAGGAAGAAGGAGGCATATCCGACGGACGGTTACGTGATATATCCGAGCGAAACAGCGTTGAGCAGGAAGGATCTGCATTTACAGGAAGATTGACATTCACCGTCGAGTACAAAGGCAACAATGATACCCTCGTTTTAAAACGAATTTTCGCAGAAGACTTATTTCCATGGCAATATAGCAGTACAACCAAAACACTCGTGATGGTGGAGTTCCAGCTAGAGGACTGGTACGAGAAACAGAGGAGTGAGGTACAAACAGGAGTACACAGGTTATCCTATGAACACGAGTTTGAGTTTAATTTACGCGAGGCTGACCTCGCCCAAGGGAAGTTCTCTCTGTCTGTATGGCAGACTGGCGACGAAGAATGTGCGGATATCCTGATTGGACAATGCAACATTGTCATGGAGACAGAAAATATCACATCAGCTCCTGGACAGAGTCGGGAAGTATCTAAGAAATTGTTTAAAAAATCGGTGAGTTTGAAGTTTATTTGCCAGGAATAATATACACCATCATGTTTCATAGATTATGCAATTGCCTCATTATAATTTCGCCTCGTTTGTATGTACGAAAATTGAAAAACCCTTAACTTATATTTTGTCTATAACGAATTTTTTCGTTACACCCAACATTGCACCCTGCGACCCGATTAGCTTTGTGTCTTATTATGGCTGGTATGCCGATAAATAGAAACGCCAGATTCATTCTGGGATAAATTTCAGCGCAAAGGTCAGTCTCAGTTCGAGGAAGCGTTTAATATTTATTATTTCTGCATAAATACAGTAGTTTCACGGTCCTCTGCGGTGATTGCATCCAGCAGCGCGTCATCAGGGAAGGCGGGCTAATTACCCAGGGGCTTATTTGCATCATGTGTGAGATTAGAACTTACGCCGAAATTAATCGCATCACCAAACCATACTGCCGACAATAACCTTTCGCTTCCAGTTTGTATCTAGACTACTCTGTACTATCTAGTACACTAGATCTGGACTACTCTGTTTTCTGTATTCTTCACTTGCTGAATTATATGGCATTACTTCATACTTCCAAAGTACAGTCACCTGTTCTCCGATGCGTTCAGTTTATCTTCCTTAAGATAATGACATATAGGGCTTAAAATGCCGAGCTCGCTTGCTCTCCCCCGCTCGACAGCAGAGCATAGAGCGTGGAATTGACTGACCGCCGTTTTTCCCTATGCATAACTTTTATTTTAAATGTCAGAATGATAGAGTTTACGCCCTGATATTGAACATATACTCACAGCGGTAAATATACAAACATTCGCACCTGTCCGGTATATCAAAAGCTGCATGCATGTGATCAAATCTGACTTACAAGAAAAGCAAATACGAAATATAATTACATATCCAAATAAAACAATCACATTTAATTACAACACCCGTGTATCAACACTTAGACGAGGGAAATTGCCAAACCGAGAACATCGTTGCTCGGCTACAATCGCGTACGACAACAACGCATGAAAAAAAATCAACATTTTACGCTACATCTTTGACCTTAAACTTTAAGTTAAAAATGCATAGCGAATACTACGAGTCTGCCGTCGTTGGCCTGCATAGAAATGGGCACAAATTGGACTAAATCTTCCGCTGATTTCGAAGCAATCCCGACAGATGACGAAAAGTACTATACAGCATTTTATTTCAACGCGATGAAAGTGGTTAGTGTGTATACTACTTCACAATATATCATTTGAAATATATGTATTCATGTAATTATATATCAGTTAGGAAAAGCGATAACAGACAGCCCAGGAAACATTTCTCCATGACGATGTTTCCTTAACATGGGACTGAAGACAAACAGGGCCTTTTTTAAGGAGCCATTTTGAGAGAAAGCAACCCCCCGCATAAAATATGAGCAATGTTATATAGAACATATATATAAGCATGTATCCATGTTGCCAACAATGCCAAAATGCTAACAGGGAGGTGTTATTGGCCTTCAGTAGTAGGCCTACCTCTGAGGGGCCAACTACATCCCCCTGTTTCCTTTCATACTTTGTACGCAAAAACAATATTGGGTGGATACATGCTTGTATGTTTTACATAACATTGCTTGTATTTTAAACAGGGGGATGGATAACTCTGAAACGGATTCCTTAAAAAAAGCCCTGAAGAAGAACTACACGACAGGCGAGAGATACAGGTGGCCTGAAGTGCTCAGTCACCTCAATCTTTTGCAAGTGATTAGCGCCCATGCCTTTGCCTTTGTTGATTACCGTAATCCCTCGGAGGGGGAGTGCACACCAATTTGTCCTTGTATATATAGTTGTGTTTCTCAATAGATGTCTTACATTACATTCCAAATTCAGTAAATTTTGAATTAAATGCAGTTTTACGCTCTTAACATTGAAAGGTGCGTTATCTCATGGACGGACAATATTTCAATTACCTTTTTCGGGCGTCTCAGCCTGTGGAAGAACGCGACGTTCCGAGTCCAGGCCGAAAACGCGCCGACACTTGGCCGAAGTCTGCCAATGAGTTTAAAATGGATAGTCGGATGGTAGGTTATATGTAAAATCTTCGAGTTTATTTTACAAAGAGACTGAAGTCACTAAACTGACTGTATTTGATTAGTTCTAAGTGCATGTAAAGATTTTTCTATATTTTCCATAACATGCATTATCCTATTTGCTCAGTGCTAATAATAGATAGACAAAAAAACAACTTTATCATACACAGCGCCTTTCTCAGGATCACGTAATAGTTTAATTTCACTGATTTATATGCGCAATGCATTCAAGAGTCTGCGTAGGAGGGCATGTTTTATATCCATTCATCGAAAATTAAACCGTATTATAATTCAGTCTATTTTAATAATAATCCTTAATACAAATTTCAACAACTATAAGTATTGAATAGAGGAAATAAAGAGGGATGCTCCTTTTTTCTTCTGATATGTGACATGAGATGAAACTCGTTTGCCTCTCAAATTAAGCAGAGATAAGAATTTATTTCTTGCTATACGGCTGTACGTGCAAGTCTAGCTTTGACAGTAATCGTATATGTAAACGTCTTCTTCTCCCACACATTGTGGGCAAAAACTGTGCGTGTCTGTATGTTGACATATGATAAATTGTGTACATAAATGAATCACGTCCCATCCTGTGACACATATTGCATCCGGCCAATACGCTGTCTGTCATACATACAAACTTCAACGCGCGGGTAAAATAAGAGCAAATATTGAGAGCAAATTTTGAGGAAAAAATCTTATTAAGAGCAAATTTTGAGAAAAAATCGAAGACAATTTGGAAGCTGGATTGTGAGAAGATATGAACGCACAGGTAATCGATAGCAAGATAAAATGTTCATTCACTTCACTGACAGAATTACCAAAAGTATCATATTGTAGGATCATATAACACAGTCGTTCAATTTATATATATAACATATATATAAGAATATTAATTTAATACAGTGCTTTCTGGTGCAAAAATTTATCACGAAGAAAAGCGCGCAGCACGGGTCAACTAAACGTAGTTTATTACACACAAAAAACCTCATTTAATATACAAATGGTAATTATTGCGAAATACCGCGGAAGCCAAGCCAACCTAAATATATGTAGCTGGAAGTATGAACAACTATACGACACTTAAACCTCTAGTATGAACAACTATATTTTGTAATGTGTTGGCGCCAAATTATAAATGGAGCCAAGACGATCGTGCCAAAAATTCAAACGCCAATGAGCAAAAAAGCATGTGTATAAATTATAGTGTACTACCGTAATGGAGGCCTAATTTTATTTCATACGTGCGAGAAAGCACGGCTTACTATTTAAAATTTACATATTAATAATACCACATACAAATACATGTGCATAAAATACATAAAATTTTATAAGTTATTTAACAAGTAAAATTTGTAACAATATTAACTATTCAGTGCGTAATGTCTATACAAAAAACCTGCATGAAGCCTTTTAATTCCAAGTTAGTGTGTATAGGCTATAGCTCTTAAACTACGCCACATGCATATACGGTTAATTTGAAAAGGGTTGTGTCATGACATATCATAGCATATGCATATTAGACGCACAAGGGGTGTTTGGTATCAAGGATATAACAAGTATATCAATAACGATATCGATGAAGGGGAAAAATTGAACAAAAATCAAGTTATCAGTTGCAGTCGTATAAGTCTCTATCACTCGTTGTAACGTCCTCCAACACGAAATGTATTGAGGAAGACACCCCGCCATCCCTTGCTTAAAAAAAATCTTTTCGGAATTGCTAAACTCAGACAAATCATCGCTCAAGCAAATCCCGCAGGAAATGATTGTATTTCAGTGCTTCCGATTACAACACTTTGGAGAATCTCAAAAGCATCGAACGTCGACAGGCAGTTAGTATCTTTAAAGAGCAATTTGTTTCTTTCGTATTCTCTTTTTTTGGGTGTGTTCTCGTTATATGAAGGTTGTCGTGCAACTAAGATAGCTCTTTTAGTTTCAACAGTTCCGCACAAGCCTGCTTCATACTTAAAATTCATTAAACGTGTCATAGCGTATTCCCTATAGTTTCTCAGTCATTAGTCCTACCTGATCAGTGATCAGTGGTGCTCTGGGAACAAGGTAATATTTTGGCCTCATAATTTTAGGAACGAAAACCTTTCCTTTGGCCACACTTTTCGTTTTAATTAACTCGAAAGCAAATTTTGCAACTAACATGCAGCGGCCAGTCCTTTCATCCTTAAACATCCCTGATGGTCATAACTTAATGTCCTCTTCTACTCATAGGAGGAAATGTTAAACCAATTTACAAAACTCTACCTGTTGCCGGATATCAGGTGAATATCAGCCATGGCTAGGTTGTGTATTTCGAAAGAGCAACGGAATTAAGATATTACAGCAAAGCGGCATGTATATAAACACGCGGACCGCTTAGTACAGAAAAATAGCCTTGAAAGTGAAACTTGAAAATGCTAAGATGGGCATTTGTACGAGACGACGAAGTTTTCGCTTAATTTCTAGGCAATCTATTCTTACAACCCAACTAAAACTACCAAAGGTCCATGCAGTCAAATCAAAATAACAAATTCAATGGTCACGTCCATGTATATATTCATGCGCAATTGGGGATTCGAACTTCATGCACGTGCGCATGCATGTGGGCAATGCATGCGTGCATGGCAAAGTAGTTTCTTTCCCTTATTTCTTCCAAAATAGCTTAAAATAAATTAAGGCTTCAAAATATCATGAACAGTTTCCCCTGATTATCTTAACTCCGCTTTTGTCTGGCGTATATATTCAGCACTAAACAATATCGATAATCTTATACGTTTTCGACAAAAAGCAAATTCAATACTTTGGCTGAAAAACAAGCCATTACGGGCAATTACAAGACAATGGAAAAATTCCGAAGAGAAATATTGAACTGAAACGATTAGGATTAGCCAATCATATAGGAAGCCTTTACAAATCTGATCCCATAATCAAAATGACAAAACCCTTTCTACGCGATATACTTGAACGATTTTGCATCGTAGATTACTTATTGCATGCCATACTTTTGATAGAAGTCTGGAAAATTATGTAATACTGTGTATTAAATGTATACACTGATACAAGTGACCGCTGGTAACGCCTGACATCGACAAACTTTAATGGGGTTGAGAGATACGAGCTTTACTCGGGTTGCATTTATATTTTAACTCGTAACTTGGTCCACGATGTGCGTATTTGAAATTTAATGACATTGTCAACAAAACTTTAATGAATGTGGTCGGCCATTTTCCTAATTTCCCGTTACTGGGATTCCCAAATACTACGGTAAATTTGAAAAACTATCAAAAAACATTGAACCGGAGCAGCAACGCGAAAGAGGGAAAGGTAGGCGCTGTAAATTGTTCACACGGTTTGGTTTACCTTGGTGATATGGGGTTGAAGGAATGGCCATTACGGTTCTTATGGCCACATCAATTCCACATGTATATTGTTTGATCAACAGACTTTAAGTATCATATTTGTATACTCTATAAACCGTACTAAGCCCATAACTAAGTCTACATAAAAAGATCGGTTAGAAAAACACGTTTATACTATAGTATATAGGCTTCGTGTCGAACTTCAATTTAGCTTGATGTTCAAGGAAGACCTGTGTAGATACAGTGATGAGGGTATAGTAACCAAGCATGAATATAGATATTGGTTAACAGATGACCAGCGAGTCAGTTGTCATACTTTTTGCAAACCAGTATATAGACGTGTTTTCCACACTAGTAGAGAGATGTTATTTATTAGATGATATGTTACCATTAACATATCAAGTGCTATAAATGCATGTTGTGATATGCCAGTGATGGAGTTATGCTGTCCTGCAGGCAGGACAATCAGCTATATCTTATAGTGACCGTACTCCGTAGTTTGCATGTCGACATAGTTTTGGAGCAAATTTACTAAAAACCGCGTGAAATAATACGAGAAGGACCCCCGGGGGAAAAAAAAATAAATATACATATATATATATATATATATATATATATATATATATATATATATATATATATATATATATATATATCCGTGTCATATTATAAATATCAGTGCATGCATGCCTGTGACTTTCTTATGAACTTCGGAAAGACGCTTAATACATTAAAAACATTTTATATATTAATTATATTATTATATTATTATCTTATTATATAGCATTAGTTTAACCTACATAATCCTATTCAACCCTCATTAACAAACGTACAACAATAACCGGTACACGATAAGCACTTTCGCTTTGTGTGACCGACTGTCTAAACACAATACCTCTAAGCTCTAATCTAACGTTAATAGACTTTAATATGTTGAGCAAGAACTGATCACTTTAAGTCTTTGCATGTATAGTTGTGTACAGCGTCAAAGATCCCCTTGGAAGTGGTCAAGTTCTAAGGCCATGTCCTATAATGACTATATTTCTAATTTAAGATTTTATAACATGTATACTAGCAAGGACGAATATACACATCCAGTATCGGGCAGACATCATCCACGACCTGGTAACCTTTTTAAGCTGAAGCTAACCATATTTCATTCCGAATAGGCCTTAATTTATTCCGAATATGTTCTGTACATGCAGTAGAGATGCATACTTTAGTCAATTGTACATCATGTATAAATATATATACAATTTCGGAAGAAAACAAGTAAGAGTCGTTTGCATGGCGCGTCATCAAATACGTAGGCCACATTATAGGGGGTATATTGGGAGGGGATATACCTCCAGTGATCGAAAAATACAAAATGCCGATACGTCAAAAAAACACACGAAAACGTCATCTCTAAATACCATGTTATGACGTCAATAATGGTAGTGTGTGGATTCATAAACATTAATCGATGTGTTCAAGAAAGTAAAAAGAAGTCAGAAAATCAAATTACCCCATAAAAGTGGGTTCACACGAGTGAAATAAGCATAAGCATAAGGAAAGACAAAAGGTAAAGCAATGAAATGCAATGAAGCGTGCGAAACAAGCTTCGACATAAGCACAAGACTCGAAGCATAAGCGAAGCTGGAACAAAAGGCGTTTGAAGAGAAAATTCCCTTGGCTCTGTCTTTTTGAACCTTAGAGGAAATATTTCTTTTGTATTTAAATCTTTTAGGTATACTCTATCTTGTTAAACCACACGAAAAGACTACCAAACCAATGGCAATGGCAACCGACTTTTTGAAATATTTGTGATAACCTTGCATGACCCTGTGCTCCAATACTAACCTCTCTAATCAAATGACAATGACGTGACATTAAATTAAAACCAGTGACCAGTGTTAATTCGACTGAAAACGCTCCTAAACACGTAACCATAGTGTTCGTATGACGAATACATTGCATAATAATTGAGGCAAAATCTAAAATAAAGAACTACCAAGTTCGTCGAAGAAAATAGGCAATTGGGATTACCTTTTGAGGCGAAACTAAAGACAATAAATAAAAATGAACGATTTCGAATAAAATTGAACGAGTCATTAGAAAGCAAATTTTACGTTCCATTTCTAAAATTGGCACGTTCACTGGTAAGTTACAGACGGGAGAATCAGGAGATAAAATAGTCCACAGAGCCCAAAGGCCGCGCAATATTACAGCCTACACGTGCAAGTCTCAATTTGTGAAGATGCTTTGGCAAAATGAACCCACGTTAAATATTGTTATTTTCAATTAATGTAATAAGCCAGCATGTGTCCGGCCCACGCGCACGGCTGGTCAATTAACAAATCGTTCATATACGTCATATGTCAGATGATTAAAAAACGGAACGCTTTCGGCGAAAACATTCTGTACGCCTGCGCAGGATGGCGAGGGCGTCTAAATAGCTCAATTTAATGAGGATTGGATCATCAGGATCATTTCTCATCGCGATGATCAGAGGATGGGATAACGAGTTTGGATGCATGACGTTTGGCAACAAAAAGATACTTTTGCCAAGTTAGCCTGACCCGGACATAGCACCCAGAGATTCGTCTCTGCCGAACTTTCAGATCATTATACGATCTAAATAGTGAAACGCTCGCCTATATTCATTTAGAGCATATAGCACCTCTGACAGTTTTATAGGTTATATACGTATACCATATTTTAAAATACGAGTTGATTAAAATGTAAATTAACGAGCCGATGCGGCTCCGACTTGATTAATTTGGACGTATAGTTTGATCCCAAACATAACAATAAAAAACCATCTTGTCGTTTTCCCACAGCGCTGGTTGGAAACAAAGTCAGTGACCCGAGAAAAACAACAGCAAAGTGGTTTGCAAAACACCAAAGACTTTGCTATGCCAGTTTCTTAATCTATCTCCATATACATATCAAAAAGCTAGTTTTCCTCTTTGGTAGATCTGTATAGAGCTAAACATTGAACTTTTAAGAATTAAGAATGAAACTCTTCTTCAGTTTACGTACTTAGGCGAACTACAAATTGACTTCCCATACCAAATGCAATCAACTTCAATTCTCAAGGGCGAGAACAATGTTAACACAAAGAACCTTTGTCTCATGTGACGTCAACACTAGGTCAATAGTCCCCACGTCTTCCTTTTTGAAACCGTGTATATAATTGCTAATTGCAGTTGCTGCATGCAAACGTACATGCAATTGGCGAAGTTAGTTCAACTCGCTTTATACAGTTAAAGGTTATTTCAAAGTCGAAAGTTCATCATGCGAATTTCACTTCAAGACGAAGATTTTGAGGACATCAGCGACGATGATGTAGGATTTATTGTTTTACATTTCATAAATATTTGCTCATAATTTATATTTAAAGTATTAGCTGATCTTGCGATTATCGCGTGGGGAAGACTGTCATTTACACTAAGTAATCTATAGTTCGTATTATAGTAAAGATTTAGAATATAGCAGCATACTGAATTACGGCTATTTCAGCCAAAGTCGTTTGTTTATCAAGTGCGATACAGATTAAAAAACGTTCTGTTAGAAAGAAGATCATTCGTAATTACATCGCCGTAAACTTCCTGCAATAGCGTTCAGAGAGAAATGTTCAGGATTGATAGAGTTATATGTCCCATGCATATTTACACAGTATTTTCCCTCAATTCCAGAGTTGCTTATCCTTTCCCGATGATTATATATACATACTAACCAGAAAGGCAGTGAGGCTTTTCAATATCAGAGACCCAAATAAATATACCAAATCTATCAAACTAATTAACATTTCCTTATTTTCCTACTAACTGTTGCTTCTCAACACGGAACCACGATATATCGTGACCAGCGAATCTGCATGGTACACCGTAATCGCAGCCCCGGCTGTGATACGGGGCACGCAACCTCAAGTTGGCTATGAATATTCAAACATATTACACTTTGTTTATTTGCAGACGAAAAAAGTCGAAACCGAGGTATTGCTGTCGTTAAGCTATCTTCCAACAGCAGAAAGATTATCCGTGGTTGTTATGAAGGCGAAGAACATCGAGATAAAATCAGAAGATGCAATTACAAAAAATCATACCACAGTACCAAGTGAGTGTACTTCCTTATACTTATTTTACACCAAATATTTATATATACATCATATGTACGATGGAAACCCTGACTGGATCGCCAAGAACAGGCAGAACAATTTAGCGCAGACAAAGCTGTGTATAAAACTAAACACGATAAGGTATATTTTAAGGCAGTTTTCCCACCATATCAGTCTCCTTATCAAACTCCATAACAGTCATGTATTAGCATGGATAGGCTATTATCCCTAACTGTCAACTATTACCCTGTCAGATCCCTACGTGAAAGTGTGCCTCATATATGCTGGAAGGAAGATACGAAAGAAGAAGACTTCAGTGAGACGACACGAGAAAAATCCGGTGTACAATGAATCGATGATATTCGATGTGCCGGCGAACTTTTTGCACAAAATCGGATTTCTCATAACAATTGAACATAAAAATTTCGACACAGATCAGACTACAGTGTTGGGGAGGGTTGTCATGGGGTCACCTGTGCATAATAACGCATTACGTCATTGGAACCAAATGCTGGCGTTTCCGAGGCGGCCCGTAGCCGCGTGGCACAAGGTGTTCTATTTGGGATAGTTATGGATGCCTATAGACGTCGGAAGAAAAAGATCCAGAAGTGGATTTCATGGGAGATTTCACGCGGAATATTCCAGGATAAATAATGATAAATAAGAGTATCCACAGATGTACTCAGAGATCCTGAGTTTCACCATGTTCTATACCAGTGCAATTTATAAAATTTGGTTGGGCGTTTATTGAACTTGATAGTCGCTTTCCACTATTGTACATCTATACCGTCTGGCTGCATAAAGTTTTCAAAGAACTGCCATGCCAGCTATAGCGATCAGGATAAGAGCTTGCCTCCTATTTATAACTTTAAAACGTAGTGTAATAATTCGAGTGTCATAAATTTTAATATATTGATAGCATGTAAATATATTAATTATTATATAATAAGTATTCTTTAAAATATTGAATAATATGTGCCTACTATTACGATGTAATAAAACTTAACTCTTAGCAATTGAAAAATGGTTTTCTTCGCGTTTTACATCTATTTTATCTTTTGGCTTGGTACACATAGCTGGTCATGTTTCCTGCATGCTTTACCAACACAATTTGGACCAACCATTACATTTGATGAGTTGAATATAATATTATTTTAAATGTTAAACCGCATAGGGATATATATTTCACATTCACCATATAATCCAGTCTCGCGGGCTACATAAACACTACATAAACTGTAACGTTCAATAAAGCTCGCGAGTCGAACGATGTACCAGTAGCTAAATATATCATACCGAGTAATTCGTTGTGGTTATATAGCGCAATATAGGTTAATACCGCCAGGGCTGATTGAAGTTTCTATCGTTTATGTCGGCACGGTTGACGATCGCGCCAACGCAAGCAACAAAAAGGGACTGGCACTGGTCCTTAATTCGGCTTTAAATTGTCTCCAAAGACAAAGATGGCAGCGTAATAATTCTCAGTTATTGTTTCAGTCTAAAAAGGATTACTGCTAAGATATAGACTATATCTAAAAAACTAACGGAAACTTATATCGTAACTCTGAAACCATAAGCTGTACGCGGAAAGACCTGGACACGAGATTGCGAAACATTTTTAATCAATTATTTGGCGTATATCTTAATCTGCCCAAACGGTCAACATTCTTTGAACAAGTATAGTTTGAAAATTAAAAACTAAAATTCATGATAACATCAAATTTCTCATTTCGAGCAAATCAACATAGGTCATCATCTGCCTTTTAATCCGGTTCTCGCGCCGGTAAGCTTCTCAATGATAATCCAATGGCTCGGTATTGATGCGTCTATATTATTAATATGCCACATTCATTAATATGCAAGCCAAATCGATTGGATCGTTTGTACACTAAGGTGTATGTGTTTAGCCGCTAATTACACAGGTACACATCTTTGTGGCTAACTTAAATATATTTGTATACAGACGGAAACGGCGTCTAAAAACTTTTTTAACTCTTTAAAAGGCCAAAGGCTTCGCGCATTGAAATCGCCAAAGCAGATCTTACTATACGGTCACACGACAGTTGGAATTATTTCAGAATGAAAGAATGTCTCTTAATTAAGGTAAGAAAAGCCATTTTGATGTACGTTTACAATTTACGACCTATCTAAGATATGTGTAATGTACACATTATCTCAAAAACATTTTTAACACTCAACATATCCGAGTAGTCAAACGGCCCTTGAAGATAGCTTCCTATTGTGCCATACTAAATTATCTAAAAGTAAAAAGCTATGTCAAAGATTTACTCGATTTACTATTCCATACAGTAAGTTATTTTATTCGTGGTTTGTGTCTGAATTAGAACCACAACTGAAACGTTTCAACCAGCCCGGTAAGTTCATTTGGTTATTATAGTTTCCGCGTATAGTTTGTTTCACATAAACTTTATATTAAAAAAAAGACATTCAAATTCAATGAAGCCGTTTTGTGCTTTGCTTTCGCTTCTACCACATACTACAAACGTAATTACCCAAAACAAAAACATTTTACTTTTCGAGTTATGGCTTGAGTTGACAGCTCTTTTTCAGGTACACGGTTTATATCATATATACCCGTTCACGCGATTCTTATATTATAGAAAACTTTTTTGACTGGATCCCTCCGTTGGAGGTTTTTCTTAGGTGCTATATTATAAATACAATTGCAGAAAACTGTAATTTTCACACCAGACATATAAGGAAACGACGACTTGATTACAGAATACATACAGAAGGTCCACACAAAAATACACAGAAAAGGTATAATTCGAGAACACAAACATTCTCTCTTGTATATGCATTTAAAAGGCGCATGACATGATGTGCATATATAGTATTGATTTTTTCCATCGATCTTTGTCTTTGATATTAAATTATAAGACACAGCTGGATATTTTCGGCTGTACGACTAATGCTCCTATTTTTAGGATATTGTTTTTAGTGTTGCCCTTGAGATAAATTGTCGAGAGTAATTTATGTAAGCAGGTGAAACATGGCAAAATAGGAAAATTCTGAATTTTTATTTAATGAAACAATCTGCCTGCCGCTTCCCACAATTCCGTCAATTAATACACGTTTGTGGGGAAGTAGGCGGTGCATGGGGCACTTGAGGATGAGAGGGAAAAGGGGTAGGTCCCTTTACCCGCATATATTTTCTCTTGTTCATACTGTCAGTATATGGTATCTGCATATAATAATAGACTTCAACCATTTAAACTTTTTCGAAGAAAAGGCTTCTATAACAGAAATTCAAAAGCCATTACAAAGTCTGTTCCGGCGAACGATCTAATTTTGTCCGATCCTTTCCCCTGGTGACGTATGGAAATAATGGAATATAGTCTGTTTATTACTAAAGCAGGACTGCATCTGCATACTTGTAAAACAGTCGATTTTCTATCGTTTCGCTAACCATTTCAACAGGCTACAAAATATCCATCGGAAGTAAACTGGACTCAAAATAAAGTCATTAGAAGTAAACTGGATGCACAATTCAAATTAGATCGCAAATCAGATCGTGTGAACAATTAAAATATTTTGCGAGCGAAAATTACATATATATTCGAAGTTGTCACTTTGGTACAATAAATATTTGGCAACTATGATAAATTATACGACACTATAATTGCAGACTATATGAATTTAGGGCGTCCTCTTTGGTATATAGAACTCGCAGATAGCAGGTGTTTGTTATAGATGGAAGCCGTGGAACTTTTGAAAGAAATTTATTTCCCCCTAAATTGGGCATTGTTTGGCGTCGTATATGTGGATATAACAAGCCAAATATATACTTCATATATACACTGGAGTTAGGAGTTCGTGTACTTCAGTGTACCACGAGATTCAGATACTGTAGTCTTCTTCACTATAATATGCACTATCACCGCATTGCAAAACGTTGCCACCAGCTGAATGTCTGTTTTTCAGCCATCTCCGATCAAGCATGATCTTAAATCACGACCGTATAGTAAAACACCTTTAACTATCAGAAATGGAAATACTACTCAATATTTTCCAAGATACCTTACTGAGTTCAACAGACGTGGTGAAATAAGAAATGCTTTAGAAATATTGAAATATAAAGAGAAATATATGAGCGAAAGTATTGATCTTCAATAAATTTGATTCAGGTATTTTAAGATTTTACGGTGAGTTTCATGAGTACATATAAATATTGATCATATTACGGTGAATTTGTTTCACAAACTAAATTTATTTTGCTAAATTTATTTTGATTTATAAAATGGTCTTTTAAGATTGTAACGAAAGCACGTTATACGAGTATCACTTAATAATTTCTTCATCATCACAATAACTCCTTAGACTTAATTGGATGGAACCTATTTTAATACATTGGATAGCTCTATGACTAAGTTAATGCAATTCTTAAAAACACTTCTTCCAGATGAAAGAATTAAATATCTTTTGCAACGGCGGTGTTACTATAACTACTACTAATCCCGCTCGTAATGGATACTTCTACCAATTTTAATGAGTTTCATAAGGACCGTCTCTTTATATTCTTTCAGTGAGAATATGAAGCATACAATCAGGGAGAGATCAATGCCGGGGAAAAATAACAACACCTTATCGAAGCCTGGAAATGGCACCGCGGGAAATGACTTAGTTTTGGAACTAAAGAAAGCGTTGCCATGTAAGCAAGATTGTTTTATTTCATTCATACCAACGAACCGACTTTCCACTATATGGTTCCTCTAGGTTCTGCATTAATTTGCTGAATTTAAACCATCAGACATCACGTATACCTATGCCACAGCTTCTGACCACTAATTGGTTACACTCAAAGTTTTTTCTGCCCATTCAAAATGAGCTACCACCTCATAAGGTTTCGAAGATATTTCTTGCGAAGCAATACATAATTGGCATGTACGTTTCGAATTTTGTTTATGTCAGATAGACCCCCTCGCATTGAATTCTAATAAATTTTGTGCACACCATCCCAAACTGGGGCCGTTTGCCACTTTTCCTACTATAGCACAACACTTCGGGTCAGTTTTAGCTCCGCATTGAACTCTTATTTCATGCTCTTTTCTTCTTGATTATTCTCATATATGCAATACAAAAATAATGAATTAATATTAAAAATTTAATGTACTTACTTTTTCAACCGGGATGTTGTATCAACTTGTTATGAAAAAGTGGTGCAGAATCTCCTTGGTCTGGAAGTGTTATGTTTGAGTTTCAGAACCATGCATAGGACGCCCCGCCGTGACAGCAGATTAGCCAAAACATTAAAAAATCTTGCCCCTCTATCTGTAGTTCCACTGTGGGTTGCAGGAGCTCTTGCTGGGGTGCTGATACTTCTTATCCTTGTCTGTCTTGTTTGCATATGCAAGAAATGCTGCTGTAAGAGGTAATGAAGTTTTTTAGGTTCTTAGGTGCATACCATTAGTTTCCAGGCACCAGAGAACAGTTCAGAAATGTTTAAAAATAAAGCAATTGATACAGTGTTCTATGTTCTGTCCTACTGACTGCTGAAGGAAATATTTTAGAGTTGATAGTGGCAAAGGGTTGTAAAGTCTGTGAAATGTAAATCATAGCACTGCAAAGAAATTATCCTTCCTCTCTGGTGAGAAAAGTAGTTTAGAACCAACATATTCCATAACATATTATATATGATCTGTTTGGTTAGGCTGAATGGATGAGAAATGCCTCTAAAGTTCTGGACTGTTTGTCAGGATAGTTTTGAACTTTACGCAGCAGGATAAATTTAATTTTCCCTTCCATGCATTAGTATATGGAATATCAACCGATATACAGGATATCATAAGACAACGTTTGGGATATTGTTTTAGTGTAGACTTATATATAGAAAGAACTGTATTGAAATAGAGCAACTAATCTTTACATTCATTATTTAAATATTAGAAAAGAAGCAGAGACAGAAGCAGAAAATCAGGAGGTCATTGATTTAAAAAGTGTTCAATTGGTAAAAGCAAGTTATCATGAAAAAGTCCAACCTTCAGTGGATGAGTTGGATTATAACAGTGAAGGGTTTGAGGGTGGAGCTGGGTCAGAAGTAGCCATAGGTATGTTAACTCGACATGGTAATTTTTCTCAAACAAGTTCATTCAATATAAATCTCATAACATGTGTAGCTAGTGCAATATACTAATTAAGACATATGGTTTACCTATAGTTGCAATTAAAATATGTATACAATAAAATTAATGATTCACCATGGCAAGTAATCAAAATAACAAAAGTATTAATTAATAGGTTGATAAAATATCATATGCAACTTGCTTTTCAGACAAGTGATTCATTAACTAATTTCAAACTAGTGATTCGATCATTATTTGCCAAACTTACTATTCACAATTTTTGGCTAGAGAAAATATCTTTATTTGCTGCAACAAAACATTTATGGGAGCCATTATATTATATCTCAAGACTATACAACCATTTTTCATTTTCAGGCAGAATTCATTTCACTTTGGCATATGATTTTACTGAAAACATACTATCAGTTGGTATAATTGAGGCAGAGAATGTACCCGCCAAAGATTTTGGTGGATACTCAGACCCTTATGTACGAGTAATGCTTTTACCAGACAAACGAAAAAAATTTGAGACAAAGGTGCAAAAACGGACACTGGACCCAGTGTACAATGAGACTTTCCATTTTAAAAATCTACCATATAGTGATGTCGGTAATCGAATTCTGGCGATGGAAGTTTATGATTTTGATAGGTTTTCTGGCCATGATATAATAGGAATAGCAAAGCTACCTCTCATTGATGTGGACCTGGCACATCCTTTTGAAGATTGGAGGATTCTAACCCCACCTTCCAGCACAGGATGGAGAACGGTAAGATTTGCATGCAGTATAGATGAAGTATAAGTACTATAGATCATGTAAGACTTTACAGAATTACCACCACAGTATGCTAAAGATAGATTAATCCAATACCTTTACCCCAAACTAGAACCAAATCCCTCACTTGTCAGAGCAATTATAGAATACCCTGCCAACACATGCAACTCTTAACAGTGAATGCCATATAGTCTTCTAGATAAATGTACCTTGTTTTATGTTTCTTAATGCATGACTTGGACCTCCAGAGAACAAGAATAAACACTATTTTGAAGAGCAGGGCAATTCTATACTCTAAAATTGATCCTCCAACAGATCTTTGACATAAGTTACATAATGCACTGTATTGGCAGTGTATTCTATAATTGTACCAAATCTCTCTTTTTATTCAGAAAGTAACACCAGAACTAGGTGAAATTTGCTTTGCATTACGTTACGTCCCAGCCAACGGTAAATTACAAATAACGATACTCGAGGGAAAGAACTTAAAAAGCACAGACGAAGGTGGATACTCAGGCAAGTTTCGGACTTTTAGCTCCGACTTTAATTGTACCACTTGACAAGTACCACATAGAGTTTGGAAACGACGAAAGCTTTTACTTGGTTAAATCTTTGGACACTAATTCACAGCTGCAAATGCGTACATCTATGTGCAGATCTAATGAACAAACAACCATGTAGAAACTAGTTTAACTACGGGTTTCTTACCTGAGAAATGTTGCAATAACACAACTCTTCAAACGTCGAAAAAGCCCCACGTGCGAACTGCTCCATACTTTAAATTTTCAGTTCTAAAAATTTTGTATTTCAGCGGTCCAGAAGCTGGCCTATTATATTTCTGGGCTCTTGATCTCAAAGTTTATCTGGATTTATAGCAGATCAGGGGCCGGTTGGCGGTTGTATTTAAACTCTTTCACTCTCACGGTCTCACCCCATTTTGCATGGTTGAATCCTAGTTAACTAAGAAATACACGACTCTCATAGGCAAATTCTGTTTCAATTTCAACTAGAGTTAAAAGTTAATTAGTTTTTTATACAACTGGCCATACATCATGAACAGCTGAACAGCACCAGTAAAATATCTCTGTCACTGGCAGCTGGCCTCAAAATTTAACTGGATATTAAAACTGATATGCTACATTGTCTCCTTTCTTTCCTTTCAATGTAGATCCCTACATGAAAATCTGCACAATCTTTGATGGAAAGCAAGGCAAAAAGAAAAAAACTACGGTTAAGAAAAGGACATTGAATCCCTTTTACAATGAAACTTTTACATTCATTGTTCCCTTTGAAAAAATTGAAGTAACCTCCTTAATGGTAGTAGTTCTAGACTTTGATAGAATGTCCAAAAGTGAAGTTATAGGAAAGACAATTATTGGTGCACTAGCATCAGGTGGGCCAGAACTTAGACATTGGCAAGATATGTTGGCTTCTCCAAAAAAGCCTATTGCACAGTGGCATGCACTAAGTAACTAGAAATAGTCAAAAAAAATAACTGGACTGGTGAATAAACCATTTTTTATTGCAAAGCTACTGAAACTAACCAATTGCTGAAATCTTATTAGATGATTAAAAGCTTCAAGGGTGCCAGGGAATTTTTTAATGTAGGTGCATATTTAATCAGGTCATAGAGACAAGTTATGTCTGGTATGTATGTTTCTGTAGGCCGGACCATTAAATTATTAGCAAGCATGGTCATTAGCTTAAGCCTCCAGAAGTCTAGAGACCTTAACATCTTTAGAGGGGGATATTCATTACAGACAGAGCAAGACGACATACACAAAAAAAGAATTCCATCATCTTTTATGCCTTTTGTAAAAGACCATATATATTTGGCGTGGGAAGACTTTCCAAAATGTAAAAATAAATATAAAGTTCACAACAATAACCTAATGCTGTTCACAATATTATTCATCTTCAATCATCTTCTTCTGGTGGTAATTCAATAGGTCCCAAAGCATGGTGGTGACCCTAAATTTTTAGGTTGATTGTGTTAAAATTCCTTGCTCTCAGCAAGGATTTTTATTGCTAAGTATAAAATGGACATAATCAAATATTGCCCATTGACAAAATGATTTTGTGGGCTTGTTTTGTGCCAGGAAAGCTGGAATCAAACCAGAGTTGAAAAAAAAAATAATCAGTTTTTTGTCAACAGTATCAGTTTTGCAGACAAGAGGTTCTAGCAAATACGATAAGAAAAGCTGGTGCACATTATAATCACAAGATTTACTTGGAAATAACACAGTAGTAAGATGTGTTTGCCTTATGTAGCTATGTATGTCAAATTTCCATGGTTTGATGGTACAAATTCTCACAACTGTCTACTACACAAAAATGAAAGATTCTAGACTGGAGCCTCATCAAACGACTGTGTCTTGGTTAACACATTTTGACCTGGGCACAACTATAGAATACCCTGCAATGTTAACTATCAACCCAAGTAAGTTAGCTTTTATATACGTGGGTCTTAATAAAGTGTTTAAAAAAACTATGGGTGTATCTACTGAAATGTGTTGCTTTAATGCATGGCAGGGTGTTCTATAGTTATTCCTTCTAATATGTAACAACAGAGCAGCGTGACAGCATATCTTCAAACCACTTCACATCAAATGTCATATAACAACTTCCTAAAATAGAGAAGAACACTTCTTGATGTTTCAACCATTGAAAGTGTCTTTATCAGGAGAGTTGGTAAAGTAACAACTCTCCTGATAAATGCCCTTTGGTTGAAACATTGAGAAGTGTTTTCGTCTATTTTAGGCAGCTGTTGTACCACATTGGAATGGATAGCGGCATAACTTGATGAATTCAACATTATATTGTAATAGTACTTACAATGATATCATGATAATCATGTTTCAACCTCCACAAAACCCAAAACCATAAGAAACCTCCTAAGCCTTTAGACCATAATACATGAGCCCGTTTGGGGGCATGGAACATCTGAGTGGAAACCATAGGTCCGAGACTGTATTCAGAGCTACAACGATAGTATTCAAAAGGTGAACAGGCGTACAAAACCAAATATATTTGAGCAACAACAAACTTGTGAAGAAATAGAACTATCACGTTAAAACTATTCACCTTTCTTGCAGCAAGAAAGCTGCTTTAAGGCCAAATTCTGTTCAAAAACGTCCAAAATTAGTGAGAAAAAGTCAAGGATATTTTTTATGTAAAACAAATATGGCGACAAAAAGTGAGTACGCGATAAGATAGCCAGCGGGAAACGCTTTAACAAAATACATACAATGCAAGAAATCCCCCCTCCCTCTTCCCCGATCAAGGTGTGTTTATCACGTGGACAAAACGTTCCCGCCAAATTTGTAGTGAAATCGACATTTTTTTCTTGTCGCTTTATTTCTTCCGCCCTTTTGTTTGTTACTAGGCGACACGGGCATTCAAGACAGAAATGAGCCAATCAGAGCGCGCGAATTCGAAAAAACCGGAAACACTCATTGAAAAATTTTTACTACGCTTTGCCAAGTGTGAGTAAGCGAATTACGTTGCAATTGCAATATATGGTCGGCTATTGTTGCATTTCTGCGTAGTTTTTGTAACGTTTTACATTGTGAACGTTTATGAGATTGTATCATGAGTGTTGGTAGCGTTGTACATCATGCCTCGCCTTCGAACAGCAAATGTTTAGAGCTGGGAATAAGCCGTTCTTGTTGTCGGAATTTATTTGGGCCAATTGACCACGAGCAGCTACGGACTGAATTGGAGACAGAGCTAAAACGAATTACAGACGAAAAGAAACGACGATGGAATTTTGACTTCGTGAAGCTGAAACCTCTGGACGGGGACTTTTCATGGCAAAGAATTGGCGACAATCGTAGCGTTGGATTTGCGACTAGCGACGAATCAAATGGTCGAATATCTGACAGAATCACGCCACAATCAAACGTAGTCAACACGCGTGATGATGGATCGAATGCACAAACAAGAAATGCAACATCAAACGCCCAAGAAACATGTTTCAGAACCCCCGAACGGCTGACCGCAAAAAGATTGAGAAAATCGCCAAGGATCACAGGTGTTTAAAATCACACAATTTTACGGCATGCAATGTTGTCGAGTGTAATAATAATTATTGTATATATATATATATATATATATATATATGATTTGCAATCGCGCCTAGTTTATAACTTCCGCCAATTGTCGATTGTAATTTTAACTGTCTGATTCGTATACACGTGAAATTATGTCAATTAGCTTGGTGTATAAACTCGATTGTAAACAATGAATGTTATATAATTTCAGGTTTACTAGTAGATCAAGCAATATAAAGCTACCAACATATATTTTAGCTGGTCATCTGCTGATGACAGCTTATTTTGAGGCGTGCGTGTAATATTACCCCTATATGGTTATGGCCTGTGTAGGTAGGGTTGTTCTGAAATTCGAGATTATGAGTAACACCGTGACTTATATTTTTGAAAAAACATTCTATCTGCTAACATTCCTGTGGTTCAGTCCTACTAAAAACGTTTTAAATCACAAAGGCCATGATAATGTCTTCAAGCGTATTGTCAAACACGGAACTGTATGTCTGTCGCAAAATCTGTCCAATATAACCCTGAAAGCCCTTAATTTTAACCCCTAATCTGAAATACGGTCTACTGAATTCATACTCGAACATTGTTGCCAACCAAAAAACCCTTTTTCTTTTAGATTATTTGCGGGCAAAGAAGGGACGTGGCACTTCTAGAAAAATAAAATTCAACGGCGAATTAGCGGGAGTCCCCAAACTATGTAAACGCGTTCAGACAAGAAAGGCGAGCAGCGGGCGTCCGACTGGCAAACAATCGACGTTGGATCAATATATGCCGAAGGTATGCAAAGATTAAAGGCTCCAGACAAAAACAATCCCAATTTGAGCAAAACAGATTGTGATATCGGTGATTTCAAAGTCATCTTGTGAAAAAAATGGCAAATTAAAAAATACTGTTCGTTCTTTTTATTATATCGTGATCTCTCATCTGTGTACTGTGCGACAATTATTGATTGTAGTTATTTAGAGATACATAAGAGTCGCCATGACCTTGTGATGGAAACTAAACCATTACATAATTATTGTGTTTGGTAGTTTGGAATTGTGTGTATAATTTTTAAATCAAATCTTGCTTGCGTTTGGAAGAGGAAGCTTACACATGCATGTCACAACCATAAATGATTAGATATATTGCTTATGGCAGCAAATTTAGTGTAGAACAAAACGTTATCAACTGAATCAGGAAATCTAAATTTATAATCTTGAATGTGTGTTGAATGTTGCACCACTGCAACAATTAACCATTGTGCCTGTTCTTAGAAATTCTATCACTTGCGGCCCAGTTGTGAGGCATATTTATAAGGTCTTCCTTGCAAAAACTTTCCTTGTATTCTTAATTAACTTCATATTTTTTCTTGTCTAAAAATAAGCTTTTACATTCATCGCGTTTTAAAAAGTCAAGAACACTTTCTTTTATTACCCTCTCTCGTTCAACTTCCTTGTTTAGTGTGTGTCTTATGGATCATTTACGAACGTGAAGATATTAAGTTGAGGAGGGCAAATTTAACAATTTAGACAACTTGTTGCTGGGATTATATAAATGCCTCGTGATCGAAATACCAAGCGCGTCATGCTGGTTTGTAAATTCAATATTTATTGTTGCTTTGTTCCGTTTCAGCTCCGACCAAGACAATCAAATGGTAAAGCCCAGATTTCGAGATAGACGAAGACTTAAAAAATATCAGAATGGACACTACGATTCACGATTGTACATACTATAGTATAGTATAGCGCTACACGAAGGTTCTTAGCCTTAAGGCTTAACGAAGATCTTCTGGTTTTAGATAACTCTTCGAGACAATGTTTTCAGTCAATGTTTTATGTAAGATTATGAAATAATTTAGTTGAAGTTCATTCCATTGGGTAATCAAGTTGTCGACTTGATTATTATCACACGAATGTGATAAATTTGTATTTAAAATTTAAATATTGTTCATAACAAAAGTTCTGAAACACAGAGAAACTTCTCTTAAATCTTCTATTTATGGCTTTTGCTGATTTGCATAATCAAATTACACAAGGAGCTAAAATATGCAGCACGCGGAAAACCTGCGAACGAGAATAGCTAAATAGCTAAAATAGCTACTAAATAGCTAACATTTCGACACACGCCCTCACACGCCGTGAGAAGACCTGGGTACGAGGATGCCCCAGCCAAATCGCGTCTCGTACACGCTGGGAAAAAATAAAATTAATCTGGACGAATGATTGGGAATTGGATTTTGTATATCATGTCACACATATCAAATCTTCACCTCAAAAAAGTGAACCCTAACAGCACATGCACATAAATATTTCCAGGTAACTTTGTCATGAGTATTGAGTGATAGACTACCGCCGGTACCTGAAAAACATCAAGACTCGTATAGATTTCTGCTGCGCTGTCCCGAACTATAGTATAATTAATACCCATCTCAGGTTGGCTATGACAGGCGTTGAAAACCATAGAAACTTTGCCAATTGGAAAGTTAAGGCTCACTTTCTTGAGACATCAACTTCAGTTAACCAGATCTGATTAAATTTGTTTTCTGCCTGTCCTGTCTAAAATTACATCAAGCTGTGCCGATGGAATATGATCCCATGCACATGATCTGATCTGAGTCACTGAGTGACTTATGAGCTCTAAATATCACGTAAATATTGAATTCCAGCAACAAATACACTGTCGTTACAATTTTCCAAGGTACACAGATTATAAAAGCTCATCGGCATGAAGCTGGACGGAGTCAAGTCTAAAGACTCCCACGACTCCACGAGATAAAGGGTGCAAATTTAATAAAATCACAGAACAGGTAAATTAATGATTATTTCAAGACTCGAGGAACCTCGCAAGCTCTCACTCAGTTGGTTTTAATGATGTTATGCTGAAACGATTGAAGTTTCCACAAATTAGAGACAGCACATAAATTCTGCATCTCTCGTTAGTCGTGACTGTTGTCTATGCATGTCGTTAGTCTGTTTACATGATCGAATTTTGTTGCGTCCAATTCACTTCTGATGTATGTTTTATAGTCTGTCGACTTGCAATTTATGTGGGCAGCAAATCAACTTAAACCAACGCAGTTTTGCTTTATCACAGATCTGTGCTTTATCAATAACCTGACTTCATTCCATACGTCAGAAGTGAATTGGATCCAACAAAATTGGATCGTGTGAACAGACCTTTACATATTTGCACTATAAATGTTGTCTTATGACCTTTCAATGCATATGCCTTTACATCACAGCTGTAAAGACATACAGTATTTCGTAAGTTGACATACAGTATTTCGTCATAATTCACGGCATGTCGTCATAAAGAAGTACAACGAATTATGACATGTGAATTACGACGAATTATGTTTTATGAAAACCATTTTCTTCTTGCATGTAATGTGCGCAATGGACTTAACCATTATGACATTTCATGGCACGATGCTTTGCAAGAATTATAGCTATTGGCAGATGATATTTTACGAAGCATGGGGCCAATGTGACTTAATTCAGATAATACTCGTGTTAAACATTCTATGCAGGATACTATGGCATTAATGATGAGTAATTTGACTAATTTCGTTGGGCAAGTCACCTACTGACGTTTTGCATTACTGACGGCATGAGGTTACATAAGAAGCTTTCGCGTTTTTAGGTTGAATTTTCTCAATCCCCGCCTTAGCTACGCCTTTGTTTGCACACAGTTAATACTGTGGTTTGCACTAAAATTATCTGCCACTGTGCCACAGTCTTAAAAAGCTGAATATTCCGACATCTTGGATTTTTTTGAGATGTATAATGATAATGCGTCATGTTTTACCTTTTTAATTGAACAAACTTTTTAAATGACTGTCTCACTGTCCGTATAATTAATATATTTGCCATTTCGAAAAAAATGATGACAGTTGAGTTAATGAGGTAACAGTTGTTTTAGTAAATATTACAACTTACAAGGACTATGCCGGACACAAGAAACGAGTTTTGCATAAATTTACACGCTCTATTAACCGCCACTGTACATAGTTCCTCTTATCTGCGTGTGAAAATATGCAATAAAATCGGTAGGTAGACGATATATATTGTTGGTTATTGTATATATATCATTTAAAATTCAAAAATATTCATATATCACGTCCAATAACCTTAAAACCGAATAAAACTGCCATATTCATGAGAAATGGATAATACGAAACATCTAAAATGTTGACTTCTAAACTCTCGAGCCTATATAAGCACAGCTAAAAGTGAAGTCATTTTATTTCGATTTACTAAATCATCGTCAATATATATAATAACGATTTTATACACTGACTTCAATAACCTTTATATTCGTTTATCAAAAAAATGTTCCAATAGGTAACGACCAATAAGTAAATATATATAGCTAGCTATGCATAACGATATGACTAAATACAACATATCTCAAATGTCAATGCAACATTATGGCTAGATTACTACACCCATACAAAAGTCAGTTATATAAGTTCATAGATAAAATAATGTAGTCACTACAATGAAAAGTGATATATTCATGTATACAGTCATTGCTCTTATATTCATAGAATAGATGCGAAGTATATTAAAAACAGGAAGTAACTGGTACATGTGCAAGACGTGCGAGCGACAGATGTATGATATTCTAAATTGTTCGACATTAGGTATACAATATTATCTATATACGCATCGCGCGCGCATGACCCTATGAATAGATAAAGAATGCTTGGCGAGGAAGCCTTTTGTTTGGTAACGCGACTACATGAACATGCGAGACTTGACATTTTAACAACTTAGTATTTGTTAAACACTTACACCGAGCCATTTGTCGTTTGTCCGCCCACGCATGCAGGCTTGCGTACAAATGTCAATATATAATGATGTTTTTATTGCAGCGCTTCTTGACTGGCAAAACTACAAAGTAATTTATCACGTACGAATCAAATTCAGATCTTGCTATCACTTCTCAAGGCACGCTTGAAAACAATTCACATTTCTAGTGGACGCTGTTACGACAGTTACGCTGGCAAGTAAAGATGTGTTCACTTTTTCACAGTTAGACCGAGACACTTCATTCTTCACTATAACCTCTTCCGCGCAGACAACTTCGAAATAACCAAACGGCTTATTTTCGAAACAGCAATCAGTAAATTCTTTACGCGGGTCATCTTTGGCTGGTTTCACGAAAGCTATAATTACACATTTTTACAATCACCCTATAAGTGTCTAAAATTACCCTTAGTTCGATGTAACAGTGATTAACCTATATTAGACTTTAATGGTTTAATCACTGAAATACTATATCTGATTGGTTATTGTGGTGCAGAGCTTCAATCTTATTGGCTTATAAATTTTGTGATTAATGCTCAAAAATAGTGCGATTTGGGAATTAATCACACTATTTTTAACCATTTATAATGAATATAATAAAACTGGTGGTCCTTTAAAATAAATGCTTTTCCAGCATTTTCATAACCGTTGAAATAGTAACTATCTTCGTCTTCGTCATATTGCACTGTAAATCTCACAGTCTCGCAGTGTTACGCCAACACCAAAATGGTGTAGGATAACACCAAATACTGTAAGTTTTATGTTGAATCGAAGACCACATTTGAGTGTAGCAATACACATGCTCACACCATGCTAGCGTTCCTATAACACTCTCTTGGTATAAAAAGAAAAAATTATCCATCTATACACAAACTTAACCGGTTTACATTAAAACAGTGGACCCTTACCTAACTCACAAGTTCTATTACACTTTACGATAGCGTTAATATACACCTATTTAGTGTTAAGATATGTTTACATTCGAGCAGTGCAAATTTACACGTAAGTTGTAGTTACTTGTATGATTACACCAAATGTACTGATGAGACGTAGCCGTCGTAGCCATCGCCCAGCTGACTACGTACGGAGACTGCTTGTCTGCTATGTTTTCACATTCACACTGCAGCATGTGATGTCTTGTTTACATTTACTTAAAATTTACTTTCCTTGCAAGGAATTTACTTTCGTTAAAACCTGCAAGTTTCGCGAATTTTGTGTAATTCTATAATAGAGGGTCGTACAGGGTTATTTTCGCCGACGAGTGATTATATTATTTTCCTCATCATGGCCGGGGCGTGATTTCTAAAAATTACCTCCGTGATCCGCGTGACGTGTAGCTATGTTCCGCGTGACCGTGAATAGTTCAAATTCAAAGTTCAAAGCCGCGTGATTCGTGATCTCGCCGCTTCTTTAACGCGAATTTAGACTCATGAATCTAAGCTATGACGGTTTTTCTAATTCTTTGAAATCTTATTTTTGTACATTGGAGATTTTGTTTGTAACCTAATTCTTCGCGATCTTAACACACCTTTCTTAACACCACATCCTAACATAATATCCGATTTTCCTGATCCTAATAGAATAGAAAATAGCAATTTTTTGTCTGTCATTAGCGATTCGAGAACCGTGTATTTCTGTGCAACCAACTATACCACGTTCGCGGACTGATACGATATAGCTAGTACTTCACTGATTGCATTAAGTGAGAACGATTTTGTAAAGAAATCGAAACACAACACTGAACCTCCCTGTAATGTTTGAAGAAGTGCATGTCAGTTGGCATTGGATTATTATTACTGATTTATTAATGATTTAAAAATCTTTATACGCGGTAGTTTATCAAACATAATATATATATTATAAAATATAATCTATATATATGATTATGTTTAAAGCGTGTATAAAGGTCGTTTTCCACTAGGCGAATTGATTCGCGCGAGCAGATAAAAAGTAGGAAGCGTTTCTACTTTTTCGCGGCGAAATTTTTCGCAAACCAATCACATCACCGAATTTCAGATATCACTTCGCGTCGCGCGAATAAATCCGCCTAGTGAGAACGGGCTTAACAAAAGTATAAAATGGCTGCTTTTCTTATATGGCCGTGTAAAAATTTACAACATCTGACAACATCTATATCAACTATATAAATTAATACATATACAAGACACAACGTCATGTCATAAGACATTATTAAATAAGTATAACAAGTAGGAATTTTGTTGAGGAAATGTTTCAGAAGTTGGGATGTAAGATTAAAGGACCTTTCCGTTTACAGCATCCACAAATTATCGGCAAGGCACGGCTAAAACGTGCACTATGTAACGTGTACAAACTTTATCCGTGTTCGGCCTTTGTATTGGTAGCGCGGCAAGAATAGAATTTGGTTTCCTCGTTCTACAAGGATGGCTGTTAGGCATGCATATTCCGGCTTCAAATGCTGGTGTCAATTGCTTAATCCTAATAATCTCCTTGAGATATACGCCCGAACTAAGAAACAAAAAACTCGTATTTTCGTATCCAGGATATATCTCATCTCTTTCACGCCTTCGCCTGCACCCCGCTGAAGAGAATTCAGATAAGTTGACCACAATGCATGGGTTAGGTATTCCAGACTTGTGCTTGCATGTATACGCTCGTTCCATGCTGCAGCAGTATAAAAATTCGCAACTTTCGAGTCTTAATTAGAAGCCATAAATTTTAAAAAGTATTGAATACAAAACTTTCCGTATCTGCGTCAAACTCTTTTTCATTTTAATCAAAATGACAAAAAGATATATTTGGTATACGCGGAAAACGATCCATGCATGTGCTGAAGAAATATACATATATAAATCGATGCAGGGCGCCCTTCAAGTAAAAACAATATATTTGTAAGACGTCAATATATTGTCCAAACAAGTTAGGTTTTTCATTACATATTATTATACCGGCCTCGACACGAATGTAAAGTCACAACATCAATTCAGAATCCGCTGAGCAAAAATTAATCAGACGGTCTAACAAAAATGTCAAAATCAATGAAGCAATTTTAGTCTTAATAAGATTGCTCGTAGTTTTGTGGTTGTGAAGTTATATCGATAAAGGGGATTTATGTAATACCTTAATACCTCTGTTTGTTTGTTGCCAGCGCGAACTGACGGCGAAATTCCCGAGAAAGGGAGCTGACAACTCCTACTAAAGCTTGTTTGCCATTGAAAAAGCAGATCAACCCTACGCCACCTGGTTTGACGATAAATTCGCGAAATGAGGAGAGCATAATTGTCGCGTAGGTCGTGGAATATGAACTACACTGAATAAACATTCGCTTACTAACACTGTGGAAACGAATGACGTTACTTGTCAGTTAAAAAACAAATGTAAAGATGTTTATATATACCTGAAGATTGGCACAAGAGTTCAAAATGTCAACTTAAAAGAGCTGGTCTTTTTTTATATCATCGCATTTAAACAAGGAGCTTTTATCTCAAAGTTATACCACATTGGCCCATCGAGGCAGTATATTCCGGAACAACTAGCCACTGAGACGAAGCATGTTGCCGAAGAAAAGGAAAATAATTTACGTTCTGCCTTCTACTCTGTTGTTACTCGTGATATTTTGCTCGGCATCTGAAGATGCTGAGATGGACGTGCTACTGACTGTAATCCGCGATGAGAATCTCAATCTCCCGGACCGCGTCAACATATGTCCGACCAGAGAAAGCGTAATGCCACACTTCGAAGCGAAGACTATGAACTGCAGCGAGAAAAGAAAGCCCGAGATGTGTGAAAGGAACGGACAACTCATCAGTGGTTATCCGTGTACGTGCAAGAATAAAAGTCCACTTTATTCGGCCGGCAAAAGACGTTGTGTCCATAACGTCTGGCTTCGCAAAGGTAAGCGATGATTGAGTTAAAATCGCCAAAGTTCATGAATTTTAATAAGAGGAATTTCAAGCCGCTTCCTCCGTCAAAGGAATTTTTGAGACATAGGCAGACCATTTAGGTTCTCGAAAGCAGACTGACGCGAAGTCAGAATCAATCGACAATCTTAGAATCCATTGTGAGTCTACGTGACTACATAATCGCCTCATTTGCAGGCAACTCTGTACACAACAAAGCATTAATTTAATCTAAATAGCTTTTCGATGACATGCAATGACTGACATTGCGAAAACAATCAAAGAATTTGAATTTGGTTGTGAAAAGGCGAGAAAATGTAGCCTGCCAGCCTTGAGTTATGTCTATGGGCATTTTCCCTATGCCCATGTGAAGATTTTAAAAGAGAATTCTACCCTAGCCATAAACTCCTTTTCCTAGCAGGCTAATAAATTGAAGATAAGGAAAATTTAAAACCAATAGTAATTTCGCCCACGATGGATATTTCACCAGATGACACTCCTTTTTCTATGAAAACAATTCATTTTCGACATGAATAACTGAGTTTTAGAATAAATGGAGGAAGGGTTTTACTTTCATGGAGTTGTTTACTTTCCTTGGCTAATCGGATCGTAATACAGCTATGCTATAAGTCGTGTGGGAGATATAAACCAGTTTCTGGAAGGTAAATATGTCAGTCAAGACTCGAAGGCAAGCCTACTACGTGCCAATGGGCAGGCCTCAGCTGGTCAAGGGCGTAAAACATTATGCGATAGCTTACACTAACAAATATTGAAATATCCTGGTTGTGTCGTCTTTTTCATACAACTATTCAAAACGTCTCGTAAGTCACGATTTGTTGTTCTTGTTACCTAGCAACAACCCTCGTGGGTCAAGTCCACTGACGTATGCTAAATAGCATACGTATATTTAGGTCAGTGGTCAAGTCATGCGTAATGGATCCTTATCCAATTATTCTCAGCTGCCACCTTTTACCAGAAACCTTTCACCTTTATTTTTTTATGATCAGAAACCGTGCCAACAACCTGACAATTTAACTCGCTGCAATTAGAAAATACATTGGTTGACAAACGTAAAATAGAATAACAGAGAGGTAACAAGATATATAGAAATAACAACGAAGTAACAAAAAACTAACGTTTGATTTTTCAACCGCGTACATAGACTTCTCCTCATGAACGGTGTCAACAATATATATCAAGGCATATTACTAATCCGATAAAGTATAGTGCATGATAGCATAGCATATTTTCATAAGAATGACTGTTGCCTGTCTATCAATTCCCCGCTCAGTAATGATTTATTTTTTCATGTAAGTCCCGTGTGAGTTTTGATTAGATATATAGCAATTGTTCGCATAAAAAACGATTAGCCCACGTCGTAAACGTTTGAACCAAAACACGGAAGAGAAAAATATAATGTCTTGCTGTCGGGATATCTAGGATTTTGAGATTGACTATAAGAACGTGATACTACCTAGGCGTTCGATAGGTGTGGTTCCTGCGTTTATATTCCTGTATATTACAAGATCAGTGCATTCGAAACTACGCCTGGAAGTAGTGGGCGCTTACGTACACGCCCATATAAACACACGAAAAATTTAAACGCACACTAAGAGCACACCCTCTTTTGATGGGGATTCCGATGAAAAGTGGCAAGCCTATTTCAAGCGCTCCCTCTATACAGGCTGTCCCAACAAACGTGAACTCGTTCATTAATGTAGTCGCTGACCGAATTATCATTCCCAAAATGTGATTACACAATCGTCAATAATCATCTTGACATGTCTTTGCGTCTGGCATTTCATATTTTCTGTGCAGCATGAAAAAACATGGTTTAACGTATATATTTTTATGTATGTGGGTTCCTTTTTCTTTCAGCACACCCTGTATTTTTAGGCACCAGGATCGTCAGGATTATTTTGATACAGGGTGTATACCATACGTATTTGCAAGGCTGTGCAACTAATTACGCTTTTGGGATTTGAAAATACGTTTCTACGTGCAGTACTATCAAAATAAGCACACAAAGTAAATTAAAATTAGTTCGATTACGAATAGCTCAGCTAACAACTCATTTACAATGGTTTTAGACGGAGGTTGAGTTTACTCGTATACGTTTAAAACGAGGAATTCTCTTAGTTCTGTTCTTGACTGAGCCACTCCCATTTTTTGCCACTTCCATTAACAATGGAAAGAAATCCTTGTGACCAAAAGAAGAAAAGCCGATAGAGGAAGGAAATTAAAGAGCCTTGAACATACAACTTTGTTTTTTTTTATTTGAAGGTTGTGACCTTCGTTTCGGCTCGTGGCGTCACTCGACCGGGTGGGTATGGGACGAGCTCGACGATCCGACACCGTTACTGTACCTAGACGACGGTCACGGCATTGCAGGAGGTTTCAACGTTTCGAATAGAGATTTTGAGCTTTGCAGTCTCTTAAATGTGACTGCGCTGTCAAAAACTGGCATTTGGTCGAAGATTGATTTTCGTTTCGAGGATTTTCAATTCTTTGTTTCAAGAGGATATTTTCATATAAGTTGGGTAAGGAAGTTTCAAACACCTTTAATCATGTTTAGTAATCTGTCTGTTGTCTCTTCAGTGTTGTCACAATGTAAAAACTAAACTCTGGGCAACTAAACGACCTTTGCCACAGTGAATTGCCAGAAGATTATCGAGCCAAAAGTCAATCTAACTTATCTAACCTTGACATCATCTCTCCAATCAAATTAGTGATAGAGCTACATTTTTTAAACGCAAATCAATCAAGCGTTAACCTATAAAAGTTTTTGTGTCACAACAGTTTAATTGCCTACAACCTAGCACGACTTGGTTTCTCGACGGCACGGACACCGTGAAACTTTTATCGCTCTATACACATGGTTTTTCTACTTTTCTTTTTAGAATACCGTACACTTAGACCCAGAGAGCAGAGACACCATAACAGGAAGGCTTTTACGATTCTCTATTATGTGTCGACGACCCGAACCCAAATCACATGAGGATATCATACGTGATCCATTGGAGTCGTGTCTGACTTTTAAAGCAACAGGGAACTATACTAGTACGTACATGCATGATTGGAAGACAATTTAAAAACCCGAGCTGAGTTGGGGTTAAAGGAAACAAATGACACCATACCATACCATACCATACCATACCATACCATACCATACCATACCATGCCGTGCCATACCATAAAAGGAAACAAATGACACACCATACCACACCATACCTGACCTATACCATGCCATACCATACCATACCATACCATACCATACCATACCATACCTGACCTATACCATGCCATACCATACCCATTCCATTACTTCACTTCACTCTATCCATTTTCATGATCAATATCACCTCTTGCCAGTAACAATAGCAAGCAATATCTCAACATACTAATACTACCTTGAAATAACCATCTATACGGACACGGTAAACGTACAGTACACTATGATAGGATGGCAACTTAATCTCTACTGTAGTGTAGTGTAGATTACCACTCGATACAAATTCTAAGGTGTACGAAGATAATATTCATGATACGCTATCATACAATGCGCTTATGCTGCCATTCTATACCGTTCCATATGTGATTCCACATTATATCATCATTTTTTCTCCTACGTATCTACTTAGTTGCCGCTGATTCACCAAAAAGGAAGAAACCAGAAGAACAAACCAACGACCCTACGATAGCGATAATACTGGGAGTGATTATTCCAACTGTGGTCATAATTGGCACAGTGATCATTGTGGTGTTTCTCAGGCGGCGAGGATTCGGTACACGTTCCAACAGAATTAAATTTCCATTTCATTTACGCGCAAGATATGCGAAGTGAACATATTCACGAGAAAAACCTTACAATTTTCATTTTTTATTCAATCTTATCAACCGAAATATATACGATATAAAGCCTGGTTCTTATATCTCGTAATGCATCGGCGATGTTCTACAAACCACTGTACGTGACCAATGAATAGATAATTCTTTTCGATTTTATTCATCAATCACCACCGAAAGTAGATATCGCCGATGAATGGCGATATATGAGAACCAGGCCTGAAGGTTCACCTTTTGGGCCATAGTAATGCAATGCACAGGGGTTCACTATTAGAAACTTTCTAGGTATACACCACATAAGTATATAATACTGCAAAGCTTTCGGTCCTTTAACCCGGGTCTTCATCAGTGCAATTGATAATCGAAAGCTTTGCAGTAATATATACTTACGTGGTGTACCTACAAGCTTAATTACTTATCGATTGTCACCATGCAAACGTACAAGAATATTAGAAACTTTCTGTTAGGGGGTTCGTACGAAGAAAAATAGGCTTTCGTCAAAATTGTGAACAAAGGAATGTTCGTTATTCATACAACCGGGGTTTATACCGACCGGGACAGTGAACACTTCATCCTGATTTTCTTTGGTATTGAAATGCAAATTAAACACTCATTTAAATGTTGCATACTTGTTTTGAAATTTCTTTGAGGGTCATCGCTGTTAATCCGTTATCCGCAAACGTTAACGTCGTCTTAATATTTATTTATTTCTTTCTCAACAACGCATCTCGGCAACACATCTTTCCGTCGAAAATGGCAGTTCACCATCTTTTGGAACAAGATGGCTGCGTAGGCGCAGCAGAGTTTACCCCCATTTACACCACAGTCAATTTATCGGCACGGCACGGCTAAAATGTGTACCCGTGTCCATTTTACTAGTGGTCAGGCTACCAAGACAAAGGCCGGGCACGGATGAAATGGGCACGGGTACGCATTTTAGCCGTGCCGTGACAATAAATCGAGTGTAGTGTAAACGGGGCTTAAAATGGCCCTACGCGAGCTCTACTACAGAATAATTAATGACCAATGTAAGTGCAACCCTGAACCAGAACCCGCCACTGTTGGTAAAACTGAGTCTGCATGACCTAAACGTCAATGAATATATTTTCTCATTTATCTATTTTACCCCGAGATTTCTGTTATATACACACCACGGTGACTGAGGATTCATTTGAACGTCAACTATTTGGTGGAATACTGACTCGGCAGCTTATAAACAATGGTGTTTCTAGTCCGTTCTTTCGAAGGTCGTCTCTTCTTTAACTTACCGTGGTCTTTGAAAGCGATTGCGCGTACTTCGACCACCGTTGTAGCATCACACAAAGAAGTGTTGCCATTCTCGGCCATTCCTGGCCCAAAAGGAACAATTCGAAATCTGTTGGACTACGGGATGTCCAGAGGGACGTTCTTTGAAGTCTTGGAGAAGCGCTTTGATAAATACGGCCCGATTTACAGCGAAAAACTGCTGGACAGTCGTATAGTGAGCATTTCCGATGTCGACGCCACGACCAACGTCTTGCGCACAGAAAATGAACTTCAGATGCGACCCGGCTTCGAGGCAGTTGCCGAGATGATGGAGGAGACAGGCTTTGGTGTTGGGCTCGCCTCAAACGACTATGAAATATGGTATCCTGATAGATCACTGCTCTCGCCGAAGATGCTGCGTCCCAAAGACGTGAGTGAGATATTCCTTGTTGAATACTATAGCGAACGAGTTCGCAGAGCGAGCAGCACGTTGTATTGGACCAGACGGAGTGGTGAACAACAAAGAAGAACTGAACTTTTGGACCGTAGAGTCGTTCGCCGCGTTCTTGTTCAATCAACGTCTTGGTTTCTACGACGACCCCGCGGATCCCGAAGCAGTCGCATTCGTGAATTCAGCTCGTATTATGCTTAATATATACGATCGGAAAGATGCTGCACGCTGCTCCTTTTTATAAGTACTTTAAACCCTAACGATTCCACGACCCACGTTGAAGAAAAGCATAATTGACGTAAACTCCAGTGGTTTGAACATATTAGATAGAGTGTTAGCAAAACAGCAGGAGATGGTCAAGACAGCCAATGGTCACAAACGATCGTTGTTTGAATTTCTCTCTGCCAACGATAAATCACCAGAAAGATTGAAGAATGGCGTCCATGCTTGTTGGTTTGATGTCGGCCGGCATCGATTCCACCAGAACAACTGCCTGTGGTTGTTTCAATCTTGCCCGGATAGAACATCAATTTGTGTGGTTCAATACTGTGGTACTATCCCCGTATATTTATAAATTCGCTATGCGTGTCAATTCTTGTACAGCCAGTTGTCCTTTTAAAACGATCTGGATGACAAAGATCCTTTCTAAGCTCGCCGCGCATTAAAGCTCTCTTCTTTCATCAAGGATTTTTTTTAAACATGTTTGCGTATTTAGGTCACATAACAAAGGCAAACTGTGCATGCAAATCTGGCTTATTCAAAAATGACAGTCTGCAGCGAAGCTTGGATCTTCAATGCAGCAATCAATGAACTCATGCAGACTGTATATTAAAAGTGTTAGAGACTTTATGTTCGTGTTTTGTTCACAAATAAACGCACTTGCCGACCATACAATCAACTCGAAATTTCAATATCGAAATTTCTCGTTCATTGTATGGTCAGCGCGTGCGTTTATATTATTCGTGAACAAAACACTCACAACAGTCTCTAACCCTTAAATAACGTTTCCATTTTTACTACAATTATTATTACTAACTAAATATTATATTTTCTTTCTACTCCGTTGCTTATATTACGGCGGAGTAGTTAGCGATTCCCCTGTTCACTTGTCAACTTCCAAATATGGTTTGTAACTTGACCGTGAAGAGTATATTGAAACCGACTGTAATAACGACGCTATTGGTTATTTATCTTTAAGAAATATTTTTACATAAAAATCCACCAATATGATTGCAAGTTGTAAAGAGCTTCCACTGCTGAACCCTCCCAGAATCCTCCACTGCTGAGTGTCAGTCTGACCTTAAAATCTGGCAATATAAAATATTTAGCGTATATCTCATTGACCCAGATCTCTGTTTATATATACACATCGCGGTAAAGAATTCGTTTGAAACGTCAACTATTTGGTGGAATAACTCGGCAGCTTATAAACAATGGTGTTTCTAGCGCGTTCTTACCAAGCACGTCTCTTCTTTAACTTACCGTGGTCTTTGAAAGCGATGGCGCGTACTTCGACCACCCTTGTAGCATCACACAAAGAAGTGTTGCCATTCTCGGCCATTCCTGGCCCAAAAGGAACCATTCGAAATCTGTTGGACTACGGGATGTCCAGAGGGACGTTCTTTGAAGTCTTGGAAAAGCGCTTTGATAAATACGGCCCGATTTACAGCGAAAAACTGCTGGACAGTCGTATAGTGAGCATTTCCAATGTCGACGCCACGACGAACGTCTTGCGCACAGAAAAGAACTTTCAGATGCGACCCGGCTTCGAGGCAGTTGCAGAGATGTTGACGGAGACAGGCTTTGGTTTTGGGCTCGCCTCAAACGACTATGAAATATGGTATCCTGATAGATCACTGCTCTCGCCGAAGATGATGCGTCCAAAAGACGTGAGTGAGAGATATTCCTTGTTGAGTGCCCTAGCGAACGAGTTCACAGAGCGAGCGGCACGTCGTATTGGACCAGATGGAGTGGTGGACAACATAGAAGAAGAACTGACCTTTTGGGCCGTAGAGTCGTTTGCCGCGTTCTTGTTCAATCACCGTCTTGGTTTCTACGACGAACCCCCGGATCCTGAAGCAGTCGTATTCGTGAATTCAGCTCGTATTATGCTTGATATGATCGGAAAGATGATGCACGGTGCTCCTTTTTATAAGTACTTCAAGACCTCTACCTATTCCGCGTTGAAGAGAAGCATAATTGACGTAAACTCCAGTGGTTTGAACATTTTAAATAGAGTTTTAGCAACAAAGCAGGAGACAGTCAGTGGTCACAAACAATCTTTGTTTGAATTTCTCTCTGCCAACGATAAATCACCAGAAAGAATGGCGTCGATGCTTGTTGGTTTGATGTCGGCCGGCATCGATGCCACCAGAACAACATGCCTGTGGTTGTTTTACGAACTTGCTCGGAATTCGGACATCCAAGAGAGACTCTACAGCGAACTTTTGTCTTCAATTGGCCCTGATGGGGAGGTATCAGCCAGCACGATTCCTTCATATCTCAAAACCGCCGTGAAGGAGTCGCAACGCCTTTACCCGGCCGGAGGATATGTGGTTCTTCGTGAATTTCATAACGATATTGATGTTCTCGGATACAATATTCCAGCAGGTATATGCATGTGCTTTCGGGGCATTTACTGCGTATTTTTGGGATTCATGTGACGTCATAATTCCATGCAGTGGGGTCAACTCGAAAACGAGTTTAGATTTAATAGGGGTATATAAGAATATATTTAATACATGTAGATTATGAATGTCGCGATCGAACAACATTAAGGCATCTAAATGGCACGCCGGAGTTAACGCCAGAACAGGCGTCTTGTTTTAAATATAACGCATATAAACAAATGAATGCGTGAATAGGTTTCTTTATGTTATCAACTGTATTCAAACTTAAGCGATTCCAGTGAACGCACGCGTAGGCTATTGCGTCCTTATATTAACGAAAGATTTTTGTAGGTGTGAAGATTTATTCTTACGAATTTCTGCATTCAATCGATGAGCGTTACTATGGAGCGGACGCGAAACAGTTTGTACCTGAGCGATGGATGCGTGATGATGCAGGAAAGAAAAGGGAGTTCAACCCGTTCACGATGTTGCCATTCGGCTTTGGTGTAAGAATGTGCATAGGTCGGCGAATGGCCGAGGCATTGATCTATACGGTAACAAGCAAGCTGCTGCTTCGCTACCGTTTAGAGTACGCCGGAGAATGCGAGCTAAAACGAAGTCTAGTGGGAGCGTTCATGAGTCCAGATCAGCCTGTTTTGCTTAAGCTCATTCCTCGCGAAAAAGAGATTTAATAAGTGTTATTCGTAACGTTCCTCGTTAACAGGAGTAGGGCAACATATTGTCATATTTTCTCAATTGAAAAACTTTTCAAAATATGTAAAACATTTTTCAATATTGGCGATAGTACTTTGTTTATCTCGGACGGTAGAGGTAAAATTCTTCCTTTTCCTTGGTTGAAATCGGTTGGAAACTAGTTTATTTATGTATGTATTGTATTGTCCTGTGATGTTTTGATTGTAGAAAATAGGATATTCTGTAATCTAATATTGCGGTTTGCGGTTGTTGTTGGAAAAACATCAGCATATTTCACTTGTAGTCGGAAAATAAGAAAAAAAGCGTGAGGCTGCTAGAGCCAGAGGTTGATACGCCGGGCTTAGAGCATATCTAAAATCACTTTTAAGCGAATTAAATGTATATATTTCTTCGGACGATTGTAATCAAGCCAAAATCTTGGGGTTTAATTAATAAGTCTTGGCTGGCATACTCGAACAATTAGCGGTTGTTCACAATAATGTTATTTCCTTGATTAATTAGCCGAAAGAGGGCAAAGTGATAGAGCATACGAAGAGTTTGGAACCATTCTATAATATTTTGGCAGAGGCCGACTGAAAGCTTGAGCAACTTAGATTGCAAACGCAGGTTGAAAGTCCTGTATCACCGTGAGTATTTCAGTGTGCGGTAATCTTAGTCCTGTTCAGTGTAGGCTTAATCGCTTAATAAAATTAACTTGCCTGAGTGGCAAGGATTTGGGGATCAGCATCAGGGTTCAATTCATGGTAAAGATAACAACATCGGGTATAGATTAAAGGCGGACGCGGACTGGCGGACGCAGATAGATAAACAACCCAAAACGATAAACTATAATTAACTAAAGGGCATGTTACACGGTGCAATTTTTCTTTCAACTTGCAACGCAAGTCTACTTTTTAGAGATGTAAATTAGTGAAATCTGTGAAGAGGCTTCAAATTTAAGTGTAAGAAACGCCATGGAGTGCAATAAAGCAAAAAGTTTGGTAGTTGCCAAATTTACATCTCTCAAAAGAAGAATTGCATTGCAAGTTGCAAGAAAAATTGCACCGCGTAACAGGGCCTTAAGTAATCATTAGTATAATAATATTATTACTTACTACCTATTATTAATTGTTATATTGTTAATTGTATAATCATTTATTAATTATTATAATATCATTTATTCATTATTATATTATCACTTGTTATATATATAATTGCTTCTTTCTTGTTGATTATTAAATCCAAATATTTCTTAAATATCATATGTGCTCTAGTGACAGACATTGCTCTAATGCCTTGTGGTATTGGATGTGTAAGTGATAGTGAACATTTCCAGAAGTTTCCTTAACTCTCCGGTTCCATCATAATAGCACCTATTCGCATAAGACACAATCACAAAATCCCAAGGTGCCCTAATGTTCTTCGCTTGAGGTGAACAAAAATTGAAAAAGATACAATGTGTATGTCTTAAAGAAAAGGTTGGGGTAACCAAGTGCCATTGGTTCGTTCATTGTTGTTGTGGTCATTGTTGTTGCTGATGTTGTTGTTGTTGTTGGTGTTGATGTTGTTGTTGTTGATGTTGTTGTTGTTGTTGTTGTTGTTGTTGTTGTTGTTGTTGTTGTTGTGGTCATTGTTGTTGCTGATGTTGTTGTTGTTGGTGTTGTTGTTGTTGTTGTTGTTGTTGTTGTTGTTGTTGGTGTTGATGTTGTTGTTGTTGTTGTTGTTGTTGTTGTTGTTGTGTTTTGTTGTTGTTGTTGTTGTTGTTGTTGTTGTTGTTGTTGTTGTTGTTGTTGTTGTTGTGGTCATTGTTGTTGCTGATGTTGTTGCTCTTGGGGTTGGTCCCCATGTTGTTGGTTGTGGTGTGTGTCCACAACCACGGTTATATTTTTGCCTCTTCGTCCACCCTTTTGCCAACATGTGGAAGCTTTATTGCCCTTTCGCCATACACCTTTGCTCAAGTCAAAAGTAACCAGCGTTGTTAAGTTCATGTCTTGTGCTGTCAGTTTTTGAGATGTGTAATAATAAGGAAGTGTGAAATATGCCGGAATAGTAAAAAGGGAACTCATTAGAAGATATTCGGGTATAAGAACTGCTTTGTCGCCTTTGTTAGTTTAATTTCCTCGACGCGTACAGCTTTGCATACAAGAAGATTGTGTAAACCGCTATAGTGTTTCATCTCGAGCTCAGTTTAAAATTTAAAAGTTCACTTTTTGTAATTGCAACAAACGATTAAACATCCTTCTTTTACTAAAATTTGTTTTATATCACTTTACATGTTATCTTAAAGTTACCCTAAAATCGTCGCGCAATTGACAAAAACCCCGTGGGATATTTTTCGGCAATCAAATGTTTGAAACATCAGTCGACCAAAATACGCGTCCGCCATTCCGCGTTTGCCAGTCCGCGTCCGTCGGTAAAGTGCCACACAATTCATCTCATCGTAGTTGAGACAAGTTGAGTGGCACTTGGACATTTGATATGTTAAAAATGTACATTCACACTGATAATACAGAAAATCTAACTCTCATATTCAAGCTTATTAACGCTTTGGATAAATTTATAACTTGGGTTCTGTGTGTGTGTTCCTTTCCTTAAATCCAATTCAAACCTAAGAATGTAAATTTGTCTCTTTCCAGGGACCCAGTGGGTAGCGTCAAAAACAAAATCTTCTTTTTTCTTTAATTCATTTAAAGAAGATTAAAGAAGATAAAAGAAGTCAAGATTTGTAAAACTTGACATTCATCACAACAATTTAGTATTTACAATTAAATTTTATGCCATGAATCCTTGTTAACGAAATAGTCAACTGTCAACTAATTCAACTAAAGCTTTTAGACCCGGAAATGTATTTTAATTTTTTTTCAAAATAAAAATCTTCTTTAATTATTTAAACAAGATTAAAGAAGATTTAATTAAAGAAAAAATACCAACCCTGGTTCGAATATGACCTTAAGGGTAAGTATGGTAGACACGGAGAACATTTTTGTCTATATTATTATCTGTGTTGCAACTCTTACCTGCATGTATTATTACCTAGTATAATAATATATAAATACATATAATATATATATAGTGTTACTGCCGAACAGTATATAGAGCTACAAAACCTTAATGTCTTCTATAAAACTAAGATTCACGATTCTAAAATTATCATGGATCCGGTATAATACATCCCATTTCCATTAACTGTGACTAGATGAAGCGATAAGTGATCATGATAAAGACATGTCATACTTATTGCATTTTGTGTGTTGTATTCTGTGGTACATTAGAGAATATTTCAAAAACATGTTCCATTAAAAAAACTGAATAACTAACTTTTTTAAATCTACTGGCAAAACCAACCTGGAAGAAGACATACAATGTAAAACTATACCAATAAATATTAACAACCCTTCCCATACCTGTTCTATAGAATATATAGAACATCTAAATTTGTGTGGTATTAATGCTGCGGTACATAAATTCGCTATGCGTGTCATTTCTTGTACAGCCAGTTGTCAATTTAAAACGACCTGGATGACATCTTTCCTAAGCTCGTCGCACATTAAAGCTCTTTTCTTTGATCAAGGATTCATGTTTAAACATGTGTCGTATTTTGGTCACATAACAAAGACAAACTGTGCATGCAAAATCGTGGCTTATTCAAAAATGACAGCCTGCAGCGAAGCTTGGATCTTCAGTGCAGCAATCAATGAACTCAGATTGTATACTAAAAGTGTTAGAGACATTATATTCGTGTTTTGTTCACAAATAAACGCACTTCCCGACCATGCAATCACCTCGAAATTTCAATATCGAAATTTCTCGTTCATTGTAGGGTCAGCACGTGCGTTTGTTTGTGAACAAAACACTCACAACAGTCTCCAACCCTTAAATAACGTTTCCATTTTTACTACAATTATTATTACTAACTTTAAATATTATATTTTCTTTCTACCCTATGGCTTATATTACGCAGAGTAGTTAGCGGTTCCCCTGTCCACTTGTCAACTTCCAAATATGGTTTGCAACTTGAGCGTGAAGAGTATATTAAACCGACTGTAAAAACGGCGCTATTGTTTTTTTTTTCTTTAAAAAAAATTTACATAAAAATCCACTAATATGATTGCAAATTGTAAAGAGCTTCCACTGCTGAATCCTCCCATAATCCTCCACTGCTGATCAACCCAAATTCTGACCTTAAAATCTGGCCAAATAGAATATTTAGGGTTTATCTCATTTACCCAGATCTCTGTTTATATATACACATCGCGGTGAAGAATTCGTTTGAAACGTCAATTATTTGGTGGAATAACTCGGAAGCTTATAAACAATGGTGTTCCTAGCGCGTTCTTACCAAGGACGTCTCTTCTTTAACTTACCGTGGTCTTTGAAAGCGATTGCGCGTACTTCGACCAGCGTTGTAGCATCACACAAAGAAGTGTTGCCATTCTCGGCCATTCCTGGCCCGAAAGGAACCATTAGAAATCTACTGGACCACAGGATGTCCAGTGGGACGTTTTTTGAAGTTTTGGAGAAGCGCTTTGATAAATACGGTCCGATTTACAGCGAAAAACTGCTAGACACTCGTATAGTGAGCATTTCCGATGTCGACGCCACGACGAACGTCTTGCGCAGAGAAAAGAACTTTCAGATGCGACCCGGCTTCGAGCCAGTTGCCGAGATGTTGCAGGAGACAGGCATTGGTGTTGGGCTCGCCTCAAACGACTATGAAATATGGTATCCTGATAGATCACTGCTCTCGCCGAAGATGCTGCGTCCCAAAGACGTGAGTGAGAGATATTCGTTGTTGAATACTATAGCGAACGAGTTCACAGAGCGAGCGGCACGTTGTATTGGACCAGACGGAGTGGTGGACAACATAGAAGAAGAACTGGACTTTTGGGCCGTAGAGTCGTTCGCCGCGTTCTTGTTCAATCAACGTCTTGGTTTCTACGACGACCCCCCGGATCCTGAAGCAGTCGTGTTCGTGAATTCTGCTCGTATTATGCTTGAT